CATATGTCCGGTCCCCCGAAGATGGTCCGCATCGGCGTCATAATGATACCTGGTCTCTTTTATATACAATCCTTTGTGTATAGAACTTACAAAGGCATGGGACACAGCATCTGAACCTTATATTTCATTTAAACATGTCAGCCAACTGGACTCACCTTATTCGTTTCGTTGCTGAAGAGGACGGACAAGTCCATCTAGGACAGGTCGACCATGCAACTTGGCCTGATGTCGGCATTTCTTTTGAGAAGGGGGAGAAGATACAGGCAAAGCTCATACAAGGATGTGTCTTTGATGGTGTTGTGACGGAAAGTCTCTTGACAGTCAAGGAAGTGAGTCTGAACTGAGCAAGTAAATTTATTGTAATGTCCAAACTGACGTCTTCAGCTCCTTGCTCCGTTGACGATGGACCAAATCCCTATCATCCGATGTATGGGACTCAACTACCGCGATCACGCCAAAGAAGCCAATATGCCTATCCCCGATGTCCCAGTGCTATTTATCAAGCCACGAACTGCGCTCAATGGGCCTTACCCCGCTAAAGTCAACGTCCCCAAGATCGCGCAGGATGGTACGAGCGACTACGAAGCAGAGCTGTCCTTCGTCATCTCCAAAACCGGTCGTGACATCCCTCGAGAGAAAGCCCTCGACTACGTTTTGGGATACACTGCCAGTAATGACATTAGCGCACGGGCTCAACAGTTCAAGAATAGTCAGTGGTGCTTCTCTAAAGGTCTGGATGGCTCTTGTCCGATTGGACCGGTCCTGGTTTCACCCTCGGCTGTTGGTGACCCGCACAGCCTTGGTATTACAGCCACGTTGAACGGCGAGACTGTACAAAGTTCCAACACCAGGTAAGCCAACAAAAAAAAAGTAGATGCAGACCGGATCAGCTAACGTTCTGTTAGGGAGATGATCTTTGATGTTGCAAGCATCATATCCTTCTTGTCCCAGGGCACGACTTTGGAACGAGGTACTATCATCATGACGGGCACAGGCCCTGGAATTGGTGCGATGAGGAGTCCTCCCCTCTCGCTTAAGGATGGCGATGATGTGCGGGTCTACGTGGATGGGATTGGAACTTTGATCAACAAGGTTTGGTACGAAAAATAGTGGCAGTGGACAGGATTCAAGTAGGCTAGTACGCTAGATTAGACAGTCTGCGGCTTTACCTCCGCATCAGCATTGGCGAATCATGTTTCTGTTATAGATAATACACGTCTGGTGGTGCATTTCTCGAGTCCATAGCGCTTGTCTATGTCATAATGAGAGAGTCAGGAGAAGCTGATAGATGCACCGAAGATGGTCCGTCTGATTGCCTTAGCGTGCAGCCTAGTTCCAGGCCAAGAGGGACCAAGATGCAAATCTGTTCTTGGAGCGGGGTTATCGATACAGCGTTCTTATGTTTGTGTAAAAGCACGAGGCTGAGTAGGAGCAGTATTTGCGCATAGAAGAGGAGACCTTGGAAGGGATTGCTGTTGAGTTTCAACACTGCCAGCCACTATCACAAGGGATAAAGAGCTGCAGAACGTATAGCAGAGTCAGGTAAAGCAAGGTTGGCTACCGCAATACCGGGAGTTACTGAAGTAGACTACGCTAACTTTTAGCGTTGTCAACCCCGCGTGATGCATCATAGCTGTGGGGTCTGGGGTCCAAGTTAGCGTACCAAAACCTGGGGTAAAAGGTGCTGACCATCTTGTGAACGTGAACCCCATCCCATTGTTGACAATTATCTTTTTCTTTTTGAAAAGGACCGAGATCTATACCACCATACCAAAGCTGCCCTCTTATTTACCATGTGGCAGAATAACTCACAGAACAAGGATACTAAACGGACGGCGGATGTTGCCTGTCACTCGTGTCGAAAGTACGTCTCTTGTCGCAAGTTAGAGGACTCAAGACTGACAAATTTACCCTTTGAAACAGACGCAAAGTCAAGTGGTTCGTTGATTTCCTCCCTTGCCCATGTGATCATCTTACTTATGTATTTGTACAGCGACCGCGAGCAACCATGCTGCCAAGTCTGTATCGAGACAGGGCAATATTGCGAGTATCCAGAAAGAGTCCTCAAGCCAGGTCCAAAGATCGGTATGGACAACCTCATATACCTTGAAATTAGACAACACAAGCTTACCGATTCAAGGCTCACTTCAACGTCGTGGACGAAGATATAGAGATCGTTGCCAATCCAAGACCACGGACCAACAGAACAGAAGCAACGAGTCCGCATCCCCCACAGATCAAAACGGGGCAGACAGATCCATTGTAGTCGATGTGAGCCAAAATGAGCGCCGACAAAGCTTTGCGAGCAGTTCGTCGCGACGCAAATCAGATGCTCAAGATCAAAACGCGGGCCACAAGTCGTCAAAGCTGAACATTCATGATCTTTCGTTCATCTTGCATCCTTCTCATGAAGTCACGACGCCTGATGAAGAGCCGCCGACGGCCATGTCGGTCGAGTCTGCTGATGTTGATAACCATAGATTGTTTCAATCGGCGTGTCAATGTCTTGGACTGTCGAAGCAATCAGTGGAAAAGATGTATGTTAATACTCCGCTCTCTTTATCACATACTAACATGCTGGCATTCTAGGGTGCGGATTTATTTCGACAACATGGTTGCCATTAACCTCTTTCATGAACCAACATTTACCCAAACTCTACATTCCATCACTTCAGAATCTCATCTCATAGCACTGTTGGCTGCTATATGCGCATATTCTGTACGCTTCGTTCCATTTGAAGCCGACCCGGAACTTAAACAAGAATTATCATGGGGTCACACCGACCAGAAATCGCCCACAACGTTCCTCAACCTTTCGTCACAGCAGATCGACAAGGCCCTGAATGAGTGCACTGATGATCCCCCGCCACTTTGCGTTCTGCAAGCCCTGATCGTTACGACCCATTGTCAGCTGACTCAGGGCGTTCGAGGGAGAGCATGGCGTGCGCTGGGAACATGCGTCAGATTAGCATACGAACTGAATCTCCACCTGCTGGATTCGAGGTATGCTGTTGAGAAGTATGATCACAATACTCACCGCTGGTGCGAAGATGAGGAAAAGCGTCGTGCTTGGTGGGCAATATGGGAGATGGATGTGTTTGCGAGCACTATTCGTCGCACACCGACTGCCATAAGCTGGTCTCAGATGGAAGTGTTACTTCCTGCGCCTGATGCAAATTGGTACCAGGATACCCCTGTGGGGAGCTGCTTCCTCGAGCAGGAGCCAGGCCAGCGGTGGAAAGCTCTCCAAGAGAGTGGCAATGTCTCAGCAAAGGCTTGGTTCATTGTCATCAACTCTCTTATGAAGGATGCTCAAGTCATATCTTGCCCTCGAGGTGTACCCTCTGTTACAAGGCCGGGTCAGAGCTGGCAGCAGGCTTCAAAGGGTGAAGCAAGGCAGAGTATTTCTTACCAGGCTGAGAATAGCGAGGAGTCTCGGCAGAAGCTGGAGACCTTGGCGAACTCGGTATACTGTCTTGTTCGCGTGCTGCCTGAGAACCTTCGCTACCGCCAACAACATCTTTCATTCAGCCCTCGCTTGCCGGGCCAGGTTGAGTCATCTCGACAGCTACACTGCTCCATTTACAACATCTACGTCATGACACAGTTGGCGCGACTTATGATCCATCGATATGATGTCTTTGGTAGTCAAACTAAGCCTGCACAACCCCCAGCGATGAGTGCACCATGCAAACTGGGCTTCTCCTCTTTCCAGGAGCAGGAGAACCCTGCCCTGAGAGAATATTTCGAGTCAGCAGATAACGTGTTGTCGATAGTCAACAGGAGCTGCGAGGATCACATTCGTCACATTAATCCATTTCTGCCCAGCACGATCTGGCTGGCCGCTGCTGTTCAAATGGTTCGAAAGCAGTTCGGTGGTCCCTCAACTTACAACTCACTTATTAAGGCTCGCTTTGATGTTTTGTACCTTACGTACAAGCAATGCGTCAGCTTTTGGGGCATACAGACTGCGATGCAGCAGAATCTTGAGACGATCGAAGCGCAGCTGGAGGACTTTAATGGCAAGCCTACGAGGAGCTTCGCAGGCACGACGACACAGCCTGCATGGTCTGGTGTTAGCAATTCAGGGCAGAGATGGATACCGCCGTCGTTGGAAACGTCCAATGGAATGAAAGCCGCCTCGCAGTCCTCCAACGGCCAGAACGTCAGTCATCAAGCACAGTCACATGGTTAGTAGTCTTTCCTGGTCATTACTTGTTTATCTTGAAAGTCGATATAACTAATCTGACCCTCTAGAAATACAAAAGCCTCTTCCAACTGGCGATGTCGATAATAATGGCAACAAAGACATGCAGGCCTCAGACGCCCTGCCTAAGACTCCCCCTGAAAGTGATCATGGGGAGCAAGTCACGCGCAACACAATGCAAGGGTCTGATATGTCTCCCAAGGTAATGGGAATGACTCAGTCTATGGATCCCCTGAATGCCACGTTTTGTGCTGATGCGGATGGTTCCATGACAAGTATGCCCATGATGGACTTTATGCTCATGCCCCCACAACCAGGGGCCGAGATGCACGATATGGGAGATAGTACGATGATGGATGTGTGGAAGGATATGGAGCTTCCGAGCGATATTCGTGACTTATTATCTGGATTCTCGACCTATTGATAGCACTTAATGTTCTGCCATGATGAACATTCAGAGTTACATGAATAGCAGATTCTTTGTATAAGGAATTAGAACACGCTACTGCTGAAGATATTGCTCTTGAGTTGAGAAGACGTTTTAGTGCTAACACAGTAATTAGAATGAGACACTGGTCACGAGGACCAGCGTTAAGTAGGTCTTGTATACCGTAGTATCTGCGTATTAGGAGCGACTCCACGATTAACTACAGAACTTGGCCACGAGGAAACGATAAGGGTTTTGCTAACCCGGCAGCATGACAGTAGATGACGGTTGAACGTAACTCAATAGAGATATGAATGGTATATACAAGGACTAACGCAATCTAGCTTCCATGTGCGACCACGACAACTAGTCCTTGAAGCCAAGGACCGACTTCATCACGGAGGCCAACTTTTCGGAGCACCCTTCCGCATCGGGTAGAACACGAGGATATCTCCAGGCCACAAACCGATCAGGACGAACAAGAACAGCGCCAGAGTCCTCAACACCGCGCACCCGCTGCCAATCGAAGTAAAAGTCCTCCCACTGCTGACGGTAGCCAATAACATGTACATCCAGAGGAACACCCAACTTCTCGCTCACTTCTTTTGCTGCTTTCTGCCAACCTTCACCTCCGATGCCCGTAAAGAGGACGAACTTACCATGGCCTGCAAGATCAATGGTGGATACCGGCTCCGAGGGCACGGATGTATTCAACCAGACGTGGGGTAGTCTGCAGCCAGGATACGTGCTGGCGTCATAGTGCAAGATAGGGTCATCGGCTGCCTTGCCTGAAGGGGAGTACGGCGCCGGCTCATCAGCGTCATATATACCAGGTCCATTGTAGCGCTGTCCCATCTCAATTCCTAGTCCGTGGAACTCATGAGAAGTCTGGGTGATGACATCCCGGAAACGCCTTCGACGCTCTTCACCTTGTAACGACGCTGATGCGAGCTCGTCAACGATCTTCCTGCGGTCCTCCACTTTTTCGGGAAGCGCTCCCATGGCATCCCATACGTGGAAGTGATCGCGGAATGCATCATTGGCGCGTGTGATAATGGACTTGCCGACGGGTTGGCGTTCAGTGTTGTATGTATCCAGAAGCGCAGGTGATGCGATGCCTTTCTCAACGTATGCGACCTTCCATGCGAGGTTGAAGGCGTCTTGTATGCATGTGTTGGAGCCGAGACCGTTCATGGGCGGGTGTCTATGGACTGCGTCACCCAAGCAATGGCTACAGAGGAGATCAATCAAAGCTTTGGGTATGATAATGGGATAGATCAACTTACATGTTGCTACCGTCAGAGTACCGCTCTGCAACAATCTCGTTGATGAACCACTTGGAGACATTCAGGATCTCAGCTGGTGTATCATCTCCGATGAAGTCTCGTACCCTCTCCAGGTACTCTTCGTTGGTCGCTTGTATGTTAGGATCACAATCTCGGTTCGGAAACAAAATGAACATCCACTCATCCCAAGGCTTTACCATCCTGACAATACCCATCCAACCAAACTCGGGATGTTCCTTGTCAGGCTGCATAACCCAGTGAAGATTTCCCTTGCGATGCTTCACCAAATGAGACAGATCTGCTTTGACAAGAACATTTATCGCGAGACCTTGGCCCGGCTTGCGCTGTAGAGGCAGGTCAAGCTGCTTGACTACCTGGCTCTGCGCGCCGTCTGCTCCGAAGAGGTATTTGGTGTTGATCTTGTATTCGAGGTTGGAGAACTTGTCTTTCAGAGTTGCTATTATACGCCCGGTCTTTTCGTCCTTGGTGAATGATGTAAGAACTGTATCGAATCTGACTTGGAATTTGTTGTGCGTGGCGTGACGGATGAGGATTGGCTCGAGGAGGGTTTGAGGGATATCAGCTGGCTGGCATGGGCTTGCCATTTCGTAGTCACCCTAACGCCTGGCTATTAGTGACCAATCTCGGTGGCAGATTTTCAGTGCGGTCTTACCTTGCGTCTGGGATCGTTTCCCCAAGAATAAAGACGGGCATACTCCTCCCCAGCCATGCTGTGGCACCACCTAGTGTGCACCATGCAGTGACCCTTGGAAGAAACCTGCTCGACGTCTCGATCTAGGCCTATATCGCGGAGACACTCTGCATCCCTCAGTAAGCGTTATTTGGTAAGTACTTAGTCAGACTAGACCTACCCAGAGCGGCCATATTGGTGATATGAGCCCGAGGCGTGTTGGCTGTACCTGGCGCTGCACCAACCATCATCCCAGAGAGCCCTATATCCTATTAGAAACGCCATATCACGAGCTGCGGACTTTTTACCGTGAGATGAGAGAAAGCACGCAAGACTGGCTCCTGCTGGTCCGCATCCTACAATGAGATACTGGGTCTGGAAGATTCCGTCATCTGGCGTGGTAAATGTATGGTGCTCTTGACGGTGGTTGCCATTGAAGGATGTCAACGGTGGACTTGAACTGGGAGGTAAGCTGTGAGGTGCCATTGTAAGGCTAGAGTGTATAAGTCGGGATGGATTAATACGTTGTAACGCAGAAAGCGCGCCTGACTTCGTAGATACAAACCGCTTCTGGATGAGTCTTGACAACATTTGTTAATATGAGTAACGGCACAGTACTGGGATAACAACTTAAAGCACCAAGCTATATCATTCTCACAGAGTCCTATCACTTTCTTCACAGCTTGCATCATATCTCTTCCAAGTTTCGGCTCGGCTGCATCCTATTCGCTGTACCAAGGCTTTGTTCCCGAAGATAGTGCGAGCGCATGCCCCTGGAACAAATCTCCCTAAAAGATGGAGATCTGATATAGCGCCCGATAGAGCTAAGTATGTCAGTTACATTCGGTCTATTTTCGCTCTACATTACACATGGATCCTTTCTTGGCAAGGTCCCGTCTCCACGCCACCCAGAGACACATTCTGACAAGGTCGCATATTATGATAAGCTTTCCAAGTTTTCGAATGAGGCTCTATGAGCCGCCCATTCTTCGCAATTCATAGATTCTTAGTGCTTTTTATCTTTTTGCCCTTTTGAGACTTCTCATTCTTCACCATGACCTCCTCACCGACCAGGCGCATCCGGCTTGTGCGTCTCGCCCACGTGTACTACTCACATCGCGATATAGCGAAAGCTCACCAGTTTCTCAAAGACTTTGGCTTTGAAGAAACGGCCAACCATGGCAAAAAGACTTATTACCGGGGAACTGGCACTGAGCCTTTCGTTTACTGCGCTGTCGCAGGTGCAGAAGACTCCTTCGGCGGAGCGGCGTTCGTGGTCGAAAGCTTCGATGATCTGACTTATGCAGCGGATACACTACCGAATGCTACATCAGTCACCAAGATGGACAGTGAGCCTGGCGGTGGTTATAGAGTTACGTTCTACGATCCAGTGGATAAGTTTCCCTTTCACCTTGTCTACGGACAGAAGGAAGTAGAACCACTTCCCAAGTCTCTACCGGAGAGAGTACTCAATTTTGTAGGTGTTTTCCTCCGTGATGGCTGAAATGGATAGACCATACTGACATCGAATCGTAGCCAACAACCAAGAATCGCGCAGGGAATGAGTTTCAGAGATTCGAGAAGGGTCCTGCGCCTGTCCACAAAATGGGCCACTTTGGCATGGTCGTGACCAACTTTAAAAAGGCTTTCGAGTTCTATACTTCTAGATTCAACTTTAAGCCAAGCGATGCAAGTAGCCTACATCTTAGATGTCTCTCCTACTAACCATCGATACAGCTTGTCTACAACGATAGTGGTCAGGACATCACAACTTTCCTGCATCTCGATCGCGGAAAAGAGCTGGTAGACCATCACTGCTTTTTCTTCTTCGAGGGGCCAAAGAGTCATGTCCATCACTCATCATACGAGACGCATGATTTTGACACCCAACTTCTTGGACATCATTGGCTTCGTGAGAAGGGATATGAGAACTGCTGGGGAGTAGGGCGTCATGTCATGGGAAGCCAGATCTTTGACTACTGGTGAGTTTGCTTGTCACCTTTATTGCGCACATTTCCTAACTCCGTAAGGTTTGATACGTCGGGCTTCATCATGGAGCATTACGTTGATGGTGATCTGGTTGATGAGACATACCCGACAAACCGACAGAAGGCATCACCTGATAATCTGCATGTTTGGGGTAAGTTGCCTTATTCGTCTATGGAGTCTGGAACTAAGTTCAATACGTTATAGGCCCGGATGTCCCACCAACATTTCTGTCCTGAGCGGGAACCTTCTGCTTGTTGTGCCACGGAAGAACTTTTAAGAAGGTCGAGTATTATGGGATTGGGATAACAGAATTCTAGCTGGAATACTTTAGTTCTATATTCCTGACAAAAGAGAAAGGTTATTCAGAGTCTTCTCATCTGTTTATCTTGATATGTTCTATGTGGCACATTGGATGTCGTCGTGTTGCGTTGCTATAGCTCGTTTGATGTCTCATCAATCTATTGTAAATCATGTCCTTATTTGATCGTTGTACGGGATTAGCGGTCATGATAGCAAGTATAGCTCTATTTAATGTATAGATCTCTTGCTTTGTAAAACTAGTTCACGTGGTCCAAATCACTCATTGTGATCAATACTCGGGGTCTTCAGTTTCCTTCCTTAAGCCACTCAGTTTGAGGCCATAATGCATCAGCTCTTGCGACAAGGGATCATTCAAAATACCCGATTACGGTAGTGTAGACGCTTTGACTGTAGATCTAATACCAGAGTCTTCATTCGTCGACGCAGCACGGCCAAATGCTTGCCTGACCTAACCCCGCTTCGACGACGCCCCCGAAATTAGTCCGTCCACTGAGTTGGCCCGCACTTCCAACCCCAGATTGCCAAGAGCTGGGGATCTGGATCGTCAATTACATTGCGAGTCAAGTATTATTACCTACTCGTCTTCCTCTATCTCATCCGTAGTTTCCTCCTAACACCACGTCGTATCCTTGCGCAACGCAAACATGGAATCCGGCCTCCCAATTCCCAATCTCAATCTGAACTTTCAGGACCTGACATCAGGCCTCGCCACTCCACAAGGCCAGCGCCAGTTTTTCCAGGCTTTAGCTTGGATAGCAGGTATCTATGTCTTCAGCAAGTTGATGCTGATGGGCCGCCGGGCCAAGAACCTTCCTCCCGGGCCATCGACTCTCCCAATTCTCGGAAATATCCACCAGATTCCCATCACGGGACTACATGCCAAGTACGTCGCCGTCGACTCGAGCTAACTCTTCGCAAGATCAAAATTCTAATTTTGGCGAGCTAGGTTCCTGCAATGGGGCGAGCAATACGGGGGCATCTTTTCTCTCAAGATAGCCTCGAGCACTATGATCGTCCTGTTTGATCGCAAGGCAGTTCATGACCTCGTTGATAAGAAGGGAGTCATTTACTCAGAGCGCCCACCAAATCATGTCGCCGATATTGTCACTCATGGCGATAGCTTTGCGTTCATGAACAACACTCCCTTATATCGCGAGCAGAGAAAGGTCGCTTCGCATAATCTCTCGGTATGTTTCAACACTCCTCAGCTGCAGTGAATGGCTACTGAATTATTCCAGCCTCGTATCCTGGATGAAAAGGTTGGACACATCCAGGACGCAGAGTAAGTCTGATCCGATTCATCACAGAAGGATATTCTAATTTCGCAGAATCACTATCCTTCTCCGCGATATTCTCACCACTCCCAAAGACTTCTACAATCATGTCATGCGCACTACCTGTTCGGTTGCCTGCATAATGGTCTGGGGCCAGCGAGGTGCTACTTATAACTCTTTCTTTGGCCGTGTATGTCAGATTCCGGTTTTATATCTTTAAATCAATGCTAACCTCGATTAGTGTGTCTACGACGCGATGGAATCAGTGCGTCTTCACATTCTCTTCCAAGATGCTGACGACGCTAACTCTGCTGATTTTATAGTATAGCGAAGCTCTCGAGCCTGGCGCTAACCCACCTGTCGACGATTTTCCATTCCTCAAGTATCTCCCCGACTTCATGAGCCCGTGGAGGACTCGCGCTCAGCGATCGTATCAGGCGATGGACGAGACATGGAAGAAGGCCCGAGCATTGTCTGATGCTAGAAGAGATCGCGTCGGATCTCGCAATTGCATTGCCGATAAAATGCTCGAGGATACCAAGCTCACCGACAAGATGTCCGACCAACAAATCAACCACTTCCTTGGGGTTTTGGTCGAGGGAGGTGCCGATACTACATCGTCTTCTATCCTTACCATGATCCACTGCTTGTCAAGACATCCTGAGCATCAACGCCGAGCCCAGAGAGAGCTTGACGCTGTTTGTGGGACGAGCAGGTAAGTACCACTCGCTACTAGGAAGAGTTGACGAGTGCTTTGACTAATCTGGGTGGAAAGAATGCCTGAGTGGAAGGACTTCAAGGAGTTGCCCTACATCAACTGCATTGTCAAGGAAGGTTTAAGATGGCACCCCGTGTAAGTTTTGATCCTGCTTTCTGTTACTTCACGTGAGGCCTTCTTTACTCTCAGCGGTACTGATACTCAATTCCTAGCCTCCCTCTTGGAGTACCTCATCGCGTAGCCAAGGATGACTGGTACAACGGAATGCTCATCCCCAAAGACGCTACCGTGATAATTCCATCATACGCAATCCATCGATCAGAGCAAATGAAGTACAAGAACCCGGATACCTTCGACCCAAGTCGCTACGTCAACCACCCACGACTGGCAAGTGACTACGCAGGTAGCCCCGACTTCAACAATCGAGACCACTACGGCTATGGCGCAGGCCGTCGCATTTGCCCTGGTATGCATCTCGCAGAGCGAACGCAGTGGCGCGCCATTGCCAAGATCCTCTGGGCATTTGATATAGAGCTTGCCGTCGATCCAGCAACAGGGCAGAAAATTGTACCTGATCCTGAAGCTTTCAAGGAGGGAATTGCGCATGGGCCTAAGCCGTTCCAGGTTGTGTTTAAACCGCGCAGTCAAGCACATATCGATACTATCCTTCGGGAGGCGGAACAGAGCCTTGATGAAGTGGCTAAATGGGACTGAAGGGATGTTTACAGAGGTTGATGACGCATAGGAACTTTCATAGTATCGATTAGCTATATCTATAAGATTTCTTTTATTTAACTGTGTTTCCGTTGAATTGTTTCAAGGTGGTGAAGTTATAACATAGATTGTTAAATGACTGTTTTTTTTTACACAGGAGCTCTATGAGGAATAGGATGATAAGGTTACTGCATGATGAAGAGCCAAGATGTTACACGGAATGCAACGTCGAATAGACATTTTACAACGACAGTCGACTGACATAGCGGCCATAGACTCAAGTACAAAGGTATCTTTGACCCATCAATTCAGGTACGAAGCTCATCCAAGTACGACTTAAACCATGCTATCTGCTTGTCACCATAAGCTTACTCTTAATACTATCATATTGCATCTCAAGTTGATTGGGGTATGTCTTCTGAATTTGCCTAAATCTGGAAAAGAAGATTGGACCGTTCTAGCCACTACCCCACGCCATCAGAAACAAGAATACACACCCTCGGCAATTCGACTATTGGTATCAAGCGAAGTTGGTCCGAAATCGACGTGTCGGCGAACTTGGACCGTCACAAGCTAACGGCACATGCATATTATTCCGACAAAGGCTTCTTGCGCCGATCGAAACTAGCGTGACTTGGCTTTTGTCGAGTATTTGGCATGATGAAACTTATAGTTGCGTATGAAAGGTACCTTGTCAACCATCTCTTCTGTAGAGCGAAGTTGTCACATCAGTGATCAAGCCTGGACAAACACCTGTTCAAAATGGAAACAGAAACGGTTCATGTAATAATCCACAGACCTCTTCTCTGCATGCTGCAAATCTGACTGACCATAACAGACTCCCAGCGATGTACCTGCCTTCGATGCGATGACGACGGTGTTAACAGCGGTACTCGTCTCAATAATCGCTTATTTCGGCAGCGGGCCCCTCCAAGACCTCCTCTTCCAGACGACGTCTACAAAGACAAAGTCATTGGGGGCAGACAGCGACGATGAGTCTGATGTCTCAAGCGACAAATGCATTGTAAAAAGACTAGAAGAGGAGGAAAAGAACTGCGTGGTCCTGTTTGGGTCTCAGAGCGGAAACGCACAGGAATTCGCCGAGAAGCTTGCTCGCGAAGCCCATACCCGATTTTCCCTACGCTCAACAGTCGCCGAGATCGACGACTACACTTACCAGAACTTACACAAGCTGCCTGAGGACACCATTGTGTTCCTTATCCTCGCCTCATATGGTGACGGAGAGCCCACGGATAACGCGGAGCAATTTTACAACTTCTTGAGTAATGAGGACGATGATGGACCATTTGACAGACTTCGTGAACATGGCCTTCAGAATTTGTCATACGCCGCGTTTGGGTTAGGAAACAGTAGCTACGCGCACTTCAACGCTGTCATACGCAAAGTCGATGAGAAACTACAGCTCTGCGGTGCCAGACGCCTCGGTCCTGTTGGCGAAGCCGATGACGGCAAGGGAACAAACGCCGAAGACTTTATCGAGTGGAAGGATAACATGTGGCCTCAAGTCATGGAAGCCTTTGGTCTAGTCGAGCAAGAGGCTGGTGAGCGAGAGCCGGCTTTCGAGGTGGTTGAGATACCGAACCACCATGGCCCAATCTTCCAGGCGGACTACACGGACAGGACCCTCGCACAGCAGGCGCAAGCGGTTACAAGCCACTGTTTTGCACCTATCTCGGAAGCAAGACTGCTTTCAGATGCTGGTGGTCGGTCCTACATACATGTGGAACTGGACATCAAGGACACCAAGCTTGACTATCAGACCGGCGACCATCTCTCTGTTTCTCCCATCAATTCCGACGTCGAAGTTGAGCGCTTCTTGAGGGTATTCGGGCTGTGGGACAAGCGACACGAGACCATTCGGGTAAGATCGCTCTCAGATGACCTGAACCCTCCATTCCCGTCGCCCTGTAGCTACGAGTCCGCAGCTCGGTTTTACATCGACATCTGCGGACCAGTCTCGCGTGAAGTCGTATCTACCTTTGCGAACTCCGTTTCGGATGCTAAGCAGAAGACCAAGCTTCGCCAACTCGGCAAGGATAAGGAGGCATTCTTGGCTCTTACAGAGGGAACCTTTTACAACATTGCTTCCATGATGGAAGCTATCTTTCCTGGTGAGACCGTCAATGTCCCTTTTGCAGTCATCATCGAGGCGATGCCGAAGCTGCAACCCCGATACTACTCCATATCGTCGTCTTCTGCTCTCGATGCGAACAAAGTATCTATCACTGTTGCTATTGAGTCATTTCCGATTCAAAAAACAAATCGGCACTTCTCAGGCGTTGCGACGAAATTTATCTTGGATGTTGCTTTCGAAGAAAATGGGGTCATGTCCAAGAGTCGAGTGCAGCCGATAACCTACACGTTGCCCACGAAACGACCTCATCTACAACCCTCTATCTCAGCCTTTGTCCGGACTTCGACATTTCGACTACCGTCTGATCCGACAATACCCGTGCTCATGGTTGGCCCTGGCACCGGTGTTGCACCGTTCCGTGGATTCGTGAGAGAACGCCTCGCGATGCATCGACAAGGCAAAGACTTTGCACCCATGACGCTATTGTATGGTTGCCGTAAGAGGACTGAAGACTTCCTGTACGAGGAAGAGTGGAAGGTAAGCTCCCGTTCAGCTCTGGTAAGTATTGTCATCGCTAACCCATCTGTGATCGAAGGCATACTCCGCTGAGCTGGGCTCCAAGTTCGCTATGTACACGGCATTCTCACGAGAGCAGAAGAACAAGGTATACGTTCAAGATCTCATCCTCCAGCAATCAAAGGCGATAGCTTCTCTGGTCCAGAACGGTGGGCACGTGTATGTCTGCGGCGACGTGGGCATGGGACGAGGGGTGACAGAGACGCTTTGCAAGGTCCTTTCTTCTGAGACCAATGTGTCTTTGGATGATGCACAGCGAATATTATCTGACATGCGACATTCGCATCGATATCAGGTTCGTGATTGATAGATATTTTTGTTAATGACCAGATCAAACTAACAGCGTGATAGGAAGACGTATGGTAGTCTGGCAATCATCATAGTCACGCGCCGGCTTTACTCATGGGCTTGTTGTGCTGAGCTGGCAACAGTAGCTGTAGTACTTGCACGACCGGAAGGTTAGATATTTCTAAAATGATAGTAATGGCACTAAATATGTGTGCTAATGTGCCCTTCCATTCCCATAATGAGGGGCCTCTCCGCTTGGTCCGACTCTGATCGCCAACTCGGTTGTTGGTTCGAGTTACGCATGATGTCATGGCAACCTCAGGCTCCGTACACTCAGGACATCTGAGTCACCATACCATTACGACACAACAAGACAAAACCCCGACAGTGAAATCCATCTATCCTTCCCAAACTCATTACTATTTTCAGTTAATTTACGCTCATCTTCTATAACATGTCTGACAATACGCCCATCCCCCCAACAATCTCGGTGACCCTGTCCATTAATCCGCCGACATTCACCAGGGGCTCTGTATCACCTCCTAGTGCCACCATCTCTATAGTCGCGACCTTACACGCTTCTGAGCCGATCACTATCTTCACATGGCACACCATCTTCAATCTCAAACTTGCCCAGCGCCGTAGGAACTTCATCTGCACAGATCTCACGACTGGTTTGCCCCTCCAGCTCGAGAGGACGAAAGGCCCCAAAAGACCACAGTTTAGTTATGAACTCGGTGGCCATGATGACCAGTACTTCATCACGTTGGAGCCAGAGAAAACTACTATCATCACCCACCGGTTCCTTCGATCTGCTGGCCTGGAAGGTGACCGAGTCTTTAAGCCCACCCACAGATACCAACTCAAAGTACGTGATAATGAGGAGGCCGAGTGGTGGCGCTATGGAAGGAAGGAGGATGTCATGTCGCCTCCTGGTCAGTCTTCTCCGAAAGCAGGGTGTGAAGATCCGAGTGGTCCGCCGATCAAATTGAGTCCTATTGATCCGGTTGAGTTTGAGGTCGAATGAGGCAGGGAGTAGAGGGACTGATTAGAATTCTGTCAACTATCAGTAGTTGATACGGAGACATGTTGATAATATTGAGGAAGCAGTCTTTTGCAATCACCTGTTCTTCCGCCGCTACCGTACATGAATTGAAAAGCTATCAGGCGACAACATCCTTATACATTAGTGGTTGCGTATGGACTTCTGCGTCTTAGCTGAGGACCGTACTTCCAGAACAAAAGTGGCGCTGGCGTAAGCAACATTGCAATGCATCCCAGAACTGTCATCGTCCAATGGACTCCAATACCTTCATACATCGGCCGCGCAGCCATGACCATTCCGCCAGCGATTAGGTAACGGGACATGGTAATACTTCCCAAAGCTATAGCGGAATGCTCGCCGTAACTATCAGTAATGTATTCATAGCTACTGACATAGATAGATGTTAGCACAACTCCAAAGAGGAAGCAAGCCCCCAGTCCGCTCCGGATGGAAATTGTGGAATAGTTGGTCCAACCGAGCCAAAATAGTGAGACCGGGAGGAATGGAGCTGTCACAATGGCTGGCCAGAGCCTGAACTCTGGCTGTATGGATGCTCCTCTAACCCGTTCGGTATGTTGTCTTGCCCACTCGTAGAGTCCAGGTCCACAGAGAACAAAGGCCGTAGCTCCCGCGGCAATGGCAGCAAAGCACGAGCCTTGGTATCCAGGCTCGAGTTTGTACGTCTCTTTGAAGATGTAGTCGAAACCTGATAAGAAACTAAAGAGCAGAATATACAGCAGGACGAGGTAGAGGCCTAGTACGATGATGACCGGTTCGCTGCGGAAGAAGGTTGCAGGTAGCGGGAGTGTTTCTCTCATTTGCTTCCAGAATGAGTGCTTCTGCTCATGTTGCGATGTGTATCGTTGATCACCTGTAACGCGACGAAGCTCTTTCGCTTTCCATGATAGAATGAGAGGAAAGTATGTTTCGGGCAGGAATAGTAGGGCGACTACAAACGCAGCTCCAGAAATCATCAGAGTTATCCATTCTGCCCATCGCCAACCCAGGTTTGGGTTAGAGACAATCCAGCCGCTTGCAATAGGTGCGATTACAGGGGCTATCCCGATGTCAATAATCACGCCTCAGCCTCTGCACATCGAGATTGACTTACCCGCCACATTTGCCCAAGCAACAATAGGAAACACCAGTGATCTCTTGACTGGTCTGAACTGGTCATTCACACTCGCTCCGTTGATGGTTAACGTCGCACTTGCCGATAAGCCCACAAAGAACCGACAAACGACTTGCCCACCAAAGGTAGGTGTCGTGGCCGATCCAACAAGGAAACAAAGATAGAATGCCGTAGCCACCAAATAGGTAGGATTTCTTCCGATCGTTTCAGATATGGGTCCACTGAGCAACGCCCCGGTTCCGACGCCGAAGAGAAACATGGCTGTGGCGAGATTTTCGGCGACTTGGCTAACACCAAACTCTTCACTGGCCGCTGAATTCCCCATCGAAATTGCAGAACCAGCCCAGCATTGCGTGAATACGAGAAAGCAAATAATCAAGATATTCTTCGCTCGTGCTGGTCGCGACCAGTTCAATGGGTTCAAAGGATCGTCCTCGCATGTGCTTTGGACTTGAAAGGAACTCTCGCCATGCTCTTGCTGGCTTCCTTCTGGAAATGACCGTTTTTTCAGAGAAGGTCTAGCACACTCGACTGATTCAATGTGGTTTAGGTAGTCTAATCTTACTTGATTGACGATCTGTCGGCGCTGGACGTATGACCACATTCTCCCCAAGGAAGCTGCTGAGATGATGTCTCAATCAAGGGCCAAAGTTTCATCGTCATACCTAAGCTTGGGGATCGCGCATTTTTAAATGAGCCGCTAGTTGTAGGGTTATGTCGCGTGATGCCTTGCTCTTCTTGGTGTCAGGATTGGCATGATAACGCGACTATTACGTGCATATGAGATCATCGATTACCCCAAAACGCGGCCACTATTTCTGTCAGATACCGCAGTGTATGAGGTGGAGATTGTAAATCATCCTTAACTACCGAGGTTTCCTGTACTTATTATGTCTCTTAAGCAGGGCATGCGTATATTCGGACCCCATGATCTTGTGGGCAACCCTTCCCCCTAGATTTCCAGCAACACCCCAACGGAGCTGTCTTCCTCACTTCAGATGATGGATCATTCAGCATGCGGAATGAGATTTCAGCAAGCCCTATAGCAGGAGCGTAGACCGGCTGACGTTGGTATGCACCTCGAATGAGACGTGAGTCGAGAGTTGCATCCAGAGTCTTTCGAAAATCAGGATCCCAGATACTATCGCCGTAGATTACAAGTTCATTGATAGTCTGTGGCACTTGTATACCGTAAAAGTCGTAGTCGAACGGTGGTTTGATGATCTCCTTGAGGGCATGCTGGAGCAATGACGCCTTATCAGTGGCGTTTTCAGTTCCAGTATAAGGATGATGATTGCGGCGGAGAGATTGCACTAAGCCTTCCTCCTGGTAGATCAAAGTGATGTCAAAACCATATTGGCTGTTATCGATGACAAGAAGGAGACTATCAGGTTCACCAAAATCGCCTTTGTGCAACCACTTGCTAAAAAGAGCAAGTGCAGGAACTGTAGTTCGTCCAGTCCAGGCCTTTGCAAGCCCAATCTGTCGGACTGCTTGGGCAATAACATGAGTCAAGTAGTCGTGGTTATTTTCCAGTCCGGATAAAACCACGGTCACGAAACATATAGAGTTGCCTACATATGCCTCAACTGCTGCCTTCAGACCTCTCAGTACAGGCTCCACTGCGGCTCTACCGATGTCTGTGCTAGTGTTTTGTTGTCTCCAGAGTCTTTCTTTGAGGCCCCATAGCTGTGATACTGGGCTCTCTAAATCGCCTGACCGGTCCAATGTTGGAAACGAAATATTCTGTCGCAGCATGAAGTCCTTGTATGCTGGTGTTCCTTCGACTCTTGCGATAGGGGCAGATCAGCGATTTCCGAAGAAGATGGCCGCGGTTCTATCGAGGGTTACTACTTAGCCGACTATTCAAACACAGTAGTATGAGGACCGATGGACTTACGCATGGTCTGGAGTCAGGACGAACGCTACACCAGGGGCCTCGAGGTCACTGTATGTTCTTAGGTCACGGGCAAAGGATACCGACGGCATGACAGCAAGGCTACTAATAATGGTGATCGTCAAGACGAGGGCAAGCTGCCGGAATGTGCGAAACATGGTGGCTTTGTTCCAAGTGTTAGTTATAATGCGGATGGAAGAACTAGAGGAGAATGGAAAGTCTGATGCGCGCTAGTAAAGCTACATAAAAATGTCAGAAAAGGCCAGGTTGGCGAAATGTTGGCGTGTCAGAATAACTTCAGGAGCACGTGATGATGGGATAATAAGGTTTTCACCATAAGATAAATGTATTCGGGTGTTATTATTAATGCACCACCTTGACTCTAGTCGCTGCGATATAGTTCAGGCAACGGGAACGAAACTCTCTATCGCGTGCTCCAATCAAAAGGACAAGCCTTGGGCGCGAGTAGGAGGCTTTGCCATAACCAGAAGCCTATTTCGAATCCTCCTGTTTTAACAAATGATATGTCAACTTCGCCAAATCTCACTCCTCATCTTTCTTCTTATACTCAAGCTCTTCTACGGGGATAGCTGCGGAAGATCGTTCAGACTCAAGACGTAGTTCTCGCTTATGGAGGAAGTCGGCAAATACTGTGGTGTGAAATCAGAATTGCAACTTTATTTTTTAGTCTTGAAGGGATACCACTTACACATTAAGCCGCACGCGCCTAGAGCAAAGGACAGCACCGACGGGAAACCCCTCTGAAACTTTGGTGCCATCGTCTGAGGGAAGATAAGGATGGGAAGAAAGGAGTTTGTGGCGTAGAAGAGACCGTTCATGCTGGAGATGGTAAGGGCCCTCTCTTCGGCATTTCCGATGTTAATCTCGTTCGCCCAGGTCTGTGAGAGTGTGTGTCAGTGGATACAGCAATACGATATTTGTCTATACTTACCCAGGTTACTCCAGTAACAAAACCTCCTGCCGCAAAGAAGAACGCAACCACCCGGGCAGTATCAGATGGGGGCCAAGCTGTGAGAATAGCGGAACTGACAACGGTTGTGCACAGCTAATGTAGAAGACACGTCAGTCATAGTCTTAGAGGAGGCGAGAACAGGGTCACTTACAATAGGGCCGACCATCCACCCTACACGGTTTCTAGTGTAGTCAGACATGAAGCTCCAGGTAAAGTCGGTGACCATTGAAACGAGATTGGCGCAGCCGGGAATGATATTACGTTGAGTAACGCTGTATCCAGACTCTCCTAGGTAAGTATTAGTAAGTGCAAAGAACCAGTACGTGAGAGCCAGTAGTAGCATACTCAGGTAGATGGCAAAGTAGGGCGCAGCCTGGCAACTGTTTCCATACTGTAGATAGTAATGTTAGTCGTGCGAATGCATTGAAGGAACAAAACAAAAGATACTGACCAGAATATATGTAGCACAGAGTACCCACCATCGCCAGCTGCCAAACATGCGCTTAGCAAGCGCCATGTCCAACTTGCCAGTCACCTGGACCTTTCCCTGAGTAGCAGAGCGTCGCAGGGCAATCTGCTTCTCCTCCTCGGTGATGTACCAAGCCTTGGTATTGTGAGGCAGATCAGGCAAAAACCACCAAACAGACAGAGCGACGGGCAGAGACATACAGCCGCAGACTGTACGAGTTAGCCAAGCTCCACGTACATGCTGTGCACAACACGTCTTACTGATATACATCCAACGCCATCCAGCGAGGCCAAGGTTGCCATCGAGTGTCCTGTGGACCGCGGCCTGCAGGAAGCCTGAGGTTGCCGATCCGAAGAAACCTGTGATGTGCCAGATGGCCATTCTCTTGGCCAGCTCTGCTTTGTTATACCAAGAGCCGAGGAGGAATATGATGATTGGGGAGAAGCCGGACTCGAATAAACCGATCATGAAGCGGAAGGCGTACATCTGATTGGAGCTGGTGGCGGCTGCTTGGGCAAAACTGTCCGAAATCATGGGGCGTCAGTTTGAGAGGATAGGGAGAGATGAATTGGACGGTACATACGTAAAGATAGTCCATCCCAACTCGCAGACGACGATGCAGATTCGGGGTCTGATCTTGAGAGCGATGGCGTTGGAGGGGATTTGCATGATGGCAAAGGCGATTGTGTAAGACACTAAGGATCAGTTAGTTTTGTAGTGTTCGTTCCGTGCCACGGCGATAGGCATTGTCACATACTCAACATATATGTATACTCATTGCCCTGAATGTCCAGATCTTCCTTCATTCCGCTAACGTCTATGGCATGTTAGAAACTTGCTGATCAAACGTCTTGAGAGAGTTTAACCCACAAGCATTGACGATATTGTTCTGGTCAATGTATTTCATCCACTACGAACGGTTATTGGTTCAAAGGTTCTTGCAAGGGGTTGCTGAGAGGAATACATACCCAACCAAGAGTTGCACAGATCAGAATGCCAAAGTCTAGCTTTCTGACCAATTTTCGCTCTTCAGGGCTCTTGAGATGCTGATCATTGTCCCAGAGATGATAGAGGAATCTCTTAAGCGGTGAAGACGGCGCAGGCTGTGCGTCTTCACATACCACGACGCTGCCGGTCGTAGGTTCCTGAGTCATCTTGACATCGGTCTTTTTTTCGCCTTCCATAGCTGTCAGACTTGTCCGGAAGTAAGTTGAAGAGATTGAACAAGATATTTGAGTGTGAGAATGAGAAGACTGTGACATGCAACAGCTAGAGGCAGGGTTCATATACCCCAGGAAAGCCAAGGCAATGCATGAGTGGAGTTGCCTGCGCTATCTCCAACGATTCCCCCGCAATCTTCCCTATCTCATGATAAAAAGATAAATAAATTGACGCTTAAAATGTGGCGCTGATTTATCTATCGGCGTCGTCTCCGATGGGGGCCGATGGACCTATTTTTCGGGGAACCCGCCTCCGACGTTGCCGATCCATCTCCGTGTTCTGATCAGACTTGCGCGCTCTAGGTTTACATTCTCTATCTCTATCTCGGTCTTGGTCTTTGGATTTGTCTTTTTCTCAATCTGTTCAGTTGTCACATCTCCGAGACAAGAAACACTGCGCAACCATGTCACTCAGCCAGATCAAAGATGACTTGGCAGAGGCACGAGAGATCTGCCGGAGTAACCTGGTCAAACAGGTCATGATGGACAATCAGATCGCCACATCGTTCGGCCTTCGACTCTGCTTGTCCACCGAAATTCCTCTCATTGCGAAGCGAGCTGGGTACTCGGCTGTACTCATGAACCTTGAACATGCACCGATTGGCATCGAGACCATGAGAGATGTCTCTGTCGCTTGCCTGAACGTCGGGTACGTCTGGCCTTCCACTCTCGAAGTTGGTGCTAAATTATTCATTGCTTACAAGCATCACGCCCATGGTTGTAGTGCCTACTTGCGAAGCTCAGTGGATATCTCGATGTCTTGACTCTGGTGCCCAGGCCATCGTGGTACCGCATGTCAACAACGTTGAAGAAGCCCAAGTCTGCGTCAATGCAGCAAAGTATCCACCGCTGGTAAGACCACATTATCGCTCGTCAAGGCCGTCCTATATACGAATCGCTAATGCTCATCAATGCTCAGGGTCGCCGGTCATTAACCATGGCTCAGCCTATAATACAGTACACGACACACATTCCATACCAGCTTGTCGCACAAGTTATCAACGACAATGTCATGATAATGCCCATGATTGAGAACGTGGAAGGTGTCTCAAATGCAGAGTAAGATTGCCCTTGCACAACTAACGATAGTATCCGTTGTCCGGAGCTGATTCTCTCACAGATCCATTGCAGCTGTCCCTGGAGTCGATGCTCTATTTATCGGCTGCGCAGACTTGACGACGGAGTAAGTTGCCTCAAAGATCTCCCTCATGCATTGCAGACTCCATTTTCTTTATGGCTGACAGAGTCGCGGAACAGCCTGGGTATCGCTGGCCAATACGATACGGACGAATTTCGCAAGGCTATAGACACCATATCTATAGCTGCCCAGAATGCCAGTGTCAATGGCCGCAAGGTCTTTGTCGGGCTCGGTGGCTTAGAGGGGAGGCCAGATCTTCTCGAAACATTTGCCCAGCAGTATTCCAACATACGGTACGTCCCTAATCATAGCGTCCGTTGTAATCCTATAGAATCTCGTGTAGTTAACATTTCCTAGCTTTGCCATGGCTGGCCGTGACCTTTCGATATTGGCGGCTGGTATGTCGAGACAGGTCGAATCCATTCGCGATATTTCCTCCCGTATACAAGGTGGCGAGGTATAGAATGTGCAGGTGACATGAGAATTTAGGGATGCGCGTGTGGAATATTAGATCAACAATTATGTCATAGACCCCATCGCTGCTCAATAGACGGATGTACATGTCACTTGTGGACATCATCAAAGCTCACATTGTGTAGAGAAGTAAGACGTTTGCCGCACATTATGTTGCCCCAAAGGCTAATGGGTAGATATTCTACATTGGCACAAACTACTCGACTAGTCATAGGTTGACTAATTAGTTAGTTACTAAGAGGATATTTTGAAGAGCGCTGTATTGATAAATATAAATGTATAGAATAATTCTTATTATGTGAACAGTACGTAGAGCGCCTGCTGTAAGCATCGGGTGCCAGGTCTATCAGCTCAGAACAACACGCCTGTAAACTCGGTTTAAATTATTTAGATATCTTAAACTGCTTTTCAGTTGGTTGGCCTTGCTCTTTTAAACGCTGCGCTCACGTTTCGCCTTAAATCACCATCTACCAAGACACGGATACCCAGCATAGCAAGTCCTCTCCCTACCCTAATAGCTCTGTCAAGTGCATCAGGGGTCGCTGCCGCAGCCGTGAATCCAGCGGTATGGTTGGACGCATTGCCTGAGTGGATGCCGTAAGAGCAATGGAATGACGGTATAACATGAGACACGTTACCTTTGCAGGACAAAGAGAAAATGCATGTCAGCTTAAGGCCATGGCTAGTGAGGACACACGTTTTTACATACCCATATCAGTGGCTGCTGAAACGGCTTCCTTGGCCATTGGGAGGAAATTGTCGCCCAGCAGAGCCATTTCATAAGTGAATGTTTCGCAAAGTACCGAGTTGAGGATCTGGTCTTTGTATATAAATGGTCTGGTGACACAGACAAGGGATTAGCAACAACAAATTCACATGCCCTTAAGTTAAGATTATATCACTTACGATCCTGTCTCAACTTTGCAGTTCGTGGCGGCGGCAGCAGCTTCAAAGCAGTTCGTCACTCTTCCAATCAGATCATTACACGCGTGAGCCGTGCTGCTGCGGATACTATACTCCATGCTCGTCTTATCGGGTATAACATTAGAGGCAGTTCCGCCATTAGTAATGATGCCAGAGATGCGTTCGGCAGGCTTGATCTGCTGTCTCATCATGGAAATGTTCACATATGAGCCAACAGCAGCATCAAGCGCATTATAACCTTGCCAAGGCGTGGCACCAGCATGCGCCGCTTTTCCAAAGAATTCGGCCGTGACCTTTGTCGCAGCGACAGTAACGAGACCAGCCGCTCCAGCTAAACCTTCAACCTCTTTGATCCGGTCCATGCTGGTCGGATGTGACATGAGCGCTGCAGCTGCTCCGTCGAATGCACCGGCGTCCAGGAGTCGGATCTTGCCACCACCTCCTTCTTCAGCAGGCGTCCCCAAGATACGGATTCTACCAGCGAGGCCGAGTTCAACGGCTGCCTTTGCTGCTGTGACGAACGCGGTGATGCTTGACAAGGCGATGAGATTGTGGCCGCATGCATGTCCGATGCCGGCCAGCGCATCGTACTCTGCACAGTACACAATAGAATGCTCTCCAGCGCCTATTTCAGCCTCGAAGCATGTTGAGATATTATATGCGTGACGCTTTACGGTGAATCCATTGGTCTCGAGAAATTTGCATATGGTATCGTGAGCAAATTCTTCCTCGTAACATAGCTCTGGGTGTGAATGAATGTCGAGGCACACTTTCTCGAGCTGACTCCTGAGACGATCTGTCTCCTTTGCAATTATGTTGCGTGCCTTGTCAGAAGCGTCAAGCTTGGAAACGACAGTCATGATGAGATGATAAACGGTGAATAAGTAGAGAAAAGATGGACGCAACGATAAAGAAATGCTGGCTACAGTAATAACAATAGAGCCTAAGCAAGAAAAAAAAAGAAAGAAAAAAGCTCTAAGACCAAGGTCGATATACCATTGTTCGCATCGGCAAAAGAAGACATACAGTCATGGTGAGATCAAAACTGATATCGGGTAGGCGCCGTCAGCTCCGACAATCAAGACTCGGCAGCGGGTCCGACGGGGCCGAAAAGGCCGACAGTCTCCGATGAGCCACTCACAGGCCAGGACCATAATCATTTGGAGAAACTGACTCGCGCCAGGGTCTGTGCTAACTTATCTGCACCCCAGACAAGCTCGGGCTGGGCACGGAGCCACTATCATGGTCCGGACTAGGGGAGGAAAGAAAACAAACCAAATGACAAAAAGACTTGAGGCAGCGTGGTCTCAGTTGAGTATAGGTTTAGGATACCTTTTGCTGAGTTTATTTTGACACATTGTATCAAGGTCTGTTGTTTCCATAGCCCCATAACGTAAAGCTCTAGGGGCAAGGGTAATGGTAACCGCAAACATCTCATTTAGCTTCTTCACGAACCCCAGGCTGCCCGGGCTTTTCCTCTCCCTTCCCATCCCCAAAGAATAATTCACCATGGCTGCAAAGTGGGAAAGCGTTGTTGATGAGAGCAATGCCTTTCTATCTGAGGTGCGACAAATCGAAACCTGGTGGCAAACAGATCGTCAAAAACACATCAAGCGGTTAGTAAACCTTGCCGACCTTGTGCCCTCTGACCCTCGAAAGCTAATGTTCGCTGTAGGCCGTACTCGGCTGAGTCCATCGCCGCCCTGCGCAACATCGGGTTCAAGATCGAGTATCCATCTAGCACACAGGGCCTCAAGTTATGGCATATGCTAAAGGAACACAATGCCAATGATACCTACGACTTGACCTTTGGCACAACAGATCCCTTGGTTGCCAGAGAAATGGCCACCTCCAGTTAGACCCCTCCCATCTCCCCCAACATGCCCATCTCTTACACATTGATAGTGAGAACAGTGTACGTTTCCGGCGGACTTGCCGGCCATGCTCAAGCCAACTTCCCCGGCGATGACCACGCGGACTACCCGGCTGACCTAGTACCATCGATTGTGAAGCGCATCTTCAACACCCAACTTTTCCAAGACCAGAGTCAAAACCAGCTTCGCATGAAATACCCCAAGGAAGAACGCAAACATCTGGAATGTATCGACTACATGCTTCCTATAGTTGCAGATGCAGATATGGGCTTTGGAACCCTCACTGGATGCATGAAGCTGGTTCGGAACTTTGTCGAGGCTGGCGTCGCCATGATCCATATTGATGATCTCGCCATGGGTCTCAAGAAGTTCACCAACGGAGAGGGCAGAACTATCGTGCCGACCTCGGAGTACCTGACAAGATTGACCGCGGTCAGGATGACCTTTGATATCATGGGGTATGCATCTTTATTCCACCATCCTCCAGTGCAAGAGACTTACTCGTGGCCCAAATTGTAGTGTAGATACAATGCTGCTATGTAGATGCGATAGCCATGGTGCCGAGTTCATCACGAGGTAAGTCAGCAGCGCCGACCCCCACCACGTCTAGAGAGTCGCAGTGATCTCACCACAGACACAACAATACAGTGTATCAGATCCCAGAGATCACCCATACGTTCTCGGCGCTACCAATACCGTCCGTCCCTTCGCCGAAATCATCAACGAAGCCGCCAAGACTGGGAAACCCTATTCCACAGCAAAGTCAGAGTGGAAAGCAGCCGCCGGGCTGATGACCTTCGACGAGGCTGTTCGGGCCATGGCTACCGATGACCAATACAAACTCTACCAAGACAGTGTCGCTGGTAAGGTCGTGGCACTGCGTGAGAGTCGAGCACTCGCAGAGCGTCTGCTTGGACAGAGGGTTGAGTTTGACTGGGAGCTTCCGAGGACAACTCTTGGGCAATACATGTGGCAGTGGTCATCCCGAGCTGTCATCGACCGGTGCCTCGTTGCTGCGCCCTTGGGGGACCTTTCATGGAGTCGCCAAGGTGAGATAAGAATACCCCCGTACATCTCCCCGCCGTGCTCTTCAAGCTAACAAAGAGAATGCAGACAAGCCAAGTAAGACGACTTTTAACCTCTCATATCCGCTTTGCTCCCCTATCCATTTACATCATCCCTGTTTGAAATCCCCACTAACGTTTGCTCTGAACAGACAAAAAAGACATGCACGAATTCCTCTCAGCTATTCGAGCAGTTTACCCTGACCGTATGTTCGCTTTTGGCTTCACTGGGTCCTATGACTTCTCCAAGGGAGGCTACTCCCCACAGGAGATTGAGTCTTTCCATTCCGATATCGCCAAAATGGGCGTCGTATGGCAGTTCCAGCCCGTCTGGGCCATGCAAGGTCCCAGTGTACAGACCCGACAGTTCGCAGATAGATTTGCCAAGGGGGGCATGGCGTACTATATGCGTGAAGTCGCTACGCCGGCCATCGCAAGCATGCCCAAAGACGGCAAAGGCAATCCCGTTTCGCGCGGGGGTCATCTAGCTGATTCTTTCTTCGATGTAGTAGCAGGGCGAGACATCATCTGCCGTGAATGATGTAGTCATATCCATCGGAAGCTTTTTCTATTGAATAAGAATGTTTCATTACTTGAATATAACCACGTAAAGCTGTATACCTACTATCGTCACAAGTGATTCCCAATGTCAATGTCCAGGCTTTTGTTCTCATAGATAGTCTGCCAGGTCAAAGTACGCAGGGAATTCGATGGACGAGTCTCCAATGCTTTGAAGTCCAGACCCAGCAATATCCAGCTGTAACGCAGACGGCGTCAGTGGTTGGAAAAAGTCGACTGCAATCTCTAATTGTTGTGACGGCGACTCGTAACTATGCTCCTGCGAAGTGCTGTTCGGTTGGTCTATTACAGTGGCCTGTGGCGCCTGGTCATGAAAAGGAAAGTCATCTGTCGCAATCTCCCGGATCATCCGTAGAGTATCTCTATGGACAACTATTGGCTCAATCTGCTGGAGCAACGAGAGGAGACTCTTTCTAGCTTCCGGTCTCACTCTCCGTCCCGTTGTGGCCGTTCTAGCTAATGCATGTTCGAACAGAGGAACCTCACGAGCAAGAATATCGAACGTGTCTCTGATGCACCTGGCCTGAGGCCAACGCTCGGCTATGAGCGTGAGAGTGATACTGCATGCTCTCACAGCCTCAGCAACGTCGGGGTGCTCGTATGCAGCTGGCCTTATCTGAGGCGGTGTAGCAAAGAATGTATACAGAAGAGACACGCCACACTTGAATTGGGCAATGAGACCTAGCCAGAGGTCCGTAACGGTGGTGTCCTTTTGAAACTTTCGGAAGATGAGACATGCCTGCATGCAGGCCTTTACGGTCCAGGTCCCTGCTGAGTAGAAGACAGAAGTCTTGGTAGGCTGATACAGCATGCTGAGACTGTAGCTGTACATCATGTTGATCCAGTCACTGCCGGCAAGGTTTTGCGACGGCGTGTCAGCATAACGCTCCCAGAGTGACCTCCAGCGATCGAGCTTCTCCAGGACCCGGAGGCGCCAAGCATCATTCCGATCAAGATGCTGACTGTAATCGCGGTGAAGTGTAGAGTTGAGAATTTCACTTTGGATCTGGCGGCAGTAGACAACGTGCAGAGCCGCCGAGACATCCGTGAAGCGAGACACTCCCTGGGCCTCATCAGGAAACGCGCTGTTGCACCTATCATCGAGCTCCATATCATCAATGTTGGCGTACATCTTGACGCTGATCTGGGAGTCTGGAATAGACATGGGTAGGTGATACGTCCCACCCACCGTTCGGTCGAGTTTGTAGGTACACCAGAAGATGCGCCGGCGAAGTTGGATCCGAATACGCGCGGCAACATCTACAGGAGCAGGTTCGGCAGCATCACAGTGGAGTTGGGCCATTACGCAGTATCTCATGGCAGCTGAGGTAATCGTGATAATGCGCTCCGTTGAAGGGGAATAAATAGCATGCATGGCAATGATGAGATATGCTTGTATGTGGAGCAGCTGGTCAGGGTCCTTGAAGACGTACGCGAGGTATTGCGTGACTGCCTTGCTGTAGAAATCTTCCTGCTTCAGTCCAGAAAATAGGTTAGGGCCACTCCTTCCGAGTAACAGACCTATCGAGTAGATCATGCTGATAAAGAAGAGGGTGCAAGGTTCAGACGATCGCTCGTGACGGTTCCTTAGTTGGTATAGGCGGAGGAAAGGGTACCGCCATTGCACTTTGTCGTTGTAGATACTAAATAATGTTTCCTCTGTCGCGCTGTCAACCATGTCCTCGAGGTCTCCTTGGGGACAAGGTCTTTGCCTAGCGTCTACCGTGACACTGGGCGAACCGATTTCTGAAATTGGTGCCGCAAAGGCAGCCAACAGTGCCATAGCCGGTGTACTTCTCGACAAATGCGACGGGTCCGCGAGGATGGAGGGCGATGCAGCGGTGGCATCAAGACCCGGTCTTTCCTGGACATGAGCCTGGGAGTTTCCAGGTTCGCTAGGGTAGGTTCTCAAGCCCTGATGCTGGGTCATCTGCTCAATCCGGGAGATGCGCTCGTCGAGGGCAGCCATCTCATCTGACCGAACGACAAGCGGACCTTGTGTTGTCACGAGATCTTGTAATGGGCGGGTAGAAGACGCAGCGTAGCATTGCTCGTCAGCCTTGACGCAGTTACCGCAGGGCTTGCGGTAGTCACATTTTTGCTATGGGCATTTTGCGATAAGCCATACTCGATCAATTCAATGAGCGACAGAGACGGGGGGGAATGACTTACCTTGCGCCTCCTGCAACGGAGACATGCTTGTGTTTTCTGACGCTTTGCTGGCCGTGGATCGTGATGCGAATCATCGTGGGAGATGGGAGCAGAGAATTCTTGATGTGGAGGGGAAAACGACGAGGAGGCTGAAGGGGAGTGGGAAGAAGGATCAACAGCTACAAGGGGAAGGCCACTTTCATCGAGATTGGAGACCATCACTTGCTCGACGGCTTAGGCAGGCAACTCGAGACGAAAACAAGTATATAGACAATCTCAACGCCGCGGAAGTTGTTCTCCGCTGAGTAGAAGGCCGCGTTCTTTAGATCCTCTGAGATTGGAACGTAATGTTAGGATGCATTATAAAACTATCAGATGGGCTAACATCGCATGGATGGAAACTAAGAGGTTGGAGATAGGGAAAAGAATCACGTGCCAGAAAGTCAAGATTTGTCGGAGTCGGATTAAGTAATTCCCTATAGTGGAATTGCAGAGAGCTAACTTGGCTGATTCCCTACCAAGGCTGTCAACCACGAACAGCGCTATTGGATAACGCTAGATATCTCAGTCTTTTATAAAGGCAATCAAAGCGACAGTGGTACAGCTGGGCAGCTGAGCTTAACTAGCGATAGGATGTTCCCGTGTTGCGTGACACCGAAAGTGGTCGAATGACGAAACGTCTGACCATTCCATCAGCCTTGTTCGCCATTCAACTATATCAGGGATGCATAGCAGAGCGATTACTTATGTAGATGAAGGCTTTTAATCCTATTTCTTTCTGTACGATTGAAATGAAAACCAGCACTATAATCGAGCAGTAAGATCACGTTCAAACATACTCATCTCCTTCTACCATACCACATTGGCCATCCGATTTCGCAGCTCCTCATCTGTGGCGTTTGGTTGAATATCGCCAAGGCTCATGATGGGAGTTTCCTTGTCTTTCTGCTCGTATCTCGGTGGCTTTGGAAACACCTTGGTCATTTCAAAGAAGTATAAACAGTTCGCTAGCCATGCGTAGGTGTCTGCGTTGGTGCTTGATCGTGTCGCTCCACCTTGTTTGAGCTGTGCAGGCTATGCCATTCTTAAAATAAACTCAGCAAAAGGCGTCCTAAACTTAGGCTAGGTTACCTAAGTCTTCGTAAAGTTTAGGATTGAGACCCTAAGTGTTTTGTTATCCCTGGCGAGGTTCGAATGGCGTTGGGTATGGGAAGGAAAATACTTCTGTGGTATGTGAGCACGATAATGCAGTTCACTCCTCTAACTGCCATGTATTTTTCAATGATTTAAAGCTCGTGTCCTATCAATCAATAACTTCCGGGGGAAGGAATACTACAAAGTCAAGAGGTGCCAATTCCGCGCCGTCCCCCTTTCCAACGACCTTGAAGATATCCCCTTGCTCAATCTTTACGTTTGAGAACGTGATACGGGCTTTCGAAGCACCATCTGGTTCTGTCGTTGCTGCGCGACTGAGAGTTGTTTCCAAATTGCCAACCCACTTTCCCAACAGTTTGCCGTTCAGGTACGCTTCCCACTTCGAAGTCCCACCAAGAATATCAAAGTATACGACTGCGATGTCGTATCTCCCAGGCTGAAAGTCAAGATTTGTACTCGCCGTAGCTACTGTACTGTTACCGATTGTTTCGAGTGCAGTGGCATTAGAGGCAGACTCAATAGGGTCCAGCACGGCGGTCCTGTATCCGCTATGAGACATGGCCTCGGCTTCTATGCGCCATGGATGGTGTCCAACACGTCCCGCTTCATCAGGGATCCCTGTGAGGTTGTGATAATAATCCACTATAGAATCTCTCCACACGATCGCATGGCCAGCTTGGAAAGTGAGCTGGAAGAGTACAGACTTGAAGCGTTCTTCGTCAACATATCTTTGAGCTCCCATCCATAGCTTCGGAAAGGTATGCGCCGTTTCGGCCCCAGCATAATGAGCATCGTACATATGTTGGATCACCGTTTTCCCAGTTGGAAGCTTATGTGTGTATTTGACGTGATGATACCATAGGATCATGTTTGTTGGTGTGGTTTCTATGTGTTCGAATTTCTCTGCGAGTGCGGGGGGATATTGACCAGAGAAGCCTGTACCGTTCGACACAGTGCGATCCATACCGATGGAGAATGAATCAGACCGAGTCCAGATACCATAGGGGTTGTCATCGCCAGCTCGCACATTTGGCCCGAAGTGGTTATTCGTGACATCTGTAAGGGTTGGCAGTCCCAGGTCTCCACTGCTATAATTCAGATATGCCGGCCACGACTCCATGGCGATGCGCGTGACGATATCTGTTACTTGTGGATGAAGACCGAAAGTCAGACGGCTCCATGATTTGATAATTGCCTCGGGATCATCGGTCGGGTCCCAGGCTAAGCGGCCAAAGGCGTAAAGGTTGGACATGGAGAGATGGCTACCAGTCCAAGTCTGGCTCATCCCCACATTCGCTACACCTGAGAACGCACCGATCCGACGGTTGAACCGCTTCCCTGAGATAATGTCTCGCACAACAGATGGCTTATCATCAACACGAAGATCCGTATCTAATATCTCTTTCCAGAGAGGAGCCAAGTAGACCGTATGCGCTTGCTGTCCCAGGTACTCCTGCGCGATCTGAAGTTCAATACCAGCGTTGGCGTTCTTGAAGTACCCAAATAAGGGATGTGCAGGTTCCCGGACTTGGAAATCAAGTGGACCGTACTTCATCTGAAGGATAATATTATCATGGAACTTTCCATCGAGACCCTGGAACGCGTTGTACGCTTCTGCAGAACGATCTGCTTTCCAATCGGTGATATTCAGCATCTCATACACAAATGTGCGGAACAGGACGATTCCTCCATGCGGTCTGAGGACATCGCCGAAGAGATTAGCTCCCTGGGCCAGCGTGCGGTTGTAGGTGAGCGGTCCTGGTTGTCCTTCTGAGTTCGCCTTGACAAGGTATCCTGCAAAGTTTGGAATCTCGTTGTAGATCTTGTTTGTGATGTCTTCCCACCAGGAGATGACGGATGGCTCGAGCGGATCAAACGTCGATAACCCACCCAAAAGCTGCGGGGAAGCAAAGTTAAGCGCAAGGCCAATCTGCACGCCGTACGGCTTTAGTATAGCCGCGATTTCGCCAAGTCCACGAATGTTGTCTGGTTGCAGGGTGATGGGGTTGGCGTTGACGTTGGTCAAGATGGCGCCGTTTATACGAATCGACGCAAGCAACCGACCGTACTGCTTCACGCGGGCCCTGTTAGGCATGGTCTTGTTTTCTGCAAAGAAGATTGACTCGCCGCCGTAGCCGCGTTCAATAGTACCATCCATGTTATCCCCATCGGATAGCGTTGGTCGGATTGGAGACATAGGAAATTTCAGAGAAGTTGCCTTGGGAAAGCATGGATGCGTATTCACAGGCGCCATAGAGTGCACCCCTCTCGTTCTGACCGACGATCTTGACGGATGCACCTTTGACACTCAGCCAGAACCCATCTTCCTCAAGAGCAGCGGGGAGATGTGCTGTGCCGCACGCATCATGATAGGCGTCAAGAGTGCCCACGATGATGGAGTTCTGGTGGTTACAGCCCTTGAATGTACGCGGGATCTGCTCTTCAAAGATACACGCGAAGGCGTCTTGTAACTCGGTGCCAGCAGTGTAGACGGGACTAGATTTGCTTCCATTGAGCGTGATGATGCTCTTAGGAGGCCTGAAGTTGTCGACGACATCAGATGGCAACGGCTTGTAACGAAGCCAACCATCAATGCCAGTCTCGGCCATGGCTAGACCATATAAGGCCAGAGACGAGACAGCGGCTGTTCGAACTAACATTCTGCCAGTTGATGGCCTCTGGATGTCGGTAGTAAAAAGGCGGCAGGAAGTAGTGATTAAGGGTACGGAAGCACAAGATATTATTACTTGCATGGAGTACAATGGCGTCTTCACTAGAGAAGTCCATTAAAGTTATATCTCTGAGATACGTACCAAGCGAGACATGACGCTTAAGTGAGCCCAAAGAGCCAAACAAGCCTTACACAAACATATTCAGGCTAATGTACCAATAACTCGATGATGCTCCCACATTGCATGGCTGGCTTCCTCTATCAGTATGGGTAGGATCGTCACAATATGCATAACCTCTGAAGGATGACGTCTCAATTGGTGGAATTTGAACTCTTTGCAGATCACGTGTATAGCCGAGAACAATCTCAGTCCCCTCAAGTAACAAACAAACCAATCTTCTTCGGCAGCCAGATCGACGAAAATGCGGGGTATGCGGGGAGACTCGACAAGAACATGGGTTGTAATGAGGCAACCAACAGCCGGACCAATGATGAATATCAGTTCCGGTTCGGCCTGTCTATTGCTGTTGTTTTGTCGTAGGAACGGCCGCTTAGTCACCTCGGCATGCTGTCCGGACATCACAAACCTCTAGAGACATGAGCCACCTGCTTGCCGGGTGGTACACAATGGTAATCGACTTTTGCCTAAATAATCCTGATCCCTGACTTGTACTCATAGTCTGTTGACAAACATCACATGCTTTATCGAAGCCCCGCAGGATAAATCCTCCATTGTCGAAGATCAGAAACAGGTTAGTTGTCAAAATTGTGGCAAGATCGGCATTATTACCGCAGCTTTAAAGACCTCTGTCCTAATTGCGTCATGAAGAACTGTCCCTGAGATGAGACTATATTGCGTGGTCTACCCGACCGCCCTAGAAGTTACTTTTGGCTCCGACTACCACAAATGCGTTATCCGAAGAACATGGCTCTCCACGTCACCAACATCCGAAACGCTTTAGTACTCACAAGTCTCCTCGCATCTTGCTTGTGCATTACCATTGATGCATCTGGGCCTGGCACAAAGGTACTAGACGCCATTGTTATCCCTAATGCCGATAATGTGCGTGGCTATCTGCATCTCCCAACTGAACTCCCGGCGTACCCAGGTGTAAGCATACATTGGAAATCGTCCCATCCAGATGTGGTGTCAGATAAACCTCGTGGTAGAATTGCTGCGGGTGTCGTCAAGAGACCGCCCGTTGGCTCTCATGCTGCCACGGTTCATTTGACTGCTTGCCTCGAAGGTGGCGGCTCTCGGCCGCTTTGTCGCCAATTCCCGGTCAGGGTGCAACCATCCGTCGACCTTGCCCAGTTCTCCCGTTACGCCATGACAAACTTTGCAAGGTCAAATTCCTACATAGGTCAGCAAGTCTACTTCGCAACGAGCGTGGGCAACAATCCGACAGCCTGGGTGGCCACCAATAATGGTAAAGCTGTCCTCAACTCTACCAAAGGTATGCATGGCACCCGAGATCCCGTGGTTGTACGCATACCAGAGGGCGATAGATTCTTCCTCATTGCGACTGATCTCAATGTTGACGCGGTGGAGAATGGATGGAAGGGCTGGGACTGGGCTCAGAGTGGTGCGAGTCGCTACATTGAGGTCTGGGAATCCGATGACCTGCGAAACTGGTCCCAACAACGACATGTCCTTGTGTCGCCGGAGGAAGCGGGAATGACATATGCGCCAGAGGCTATCTGGGATCCCGAAATCGGGGAATCTGTTGTCTTTTGGACTTCGAGCATGTATCCAAAAGGGACGCACTACTCCAGTGATAAAAGCGATCCCGATGGACGTTATCCGTTGACCGGAGGACAAACGCTGTATTCAACGACTCGGGATTTCATCACTTTTAGCCCTGCAAAAGTGATGACAGCGCGAACTGGCCACGGGACGCAGGATCCGGTCATAATTCCAGACGGCAAAGGATTCTACCAACGCATAGTTTCCGACCGCAATTCCACAGGAGTAAACCTTACTTGGTATGGACTGCCATGTGATTCAGAAGATCTCTACCAAGAGAGAGCACGATCCATCCTCGCACAGCCAGATGAATGGGAGCTCGTTGCAACATGCATCACCCATCGCACAATGAACACCACGTACGCCGAGGGTCCACTTGTCTTCGAAGCAAACCTCCATGATTCTCGGGGTAAAGGTTACTACATGTACGCAGACCAAAAATGGGCTGGCTCACCTTCAGGAGAATTCATGGAAGAGCAGTAGCAGCCTTACTGGACTGCGGACGTTGGAAAGCCAGACTGGCAGCCAATCAACTGGACGCTGAAGCCTGACTACGATCTGTCGCTTGGAGTCATTCGGCATGGCCATATCTGGTCTCTCACGACCGCTGAGCATGCAGCCCTTCGCGGAGCAGATTTACGCTCTATTGAGATAATACCCCCCAAGAAGCGCGTCTACAGAATCGGCGAGTCTCTTGACCTCGACGGCATGGTTGTATCTGCGAGATACTCGGACGGTATCACAGATGATGAATTATTTGAGGGCTATGGCGGGTATTCGATCACTGGCTTTAACCCGCGCAGAACAGGCAAGCAAGTAGTTAACGTCTCGTACTCGGTGGGTGGCAATACTAAATCATTATCATTTACTGTAGCAGTAGAACATTAGTAGTTAGTACTATTAACTCACGTTTTGTTTAAATAATAAATAATATTATACCCCTTAATATAGATTGAGGTTAAATCAGCGTATATAGAGTGTATAGAATTTTTTCTAATGACTGGGACTGAAATGCGAATTCAGGCAGGGCCATAGGTTGATCGACTATCCCCAATTACAGACCAGAATTCTTCCACAAACTCTTGCTGCCCAGTGGTCGCTGGCCTAACAGCAAGATATCGTCTATTATCTAGAGGAGGATGCATGTTGCCGGGATGTCCATCTACCATGATACCTCCAGCCTCCAACAAAACACACCAAGCAGCTGCGACATCCCAAGACCAGCAACCACACTCCCAGAACGCATCCTGCTGCCCTGCGGCAACACGACAGATTGCAACGGCTGCTGAGCCCATGAACCGGAGAGAATTGGCAAAGTGACCACCCGAGGCGACAGCCCTGGCCAAGTTTGTAAACACCTTGAGGTTCAGGTCGAAGTTGGGACCCTGTCTGTCGCTGCCCCATTCTAGACTAATACTGGCCGTTTGGATGTTCCCTAGAGGCAGTGAACAAAGTGGCAACTTTCTTGGCGACGCACCACCTTGTGAGACGAATGCTCCTCCGCCTCTGATAGCACTCCAAAGCTCATCTTGAAACGGATTGTAAACCACGCCAATAGTAGGTTGTCCATGGACAACGAGAGCTATGGACACGCAGACCACTGGGAATCCATGAACGAAGTTTGATGTGCCATCGATTGGATCCACGATGAATGTTGGTTTGTTGGTGAGCGTGGTGCCATGCTCGAAAGTCTCTTCACCGATAAACGCGAACGTGGGGAACTGTTGTTGAAGGCTTTCGTAGATAAACTTCTCGACGGCCTGATCTGTCTCTGTAACAATATCTGCGGCTAGAGAGTCTTAGTAAGATAGAAAAGGTTTGAGGAGAAATACTGACTGTTTTTCTTTGAGGATGTTGTTGACAACGTTGGCCGTGCAGCACAAATCATTTCACCAGCCTCCTTTGCGACGTCGACTAAAAACACACATATATTTTGCAAATCATAATTGGCCATTTTCGCTAAGAGCCTCTGGTTGAAGGCTCACCAGGCAGTATCTTGTAACCTTGGGAAATTAATAGATGGGATATGGCCCTCAAGACGAGAATAAATATGCATTGGCCGCATGCGGGTTGGGTTAGCTCTTGGGAATAGAGACTTGGTCTCAGTTAGCGATTCGGCACGAGATAAGCAGACTCGGCTAGAGATATCGGGTGCCCCACGTGGCTCTAATTATAAGCAAATGCTATAACTACATGTTACACTTTCAGGCTAGCAAGGTATGACACAGTACGTTAAATTGCGGCATTTTAATATCGTAGTCTTCTTTCATCCGCCGTCTTCCGGTTCAAGGAGTGCAATGTCAGAAACAGATGGAACACAACAACCAGCAGTACCGCGGCCGGGTGCGGACCGGCTGTCTGACCTGTCGATCTAGAAAGGTTAGATGCGACGAAGCGAAACCGAAATGTCGTAACTGCACAAAATCACAGCGCTCGTGTGTATACAAGTCAAAGCAAAACCAGCAGCGAGTCTCAAAAGACATTAATCAATGCTCGCCGGCCAAAGAAACGATTGAAGTGGCCGCATCTGTACCCCAGCCCACTCCTCCATCTTCTGGGTACTGTGAAAGTAGCACTCCCAGTACGGTCTCTCCATTAGAAACAAGTTGCCAAAATGCCTTTCATCACCCCGGCGACTGGCCACTGGATGTATCCTTGGGGATTGATACTGGGTTGGAGAGACCGGGCGGCGATCCACTATCCACTCGAGATAACCCAGCGGAAACGGACTCAACGTCGAGCCTCATATCGCGAGACATCCAGTTATGCACCACTATGGATCTTCTCAGAGCCCATGATGAGCATCTGCAATCCTCAACAGTATTTCTCGAGGTGGTGGAGTGCCCTGGAATCACGCCCTTCGACAAAGTCAATTGGCATCACGCCAAGTACCAAATTGTCGAGAGATATAAGTCTTGCCGAGCCGTCAACCAAGCAATCACCGCCATATCTACACTACATCAGACTTTGATGTATAACCTATCACCAGCAAGAGCTGTGGATTACGCTAGTCATGCCAGGGCGTCACTTGACCAACTCTTGGGTGACCATATCCACGATTTCAGCACAGCCTTAGCAGTCATATTTATTCTATGTGTCTTCGACCTTATTCTCTCCGATGAGCAGACTATTGCGTTCAAAGAGCCAAGTCAGACTTTGCTCCAGAGAGTCAAGTCCTGGGCACAAAACCCCTTGACACATACTCCGTTATGCAAACGTCTGAGTACATGGTTAAAAATCATCCAAACTATCACCAATCGAGGGGGCGGGAGAGGGCTACTCTCAGAAGAGCTCTACGATATGTTGCCAAATTACGAGGGGGCACTGCCTTTCATTGAGATACTACCAGGCCACCAGCGGGATGTGTCGACGGGCTTACATGAAGTCCTAAGTGCTCCATTGTTTGATTTCTACTTTCAGTTACAGATGATATCTGGCCGAATTGCAAAACAGACACACTATCGTCGCACGCGTAAATCTGGAAGTGACCAGGATGAAGTCATCACAAGCATGGCCGAAGTCAAATCACAACTACAGGCTTTGTGGGAAAGCCGATCGACAATACAACGTCAAACGGCCAAGGGTATCCGTTCTCAATTGGCGCCCAATACTGCAGATATGATCATTGATCTCATTCGTATCTGCAATGCAGCCTATTATGCAGAGTATGTCGAGATAGATCGAGTCCTGGGGGATCCATTGACGAAATGGACTGGCTCTAGAGAGGCCATACAGTCCATAAAGCAAATTGTGGATGATGAATGGGAAGAAAATTATGGTAAAGGGCTGAATCCCGGATATGTTCGAGCCCTCTTTCTTTGCGCGATTGAATGTATGGATCGAGAGCAAAATCAGTGGGCCGTGGAGAGAATCAGCGACATACGCGGGCCATCGTATAGGAGTAAGTTCTTTGCAGAGTTCGGCAGGGCGCTCTCAGAGGCACAGATAGAGAGGAATAGGCGGGTTACGTCTAAATACTTCTGCATTTGGTATTTTGGTGGACCGCCCCCTTTTCTATAGCGAGCTGGGAATTACTCATCGGGCAGTCAGCGGATTTCAGCAGTTAACCTAGATTTACTACTACATAGCGTCTTATTCTCCAAACATTTATCAGCAAAAACTGACCTCTCCAATCTTGTTAATGAGCTTGACTAATGGCGCCTGTTATCCATCTGTCCTCTTTGGTTCGTTTCCTTGCCATTGTCGCCTACCACAGCCTCTACCAGATCAACGGAAGTTTTGGAGAAGGACCGCAAGCTCGCTTTGCGGTTGAACAAGATATCAACTTCAGCCGCTGTGCGATCCTTTGTTTCTGGAACGCAAAAGTAAGCAAAGACGAAGGAAATAAGACAACCGCCTGCCCAGAAAAAGCCTGTCTTGGCTTCCCAGTTCCACGCGGTCGGATTGAGCTGATATGGTGTGAGAACGCCAGCGGTAATGGAAGTAACCGTGTAGAACCATCGAGCAAGCACGACTGTCTTGCTGCACAGGAGTGTTGAGGGGACCTCCGAGCATATCGCGTTTGTCAGAGGACCCATCGTCGCGTTGTAAAGAAAAGACGAGACAATGAGGAGGGAAGCAATTGCCCACGAATATGAATGGTCAGAGGAGTGAGATTGGGGGATTCCGAGACCACCGATGAGTATCATGAGAATAAGCATAAGGAAGAGACTCCAGACATATATAGATCGACGGCCAAAAAGAGACAACAGTGGCCACTAAGGTTCATGTTAAATGAAGATATCACTTTGATATCAGCCAGAGAACTTACCGACACTAGTCCACCAACCAATGCGAGAGAGTAGTTGACAATCGTCATGTTGGATGCTTGAGTTGTTGGAAAGCCAGCTTGTTCCATGAAATAGGTCGAGTAGCTCCGTAGAGGGTTGCCGCTGAGAGTCTGAATACAGTAGACACCAATTGCAATCAGTGTTCTTTTCAGATCGGTCCCCTTGAAACAGGCCAGGTATGATGTCTCAGCGCTAATGGCCCTTTCATAATTGGTCGTCACTACCATAAAAGAGACAGTCTTATCGATGTCGAAGTGAGCCTGTTCCGCTGACGTGAGTCGCTTCAGTACCTTTTTCGCTTCTTCCAATCTTCCCCTTCGGACGAGCCACCACGGAGATTCAGGTGCGAAATAGAGACTTGGGACTAGAATAAGGGGCCAAACCCATCTTCCATGTGTTAGTCGTGGTGTGTTGTTAGAGCAGAACCCAGACACATTTTACTTACTGTATGGCAAACGGAATTCTATATCCCCACTCATCGCCACGTACGAGAAGGGCTCGAAGGATGCCGGCGCCGATGAGATGACCGATTGCCTATACATGCTCAGTCTCACTGTACTATCACACAATCAGATATGTCATACCCAGCAGGTATTCACCCAAGTCGTCAAATAAGCCTGAAGGCAAACGGGCGATATTTCCTTAGCATATACAACAGGAATCGTCTGGTAGAGACCCATAAATATTCCTAAGTCAGAGTTATTAGATGGGGTCATATTGATAATGGCTTTGATCAGCTTACCAAACAGAACTTGGCCAACCTCAAGCACAGCAAGGCTAGGAGCGAAGAAGGGAAAAAAGATAAAGGCAGCACTGGCACTTAGGCCAAGGGTCATGGTCTTGCGGAAGCCGAACCTCTCGGTCATGTAACCAGACACCAACAGACCAACCAATTGGCCACAAGCACTGCCGTTGGTGAGGCCAGCCTGCCAGGGAGCCGGGATCTGATAAGTGTCGCCTTTGGCAGGCTGGCCGTAGCGCTTCCGGAACTCCGGCAAGCCGAACATATTGCCCATGAGCATCGTGTCATAGCCCTCCATGAAGATGGCGGTAGACATCAGAAGGGCCCATAAGACTGCTTTACGATACAGTTTGAGGGCATCCCAGAACTTGAGGTCATGCTCTTGAGCATTCGCATCTTGCGCGTCAGCGACCCAATCGAGCTGAGTGGCCTCGGGTCCGTCAAGGTTTTTGGCCATGTCGTTGGAATTAGACATTGCTTCTGGTTGCTTGTCTGTGTAGTCCGGATTGTTTTGGTTTAGTGATGTTGTGAGCTGGCTGGTAGATAATATCAAGATCAACGCCTCAATACGATATATATAGTAGGACGCAACTATAGCTCATACATTCGGCAGTCAGAAACAACCAGCTAGTTCATAAAATCATCTGCCAATCATATACATTCAATGTTCCCCGTGGGCAAGATTCATTAAGCTTTCACGACTAAATGACGCTAGTCCGTAACTATCTATCGAGGTGACACATGATGCTTATCTCTAGCCGAGTTTTATTCAGGCTTCGTATTCACCGTGCCCTAGTGCGTCAACATGCAAAACAGGGTTCTCTCGACATGATCTCTGCAATACTGTATTCTTATTGGTAGTATGTATTAGCTTTGAACTAACCATTCACAAAATTCCTATCTCGTGCCGAGTCGTTATCTTGTGCCGAAACTACGGGCCAGCCTTTGTCCACGTGGGATCTATAAGAAACCGAAGACCAGAAGCTCTCGGACCGACAGCACTCAAGCAGATTTCCTTTTTTTTCTTCTCTGATAGGGCCTCAACACAAACTTTGGCATCACAAGACGCAAAAATGATTCTCGGCTCTGTAGCCGTAATGGCGACTGACGGCCAAGTTTATCCACCGGCTGTACACACCAAGTTTTCTCCAGACGGAAACCCCCTGCGTTATCCTGGAAATACGACTGTTTGTCACATCCCAGCCGAATCGCTTCTCCTTCCCGGGCTTTGGGAGGTATACAACACCATCGCCTCTCATCCCACACTTTCGAAAAAATTCCGTCTACTCCCGCCTGATTCGTGGCACATGACGGTATTCGACGGCGTCCGCGAGGAAGAGGCCGAACCTGGCATGTGGCCAGAGGGTTTGGAGAAGTTGCCTCTGGAAGAATGCACGAGGAACTTTTCCAAGAGCGTAAAGAGCCTGGGTCTCTCATTGATGGCAGAGGGTCTGGCACCGCCATACAAGATGCGTGTTAATGGGTTCCAACTTGGTCAGTTTGGCATGGCACTCGACATCGTGGGAGCGACAGAGGAAGAGGAGAAGCGTATGAGAAGACTGCGCGACAGGCTGGCTGACGCCTTCGGGTTCCACGCGCCTAACCACCTGACGTACCGGTTTCACGTTAGCATAGCGTATCTAATCCGGTGGCTGGAAAGCGAGGATCAGGCTGAGTTTGAAAAAGCCCTCACAGGTTGGCTGCCAAAGATAAAGAGGGGCTTTGAGCTTGGAACGGTCGAATTCTGTACCTTTGATGACATGTTCTCGTTTCCCAGACTTTTCTACTTGGGCGAAACGGCCAAGGACAAAGCATTACGTTAAGCTTGTAATTTTCAGCTGCAGCATAAGAAATTATAACAGACTTAAAATATATACAGATACCATCTATGCCGGCGCTGAGGAAAGGATGGGTTGCAAGAGTTGTGACCACGCATCGGATAGTAGAAAGACATGGGGTCCCAGAAATCTCGCTAGACAGACATTGCATCAGCGACGGAGGGCTCCCGAAACCCAGGAGCCTGGTTCATGGGTACGGTAGACGCGAGGGCTTGACTTGGGCGGCCGACTCGCTTACCAATGCGGTCGCTCAAAATGAGAGCTGAAAGTTTTGAGAAATAGACAATCGGTGCTGATTGGGCTCCGGTTACTTGGCCATGATGCGAATTGCTTTTTATGTCAATTATGAGGCGAGACTAGCGTATATATGACGCTCTGGCCGCCAATGTTCATCTACAGCACCCTGGCACCTCAATGCTTTGCTGCAGATCAGCCAAAATTCCTGTGATATCTCGATAGGCTGACGATAATTAATTACCGAACAACATCGGTGCCTGACCGGCCCCACCCCGCCATTTTTAGATCGGGCTTGATATCAATTAAAGAAATGTTTTATCCTCCATAGCAACTTTCATCTTTTACCATACGCAATTGTCTTCTGTCGCACTACATCACCACAAAAATGAAACAGATATCCCAAAACCTAAGCGCAGTTGAATCTGCCGTGGCACAGCTCTGTGCCGCACTGCGAGGTGATGCACAATCAGAAGCTGGACAGGTACCGCCTTTCCATCGCCCCCATGATACGCATGAGCTGACCATATCTTAAGGCCCGTATCAACACGGCAGCCATCAACTTGAAGGACGACCTTGAAGTTATGCGCGACTCCCAATCGGCCATTGAGAGCTCTGGTGATGACACCAAGAAGAAGGCCCTCCAGGACTTGATTGGCCCAGTAAATCTCAACAGCTTGAAGATGCAATTGGCGCCTGCTGACATTCAAATCTTGTAGTTTTCCAAAGGCCTTAGCCAATTCGCAAAAATCATCACGAATATCTACGAGCGTGGATCCCTTCCTGATGCTATTGCATCAGACTTGAAGCCTGTTCTGGCCAAGTATGAAGAGGTTCAAGAGGTAAGTACCCCGCCCGCGTCGTATCTAGAGGAGATAATTAATGTGAGTAAACAGTCTTATGAGAAGCTTGCTACCGACAGCGGCCTGAAGATTGATTTGTATATGCCTGGAGTGTCAAATGTACTGCCAGCAAATGTGGAGGAGGCCTTTGGCAAGCTTGGCGGGCGGTAGAGCAAGGCTCCTCATATGGCACTATGATTCCGTTTTTGCCAAATACCCATATACTTTGACCTCCAGATATAAATTAACCCGTATTACCTTGACATATTGGACTCGCGGTGACAATCTTACACAAACTAACGCTCTTGGGTCCTTCATCCATATCTCTCATTCGATAGTTCTGACGTATCGAAATATGCATCACGCGCTCAGAGATTAGTGATTATCAAAAGTTGCCGCCCTACCCTATGAGTATCCAAGCTTATTGCATTTGCGTGATTAATGCTAACTCTGCAATTGGGCAGAGTGCAGGCGAGGTTACTCTGCATGGACTGGGCTGCATAGTCAGCAGCAGATTTGCAGATCTACTGTTTTGCTATTGGTCATGAAGAATATGCATATGTCCTCAGAGTTTCATTTTCCCCTAATCGGGAAGATTGCGCATTGGCTTCCGAAAAAGGTCGTATTTGGTGTGTAGATACGATCAGCCCTGTGATATCTTTATACCCACTTAACAACCCCTCTTCCCCTCGCCATTGTTCTTGCACTCTGACTCTATTTTCCTCATTATATCGACTCCTCTTGCTTAGTTACAAAAGCTTTTCATATCATCTTTTCAGCTCATCATCTAATACTCCATTCTATTTCTAATAAAATGCTCAGCATCAATCTTTCTATCGTAAAAGCAACCATCTTTTCCCTTCAATATCATTTTGTAGGGTCTTTCTTCTTACTCTTGGCTCTGAGCTATGTTTGCGATAGATATCGGCCTGGTCTATCTTGTATTCCCGGCCCGCCTCTCGCAAAATGGACAAAACTTTGGAGACTCTACGATGTTTACAACGGTCAATCTCATCAGACGGCTATAAGACTACACAAAAAGCACGGCCCGCTTGTTCGAATTGCACCCCGCATTATATCTGTTGGCGATCCTGCAGCCATCAAAACCATCTATGGATTGACCGGCGCATTTACCAAGGTTGGTAAATCAACCTCTCTAGCTACATCCTTACACTGACATCGACTCTCCAGTCAGCATTCTACCCTATTCAGAGTATTTCTTGGAACAAGAAACCGCAAATGAACCTCTTTTCAACACGGGACACGGTTTATCACCGGGAACAGAAGAAAAAGGTCGCGCACGCTTACAGCTTGACCAGTCTTCTCGGATCCGAGGAGGCAATGGACTCCTGTACTCAACTCTTCACTTCACGCCTCGACGAATGGGCCACGACAGATAAGCCCATTGATCTAGGCGCGTGGCTTCAGTATTACGCTTTCGACGTCGTTGGTGAAGTAACCTTCGCACAGAAGCTAGGGTTCTTGGAGACTGGCGCAGATGTTGACGGCATGATGGAGACCATTGAGGGTATTCTCTTCTACGCAGCTCTGTGTGGGCAGGTGCCGGAGATGCACCCACTTCTGCTGGGCAACCCCTTATTTCCGTATTTGATTCCAGCCATGGAGTCATGGAATGCCGTGTTGACCTTCACCCTAAAGGCCATCAATTCTCGGACAACTATCCAGCGGGACGGCGAACTGGAGCTTAACGGCGACGGAGGCAGGGACTTTCTGTCAAAGTGGGCTGCAGTCAAGAAAAGGGATCCGCTCAAGATGAGTACCCGAGATGTTATTACACATCTCTCAACCAACGTATTTGCCGGCTCGGATACTACCGCCATCGCTCTCAGAGCAATTGTTTACTTCCTCATCAAACACCCAGAAAATATGAGAAGGGTTGTAGAAGAGATCGACACAGCTGATAAAAGCGGAAAGCTCAGCGACCCTATCTCATACAAGGAATCCACTGGTCATCTGCCATACATGGGAGCTGTGATCAAAGAAGCGATGCGGCTACATCCCTCTGTCGGGCTTCTCATGGAGCGGCATGTCCCGCCCCAGGGCGCAGAGATATGCGGGCAGTTCATCCCCGGAGGCACAGTCGTCGGCATCAACCCATGGGTTCTTCACTCGGACCCCAGAGTGTACAAGGATCCTGAATCCTTCATTCCTGAGCGCTGGTTAACTGCAGACGCGGGGTTGCTCTCCAAGATGGAAAATAGTTTTTTGGCTTTTGGCGCAGGATCGCGAACTTGTATTGGAAAGTACATTAGCCTGATGGAAATGCACAAGGTGATGCCGCAATTACTAAGGAGGTATACTATCAAGTTGGACGATCCCAAGGCTGAGTGGCGAACATCGAACCGTTGGTTTGTACAGCAACATGGACTTATTTGCACCCTAGAGAAAAGAACATGAAACTTTGAGAGAATGATACGCGTTTGAGAACTTACGACTGGCTACTCATCGTTATATCAGCATTGTTTACCGTGACGGTGAATTATTAATAGGCATAATTATCGGTATACTAACTAAAGTAAGCGTAGGGAGCTTTCTCATATCGTTGCATAGAATTACATTTCCGAAAGGGTGTTTGCATAACAGATATGCAACTATCAGTCAGTCATTGACCAACGAGCTTTATGCTTCCTCGGTCTGATCCTGCAGCCTTACTTTCATGCAACCCCGCATCGCGGCTCAGCTCACCCTCTCATCCCCATCTCTCCCTCAGCTCAACTGTTCTTGAGTAATCACATTCAAACCGCAGAACGACGTTGCAATGTCTGGCGCTGAAGCTGCCCTCCTAGGAGTGGGCATTCTCTGCAACGCGATGCAAATCCTCACCTTTGCCAAGGACTCCATCCACGTGTATCGCAATATCCGCGATGGCCGAGCTCCTGACCTAAAACTCGACTCGTATCTCAAAAATGCGAAGACTTGCTTCAATGAGATGAACCAAACCGCCGCACAGATTGGGCCACTGGGCCAGACTCAGCAGCAAATTGTCGATGTTGGCAAAAAGGTCCATGACTGCGTGGAGGAGCTGCAGCAACAGTTCGTCACGCTTAATGTTGACGAATCTTCAAGAAAAGGGCTTCGTGGTAGAGTGGCTGCGTCGAAGAAAAGCGCATTGGCACTTTGGCGTGGAAAGGAACTTGAAGATGCCGAACACAACCTCCAGCGCCACGAACAGCTCTTGCACAGTCTCCTCTTGAACCAAGTTTGCAGCCAATCCCAAGCCACCGAGATCACCTCTTTAGAGACTTTCCAGCACCTCGAAGGGGCTTTGCGGAACATCATTTCACAGCTAGCACATGGCTCCACAAAAGTCTCAGACCTGGGCACTGATATATTTGCAAAACTAAGTTCCCGAGTGGCAGATGAGCACGCAACGACGAGAACTATTATTGAACATCAAACATCTTCATTGGAGACCACAATCCGTGAGGGTACTTCTCAGTCGATTGATCAACTTCGTCAGGAACTGGTGGATCGTGAGCAGGATAAGGCTTTTGAGAAACAGTATGAGCAACTTCTGTCGAGTCTACGGTTCCCAGAGATGAACAGCCGAAGAAACCATATATCAAATAACTATCCTGGAACATTTAATTGGATGTTTGATCAACACGACTCACCACAGTCGGATCATGGCTCGTCATATGAATCTGATCTGTCAGAAATGGATAGTCAAACATCTCAAGAAGACACACAGACTAGTGAGATGAAGGTCTTTCGCTGCCCAGAGGATGTCGAGACTACTAATGAGCTAGACTCAGATTGTTTTCCATGCTGGTTAGAATCAGAGTTAAATATCTTCTGGGTCAGTGGTAAGCCAGCTTCAGGCAAGAGCTCTCTGATGAAATTTATCGCTTCAAAACATTTAACAATGAATCATCTCAAATCCTGGCGCTCGAATGTACGAGTTCTTACTCATTTCTTCTGGAAGCCCGGCCAGCTGTTACAAAGAAACGTGGAAGGCATGGTTTTGTCGCTCCTCTATCAAGTCCTAGGTTGCAGACTTGCACTTTGTCGAAAGTTGTGTGAAGCCCAGCCCTACGTGCGGCACAAGCGGAGTCACTCGGACTGGAGCCTCGATGAGTTAACAGAGACTCTGGTTAGAGCACTGGAAGCTTCCCCCGAGGCCTTTTGCATCTTCCTAGACGGTCTGGATGAGGCCAAAGAGCTAGAAAATCTGCCCTGGCCCGACTGGACCAATGCTCAAGTCATCCACAAACTCCTCGAAGTAAACAACGTCAAGCTTTGTGCATCGAGCAGGGAGGAACATGCATTTTGCTCTTTTTTCAAGGGTGCATTGCGGATCAGGCTACATGACTTGAACTGTCGAGATATCACTCTTTTCGTACGAAAACGACTCGTTATCTCTGGGCTTCATTGCCGCGATCGGGATGAACTTGTACATGAGATTGTAAAAAAGGCTGAAGGCGTGTTCCTTTGGGTCTCTATTGTGTTGGATCGCCTGAACCAGGCCATACGGCACGACTATACAACCATCGAGATACTTCGAGAACGCCTCGAACAGACTCCCTCAGATTTGGCTACGCTCTACGCCGACATGTGGGATAGAATCGGGGATAATGGCCGGCTGCCCAGTGTTCGAACGGCATCATCTCACTACTTCAGTCTGACGATTCTTGCTCGAAAGATGAATGAATATCTAGAGCACGACAGCAAGACACTAGATCAGCCTGGTTACAGCATGTCTTCATTACTTGTAATGGCGACAGCTATACAAGATAACTCAATGGAGGCAATACTAAGCATGAGTCGTAATATAACAGTCGATGAACTCCTAGCTAGATGTTCGAAAGCCGAGAACGAAGTGAAAGTCGTTTGTGGTGGCCTGCTTGAGGTGATCAATCACGGCCGAGACCCTCGGTACATTCTATGGAGGGGAGACAAGCGGCTCCGAGATTATAACTTCAAAGAAGTCAATTTCATCCACCGAAGTGTTTTTGATTTTCTTATGGATACAGTCGCTGGCCATGATCTGTACGGGGCCTGCGAGTCTCCTGACGGGAATAACACTTCCAGGTTACTTGCAGCCCATCTTGTTAGAGCTCAATTCATATATCTCGATCGTGGCCTCGACGTCGACCTCAAATATATGTCAATCGACAACAGATGCAAGTATCGATCTTCCACGTCCAATCCGTCTTTGCAAGTGGCTCTGGCTATTGCTTTGGATGGTCGCCTGGTGTCAAATTTTTCATTCCAGGACAGCTTGTTTGATGCTATTAAAGTATGGCAGTTATCCGGCTTACTTGCCGGTCACTTATATTGGTACTTCCCAAAGTGTTTCCGTTCGAGTGCAAACTACCTCGAGCTGGAACTTGTAGAAGCCAGCATTTATGTGGCTTTCTCCAATGAGAATATGGATCAGAAGAGGGCCAGCGCCATCGTTAAGAGGCTACTTAGCAAATATGACACGCCTTGGCTGGTTGATAGTCTTCCTGTCATTCTTCGTGCGCTGTCCCGAGCTCGCAAACGCTTTTGGGACGGCAAGAGTCCATTTGAGTCACTGGTCAAATATGTTCTTGATCGCTTTCGAAGCGTAGACCGAGATAGTGCTCACCTTGACGGCACAATAAAGCATGCTATCCGCACTCTGCACTGTTGGTGTATCATTCACTACTTGGAGTTCGTAGCTCTTACCACTGCTTATTCAACAATAGAGCCAGATTTGAAACTGTTATATGAGCTGAGGAATACTCTGACACCCGAAGAATGGGGTCAGCCGGTTTTGATTGAGCTTGTATATAAGGATATAACTTCCGGTAGGCTCGACTCAGAACTTCCTGATACCGGATACTTGTTTGAGCCAAGACAGAGACCTGAAGATTTCCTCTGTCGAGGCCAATACGTCCTGGCTGTTGGGAACCTCGCAACCGCATACCAGTTGGTAGATACGATGCTATCAACGGAGTTTTCGCGAATCCTCGACATCCAGATCCCGCAGGGTATTACATCGCGAATGGATATAATACTTCTTGCTGAGCTCTACCCTAGCCGCAAGAGTATCTATTATTCACCAGGAGGGGGGTTTCATAGCCAGATCCGAAAACTGTTGAAAACAATACCCGCGCTGGAACGTCGACAATCTTGGCTAAAGTTGCTGAAAACTTCACGCGAAGAGCTAGGACGAATCCATAGTTCACAGGTTGTTGATTACGTGGTACGCGAGTTAAGAGAAAGAGATGTAGATGTTATTCTTGTTGCTGGTCTGATGTCTTTAGCTGATGTATCTAGGCAAATGGATAAGGTCAAGGAATAGAGGTTTAAAATCATTAGTAAATTAAATATAATAATTAAAGATAAGACCAAGAAGCTACTTTTAACTTAATTCCTAAGCAAAATCAAATTAGCGTTTTCTTTATATTACTTTTTTTTCTTTATTATTATAATTTTAACGCTTGATATATATATCTTTATATAAATCTCTTTACCAGGCCTCTTATTACCCTCCCTATCGCTCTTTCAACCTAGGAGACTCAACAGTAATTTTATCCTACGGACACTCCATCCTTTAGTCCACTGAGCTCGGCAATATGATCAGCGCGAGAAATCGGAGCAACAACGTCGTCCCCGAACAAAGCCCCCTATCTCTTCAAGGCTTTGACCAGACTAGTTCAATTTAGCCAAGGTTTTTGAATGATTATTGATACGACTCACAGTCTCGGAGAGAAAGAAAAAGTAGAACAAGGTGGCAGCGGCGTTAGATGCGATGAAAAGTGAATAGTATCTGAAGATAAGATCAGTTGTCTTACACAAAATGCATGACTCTCGGGTGCATGGACGTGCCGACAGCTGGCATTAGCAATACCCAATGGTGTTATCTAAGACAAAACGATTGCTACGATAGCCTTTATCGCCACAGCTAGAGCCATACCCTTGGTCCTCAAGAAGAAAGGAAAGAGCTCTGAAGGAACCAACCAGATCATGGCATTGAAGAAGACAGCGTAGCTCATAGAGTAGAGGAAGATAGACGCAATGGAACCCTGGTTGTCATTGTTTGTTTGAGGAACCCAATTCTGCGCTGTGAGGCATGCAAATAGTAATCATGACGCAGAGCACAGATCTAGTCCATAGGGCGCAAGTGCGAGGGGTCTTATCGGCGACGAAGACGAGGTAATTGACTTGACCTATGATTCCCCTCATACCATAAACACCGCTGATCAGTAGGGAAGTACGTCCAGTGAAGCCAACTGTTTGGTAGAAGACGCTCTGGAAATTCTGTAACATGATATTAAATAGGAAAGCAGGGTTTTCTGGAAATGGGGGCATACCCGGATGACAGATGAGTCCGAGAGCTCACTCATAGTCACGATGAATGAAGCCGTCAAGGTCAATCTGAGTTCGGATTTGAAAAAGCTCCTGCTCAATGAAGGTCTCGTCATGGTCATTATCATGAAGACGAGCGAGTACTTGCCCAGCCTCGTCATGCCTATTCTTTAGTACCAACCAACTTGGGGAGAAAGTGACGGAGAAGAATGACTGGAATAGGTAGCTGCATAGCAAGCGGGATCCTCCACTGTCCGTCTCCCTTGGCAAAGGCGCCAGCGTATCCGATCCAGTTGGCAACGCCGCAGCCAATCGCAATCATCATTCCTTGGAGGCCGGCCAGAAAGCCGCGATGGTCGGGCTTTGATACTTCGGCGAGGTAGATGGGGACGACTGAGAAAATCCGACCGCAGCCGATGCCTGCTACGAGACAATGAGCTAGGGTTATTTGCTCAGCTAGAGATCCAGGATGCAGCCGGCAAAGCATCTTGGGATCTTGTCACAGACGATACATAGTCATGTACCACGAATCCCGTTATAACAAGTGAGATCTACGATGACGAGGTTTACGACATGGACCATATACCTTTAGGTCCTTTGAGGACAAGGGCTCTCCCAAGACCATCGGCTCGACTCGTAGCACCTGATATCCCTCCCGTTCGCGTCACTGAGACGATCTCCTGTAAGCGTCTCTTTACCAGTCGGAGCAGTAATAAAACTTTAGACTTTGGTCAGAACCTTGTGGGCAAGATCTTCATACCAAGTTTCCTTACTGAGAAGGGCAAATTCATCACCTTTCGTCATGCCGAGGTTATCGAGAATGCAGAGCTGGGTACACGGCCGCTTCGTGACGCAAAGTGCTGCGATACTATCATCGGTTGAGGCGAGGTTCTATTGGATTGGTCACCCAAGTTTACCTTTCATCGCTTCCCATATGTAGAGGTCGAAGGATGGCCCAGCGGTGGTCCCACGCCCGATGACGTCCAAGCTTTAGTGCTTCATCCCGATATGGAGCGCCGAGGATTCTTCGAGTGCTCCAACTCTTATGTGAACCAACTACACAAGAATATCGTCTGGTCATTGCGCCGCAACCTTCTCTCACTACCTGCAGACTGCCCGCAGCGAGATGAGCGTCTCGGATGGACCGGCGATCTGCAAGTATTGTGCCCAACAGCAACATACCTCTATGACACCCTGGGTATACTCAGTAACTGGCTGCAAGATGTATCACCTGAAAAACTGGAGGAAGGGAAGGCCGGTATACCTCCTCTTGTATGTCCCAATGCCATCAGTTCCAATTGGCCTTATATGGCTCAGGCGATCTGGGATGATGTCACTGTCCTAGCTCCAGGCGCTTTGTATCAGTATAGCTCTGATAGAGGCCTATTGGAGAGGCAGTTCGAGAGCATGTATGCTTGGCTAGAACGGGGTGTTGGTAGGGCTCTAGATGGCCTTTGGAATCCTGATAGGTGGCAGCTGGCAGATTGGTTAGACCCCAGTGCACCGCCGGAAGATCCTGGAAACGGGCGAACTGACAATATCCTTGTTGCGAATGCTTATCTTGTTTATGCAACACCGGTGTTTTCTAAGTTAAGCTCTGTCCTAGGAAAAACGGAGCTTGCTGTTAAATATGCACAAGATGGGGAGCGACTCAAGGCCCTGTTCCAGCGAAGGTATATCACAGCAGAAGGGAACCTCACGTCAACATCGCAAACGGGTCTTGGTATCGCTATCAGATTCGGACTCTATCCCGAGAACGAGGAACAACGCAGAACAGCTGGAGAAGCTCTCGATTGTCTGGTTCGCACTGCTCGCTTCCATATCAGCACCGGTTTCGCTGGAGCTCCAGTTATCTCCCATGCGCTATCTGAGATTGGCTGTTCACAACTGGCATATCGCATGTTGCTCGAGACCACATGCCCTAGTTGGCTATACGCTGTAGTATCGCACGATGTAACTACTGTATGGGAACGCTGGGACAGTATGCTACCCGATGGTCGCATTAATCCCGGCCAAATGACGAGTTTTAACCACTATGCTCTTGGCGCAGTAGGCGATTGGCTCCATAAGACAGTCGGTGGTATCTCGCCTCACGAGCCCAGCTGGCGCATTATTCGGGTGCGCCCCATTCCCGGAGGGAACATCACTAGTACCAAGGTATCATTCAATGGACCTTATGGGCTTGTTGCGTGCGAATGGAGACTTGAAGGTCAACGGTTTACTATGTCGTTGACTATCCCTCTTAACTGCTCGGCCCTAGTAACTTTGCCTTCAGAAGTGCGAAAAGACTTTAGCTGCGACGTGGAGGCAACGCGAATTCTTTGCCCTGGTTATCACGCGCTGGAATGTCAATTTAATGCTGGGGAATGGCCGCCTAAGCCGATGGTTGCTGCAAATCAGCCCATGCCTGTAGAGAGTATCGCCGGGTAGAAGAGCACTCTTGTGTATATACAGATATTATATAGCCGCAAATAGTTGAGGTCTTTCTTTGTGATGATATGATTTAGCTTTCTCAGGTAAAGAAGGGCACAGTCGTTCTTTACAACCTCTTTCACCATTCGTCGCCACTACTAAACTGATAAAAAGCTAGAAATTCCCTAGATCGGCGCTCTTCCCTTGAACTAGTCGGCAATGGTTTTGCCAAATGCTTCAATGATCAGAACTAAGCCTGGCAGTTCTCCAAGTCAGCCACAATTCTACCACAAAGCTCCCTCTCGCTCGCCTTGGCTACTTCGTCATCGCTGCTATCAATCATAAGACAACGAAGCACAACATCCGCATAAGTGTCTCCACACTCCCATCTCAAGCGATCGAGATAATTTCGGCATATTAATCGCCTTCGCTCATAATGATCTTCTTCGTTATTTGAGTCCGAGTCCAAGCCCGAGTCTAAGCCATCGTCCTTCAAGCTCTCCCATAGGCCGACTTCAATAAGAAGAATCCCAAGAGAGTACACATCATATGCGTGGCGATATAAGCGCTTGGGGTCTGCGTGCTTCGCGGGATGCTGATAATAGTCAAGTGTGAAGCCACTGATATTTGTCTCTTTCGCTTCCTCAGCTGAGGCAACCTTTCCTAGCTTATCGCGACCGTATATGCTGGCAGTGAAAGGAGTTGATTTTCGGCGTCTTAACTTTGACTCTTCGTATGGACTATCCCAAGTTTCTGTAATTCCTGACACCCTCAGACTGTTTCGGCGGTCGACGAGGCTTTCCATTTCTGGCACTGGCGCTGATGTCGGATTTTTGCGGATGGTGATATCGTCCGGCCGTGAGAAGATGTAGCCCATCAGGCTGGGCTTCGAGACATCGATTTCAATTTTGACCTCGTATCGATCCTCTTGGAGCGTATTTACATGCTCGGGAAAGAACATAACTGACTCTGCGCGTATGTTCTTGTGCAGCCAGCCACTGGAGTGTAGGAGGCAAACGGCACGCACAAGCTTTCTAGCTAGCTCGAAACGTGCGCCGAGCATCGAACGGATGCCTTTTTCCCGCTTCGTTCCTAGGAGTGACTGTAGCGTCACAGGCGCGCGAAGCTTCAGATTCTCCGCAGGCCTATCACGGCTCTGGAAGCCAATCGTGCCTGGGAGCCTATAGAGAATGCTGCAGTGGCCTTTGTCGTCGCCTTCAGAGTGATCAATCATCCCGACGATATCCAAACCGTAGACATTCTTCATCATGTTGGCGCCTTGAAAGGTATCGAAGAAATTCCTAATGAGAGCACGAAGCTTAGGATCTGCTGGCCTGACTCTCTCGATCGGTTCGTCGTCGTCACTGCTGCTAAATTGATCCATTTGACTTATTTCATGCCTTTTGTAAGATGGCAATGATGACAAGAAGCGCTCCCGCTTTCGACGATTCTTCAACCGTTGTTTCTGCTCTTGCGTAAAGTCTAGCGGCGGTCCGCGGTAGTCCCTCATTTCCACGTAAACAACTTGCTCTTCGAATAGTGCAAGTCCCTTTCCTAAATATCTCATCTCAGGTTTTATCTCGTCAATGCTGGTGAGGCTCCTGTCGTTTGCTTCCTTGTTGTCTCTGTTTTTATTCACCGATGCCTTCAGGGTGGCCGTCGAAGCCAGCAATTCGTATCCCTGTCGCACTAGAGACTCTTTGTCGATATTTGCATTCTCGGTTGCGAGTGTTGAAGTCCACTTGAGGCCGTCTGGCGACTCCTGCCTAGCCAAACACTCCATCGTAAGATATATGTTCATAGACTCGAATGCATTCTCGGGACAGAGCCGATAGAGGTTCTCACTATGAGATCTCAAGTCCGCAATGAGTTTTTTGAACTTTTCTTTGTCTTTCAAAGCCCATTTGAGCTTGTTAAGCATCGAGAGGCGGTTTCGAACTTCAAGGAGGACTGGCTCGACATCCTCAATTTCAGCATCCGGGATGGTCAATTGGCCATCCTGCGTCGGCTGTGATCCATCCTGAATGGCCTGAGTTGTTTGAAGCTGGAAGCCATAGCGCTTGATGAGTTTCTCTCGGTTGCACAGGGTATCCGCAAGAGCAGAAAGGGTTTTGAACACTCCTTCAGCCTTGAATCGGTTGCTCAAGAGGTATTGATGGAGTTTAGACCGCTTCCGTCTGGTATGATCGGAGTATCCTGGGTCGCTGCCGTCTTCGTTTTGGATCTGCCAATGGAAGCCCCAGGCTTTGAGGATTGATTGCTGAATTTCCAGCTCGCGCAGGTGAGCTGAGGAATCGGCCTGAGCTGCATTCACTGTGGTGAAGAAATCGTAACAGTCCCGACATGCAGTGTAGAGGCCCACGATGCCGATTGCAAGACCTGCAACGTCCATAATGAATGTAGAACGCACATAAAATATATGACGCTACGCAGTGTGTGAATAGACGAGTTGGACAATGCTATGTATCAATCAGATGAAGTCGAGATCTTCATCCATAAAGTGATCAGTAGTACGGCACCTTAATATAAACAGCACGCCACTGAAGAAAAGCACGCTTTTGATGATTAGTTTGAGATACATGAGTGGTCGGTCAGAGGCTGAAAATATGCCGGTCAGAATTACAGTAAGAATGCCTAGACAATTTACAAGATGCGCACTCCGCCTGAAAAACAAGTATCTCTGTGTCCTCTGACTGGTAGACACGTGTACAAGGTACCCTGCATATTGTACATACGAACAGTACTCTACCAATAAAATGCATGCCGAATGCCGTCAGCAGCGCCACGGCTTTTGTAATTTCGTATCTTGATTCAGGCTGCGCCCGGCTACAGTGTGCTTTCTTGTCTGAAAATCATGATTTGACAGGTCACTTGCTTGAAATGTGTCAGCAGAGCCATTCAAGCCCTGCACCTTGCATGCATATTGAGGCCGTAAAAGGTGGGGATGCGTCGTAGAGTGTTGCTTACGGAGTGATGTCGGTTAAGAGGTACATCATGCGAATGATAATTCAATCAGCCAGCACTGCAGAGCTTACCGTTGACAACTCGTTTCAGGCATTGCAACACCCATGATCCTCATCATAAGTGAGTACTCATTTGGTCCACAACGGCTTTCCAACGCCGGTAGATAGTAATCTGCAGAGCAGCAATACCACTCAATGTTCACTTTCAATCGCCGGGGATACAACAAGAGCCTGGCAGACGGGTTAACGCATCGAGTAGTAGCTCTGTCGGCGCTTATGATCATAGGGGCAATCATGGCGGCGATGTTCGATTATCTAACCAAGGGCACTACTGCTCTACTGCTTATAGAGCGGCCTATACAGTGGTGTTTGCCTTGGTGGACCGATTCATCTAATCCCACTCGTAAGGCTAGAGATACTATGGGTTGCTGACCTGAATCGTTATACCGGTAATGCCACTAAAGTAAGCATGTATAATACTTTATTTTACACTATTTCTTTAAAGGCTAGGGATAAAAGCACTGGCATGTATAATTCTATGCCAGCACAGTCAGTTCCTGCAAGGCACAACGGCATGCTTACACCCCAGCATCACGCCGTAGACGCTTTCAGTCAGATAATAAACCCCAAACCCCCTTTGCCTTTGATTGCAACTATTCAGCCTGGACTAAGACCATTTCCGGCTCGATGGCGTTTTGTCTCGGGGCTATGAAGAGCTGTGGCTGACGACACCCCTCAAACAGCCGTACCTGGCTCAGGGAGGAAAGAAAGCTCGGGACCTTAATCCTAAGGGAAGAAAATGTTTAGATAACTTAGGCTAAACTTAGTAGATTCTTTAATAAGTTTATTTTACCACCCTCTTCTAAAGTCTTTGTCTCTCTGAGGCCTGGGCTGAATCCAGATTTCTTGGCACTGCACTACCGATCCTAGTTTCTAGTCATTCGCTAAAATTGTCTGTTTGCGGGCTATTGTATCTCGTAAGGCTAAATCTAGCCATCAGCCCTATACATCGTGCATTCCCATCTAAAAGCGCCATCTCAGCCACAAATATTCAGCTGAACTGGCTTGCTATAAGCCTCTAGTCTCCGTCGAGTCCGATGGAACATTTAAAGTAGTCACCAGCCTGATTGTATTGCCGAAGCGTACAAGATCTTAAACTCACCTCTCAAGATGCGACTCCCATTCCCATTTCTGTTGCCCATCGTGTTGCTGGCACAAGTGACCGCTGCTCAAAATGCTGGGCTCAACAATCTACCCGCTATCTGCGCTGGTGTCAAAGAAGTCTCAACATGCAAGATCAAGGTCACCGTACCAAGTGGCGTCAGAGTCAACATGCGGACAGTCAAGGTCCCCACGGTAGGCCAGATTCAATATACACATATGTATAGCCTGTATACTAATACCAGGTAGTGGAACAAGTGCAAAAGCCGCGTATCGGCGACACGGAGCTGCCCAACCGTTAAAAAACCCCTCAGGCGTTGTAAAGTATGGACTTGCGTCCCCGGTAAGGCTTACTCTCAAAACATATAAACGGTTGACTGACACTGGTTCAGGCTGGGAGAAGAAATCGAAACAAATTCCTTCTAGTTTAACCATTCTTACCAGGGAGATCGATCTCTGCGAAGATATTCGTAGGGCGCTCGGCAAGACTCTGGGAGACAAGTTCATCAAGTCATCAGAGGCCATCTGCGGTTGCTTCACTCGCTTGCAAACCTTTGCGACGACGGGTTCCTTCACGGCCATGTCTATTCGGGGCGAGATAAGCACAGCTACCACGAAGGTCGCAGACGACACCCTCAGTATCGAAAAGGTTCTTTTTCCCTCTTTGTCGTTTGATTTCTCGTCTAATGGGTCCCAGTGTTTTGGAAAGGTTAGTCTACCAATTCTCAACAACAAAGTTGATATTGCGAATGTTCTCAAGTCGATCGCTCCTTGGGTCATCGCCCAAGCCAAGGATGTAAGTCTCTCAATTTCCCCGAGTACACATTGGAACTACGCTTATACCAACTACACAGATCGACCTTTCAGTATTCCAGTCTCTCGCTCGTGTAGTCGCCGCCTGTCAAGCCGGTAACTGCAACGCAAATTCCATCAGCGCCGCTGTCAACGCTTATCTTGCCGCCTCATTCCAATCAATGGAGCCCCCAATCAAGTCGGTACTTGTTCAATGGGATGGCGCCCTTACTCGTATCGAAGAGAGAGTCAAGGATATTAACGAAGCTGCTGACTCTTTGGCAAACAACTACGATACCATGCGTGCGGAATTTGATTCAAGCAAGCAAAAGATTTGCGAGGAGCTGCAGCGCTGTGATGGACAGGGAGTCCCAAAGTTCCTCGACCGGGGTGAGTACACAGTACCTTTACGATGGATGCACAAGTACTAACTAACCGATTGCAGTCGATGAGGTTATCGAAGCTGCCAATAGACTCTGGACAGTCCGAGGTCCCCTTGACGTTCCATCTAGCCGACTCAGCAATAGGCTGGCTGACACTATTCAGCTCAGAAAGGACATCAAAAAGTATCCAGAGGCGACAAGTCTATTGTCCACGATCAAGCAGGGCAAGTTCAAAAAGATGAGCGACATCTTCCTATTCATTCCCATCGTTCAACGCCTACCAGAGCTAGCCAAACAGATCAAGACTGATCTCTCACCACTCCAAAGTGTCATCAAAGAATACAAGCAGTTATCCGGAGAAACTCACGATAACGTATGGTCCCTCAGCTGGTCCAACGTTATCTGGCCTGATACAGAACTCACATCCGACTCACCCGAGTCAGATGCTGCATTGATCGCCGAACTAGACGCAGTAGATACACTCGTCAGAGATTACCTTTCGAGCCCTCTCCGTGTATACAGCGACGGCATGTTCATAATGGACGCTGAGCTCAGGGGCTTCTCGGTGGTCAACGGGTCGTTTGCCATGGAGACCAAGGTGGCGACGTATAACCGCTGGACGACTATCTCTATGGACATGCCATGCTCCAAAAAGGAGACAAAGGTGTACAAGAAGAGCGGGCTTCAAAAGTCCTTTTCATGGAGGACGTACTTCAAGTGCAAAGTGGCTCCTGTGACGGCGTATTTTCCCAAGACTCATGTGCCTTATGTTAGGATTCGGGGTGGAGCAGGAATAGATCCCAACGAGCTATAGTATTTACGATATTTTCCTCGGGCGCTAACGTTCTTATTCATTATTTTAGGGATGATACGAGAGCAACGTGTGAATGGAGTCTTATTTGCTACCTGAGCTCAATCTAGGGTTGCCATCCTGCACATTTTGATCTGACGATGGGACCAGAGCAAAACGCCTTTAGCTGAAACTGACTATCAACATCAATATAAGTAAACGTATAGTAACCAGTAAACAGAGTTACAGAAGTAGCTCAGGATAAATCAGCAACAGTTCGTTCTAACTCACGTTGTCTTACGATAAGGGAGAAAGTCGAAGACAAATCTTAGATCAACGGTCTGTATAATAAATATTCCACTTATTCAAAAGAGACAACGGACGCTTTATGAGCCTGGGCGATTTTGCTACTTTGGAGCAGATATTTGCTTTGTACCATCCACGCAGCTTAGCCAACTGGGCCTAGCATCAGAATACGCTTCAAGTGCAGGTTGCATATCAAAGGCATCTAACGTCCCGACCTTGATGATAGTCAGACCAGGAAAGGATTCGCCTTGTCGATAACAAGTGGTCCCACAATCACTGCAAAAATAGCTAGTGATCCCATTTCCACTATCGGCAAGTTTCTCAAACACTTTTGGTGTGCCTTGACTGAGGTTGAAATTCTGCTCAGGGACTAAGATATTGGTGCTGAATGCGCTTCCACTGATTTTGCGACAATCGCCACAGTGACAAAGGGCCTGCTTGAGTAATTAGCCGGCTGATACCAGTAAAGCAGTGTTTGCCAACAGATGTTGGGTTTAGTGGATACGTACCTGAACCACAGGCTCCCCCGTGTAACGGTACCGGATCTTTCCACATAAGCAGCCGCCTTCTGCCATCTTGAATATATAATAAGCTTCTGGAAGATTGAAGAGGATTTACTTGGAACGGAATTTTTTTCGTGATTGGAAGTATGAAGAAACTCTACAGTTGAGCTACGTTGTCTTTTAAACGGGATTCCCAAAACGGCAATATCAAAGACCCGAGGTTGTCGGCAAAATTGGTTGTTTACTCCGCATAGAACGTCATGTATATTTACATAACTGCCAATTCTCACCATTAACATAGATGCTAACAGAGGATAGAGTTTCACTCTCATTATCACATACTTCACTATGGGACGACTTGACGGCAAGATAGCCATCGTGACTGGTTCTTCCAGCGGGATAGGCCGTGCAATTTCGCTGGAGTTTGCCCGAAATGGTGCGAAAGTGATCTGCGCAGATTTGACTGAGAAAGCCCGTGCTGATGTTGCCTCTGAACTGGCTATCACAACGCACGATCTGGTCAAAAAGGAAGGCGGGGTAGCCGAGTTCTTCAAGGTCGACGTCACCAAATCGGAAGAACAAGAGGCTTTAGTGAAATATGCTGTCGAAAGGTTTGGCAGACTGGATATGTATGTCCATCATTCCTGTTCTTCGATTACAACGATCTGGCATCTTGGCCTTGCGCAAATTTCTAGTGGCAGTCTGCTAACAGACCTCGTTTCAAGAATGGTTAACAACGCCGGTGTTGCCATGGAAGCTAAGGATCCCCAACCTATTTGGAACTTCGACCAAACTGTCTTTGAGAAGGACATGAATATCAACGTGGTCGGAGTCTTGCTTGGATGCAAGTATGCTTCAGCCCAAATGATCAAACAAGATCCGCTCCCATGTGGCGACAGAGGCTGGATCTTGAACACAGCGAGCGTTTTCGGCCTGGTTGGCAACGCGGGTATCGCTGGTTATGTGGCATCCAAGCATGCTGTGATGGGACTTACCAAAGCATCAGCATGGGATTGCGCGCCGCACCGAATCCACGTGAATGCTATATGTCCCGGGTGTAAGTATTTTTCCTTGACGTTGAGCTATCACCACCAGAAAATAACATTTCGCAGACACGGACACAGCCTTTATAGCTGGTCTTGAAGGACAGAACAGAGCCCAAGTGGAAGCACTCCACCCTTTTGGAGGGCTAGGACGTCCAGAATACATTGCGAGAGCGGCCTTGTTCTTGGTTTCAGAGGATAGCAGTTGGGTGACGGGTATAGGCTTACCTGTAGATGGGGGCTACACAGCATTTTAGTAAATGAACTTTTAATATAAATGAACCAACTTTCGAGAGCAGTGTAAGAAGTCATGGATCTATGGGAGCAGGAATAGCCCAGTGATGTAATATCATTCAAGCATGCTGCATGTTATAATAATTGCTTTTTCTTACATGGCTGCCTTTTCGAAACATTCCATCATACTAGACTTGGACCTGATATCCATTTGGATGGGTCCTTGGCTTAGTCATAGGATGGCTCCTCTAGACGTTCTTGACCGACAATCTGACAGCTGATGCTCGCATCACGCACCTTACACGTAACATAAATTTTATAGTCCTCGCCAACTATTAGACCCAGTAACCATGCCGCGATGCGCATTCTGCCGCGCCTTCGCTATTGATCAGGATCGGTTCTACCTAGAATTCCACCCAAACCTCTCCTCACTTAAACAAAGCGCTGAAGATGGCTGCGACTTTTGTCAACTTTGCTGGACGGGCTTCCGCCGGGAATGGGCACCTACTGAGATTGAATATGTTCTCAACGGTGAAGTTCCGGAAGGAGTTACGAAGTTTGAGCCAGGGATCTGGATCTACGTCCATTTCACAGATTACAGTCCTACTCTGACTCAGCCGCGCATTATTGTGTCGTGCGGGAGATATAATCCTATCACTTCTGTGAAGGAAAGCAGCCATGGACTTAGTTACATAAACCTGGCAGTCTATGGGTAAGGTTCATTCCATCTCAGAACGATGTTGGAAGAACTCAGTTCTGTGTGATCATTTAGGTTCTCGGCCATAAGTCTAGTCTAAACTACATAAAACTCATCTAATATTAGAAGAAATACTAATGCGCTGAGTAGGAAAGAAGGAACAGCGGCAGGTTCGCGAACACCAGGACGGATCTGCACGGCAGAATATGAGCCGAACTCTTACCTCACCTTAATCCGAGATTTTCTCAACAGATGTACAAAGTCCCATCCAGCGTGCGGTGCTGAGAAGACGCACGATATGCCCACCAGGGTCATCGACGTTGGCAACGCGAAACAAGGAGACCTTCCACGACTTGTCGTAACTGACCAGAGGATGAAGGAGAAATATCTTGCGCTGTCCTATTGCTGGGGGCCCGGCACAGACACCTTCACCCTCAATGACAGAACGAAGGACGAAATGATGAAAGGAATCGACGAACCTCGCCTCGTAGCCGCGCATCGCGATACAATCACATTAGCGCGGCAGTTAGCCATCCGATATATCTGGATCGACGCTCTATGTATAATACAGGGCGACAAAGATGACTGGGAACGTGAATCAAAACTAATGGCCAAAGTATACGGCCACGCAACTCTTACTATCACGGCAGGAAGATCAGGCGATGCTCGCAACTCCTTCATCGCCAATACTTACAAACAACATGCTCCCTGCTGCGAATTTCCTCTCGGAGATGGCCAAGGTGGAAATGTTCTTGTTGGGCCTTTGAGATCCGCTGACTATGGTGTTACTGAGACTCGTGGATGGTGTTGTCAGGAGAAGAGGTTGAGCCGACGGGTGGTGTTCTTTGGCAAAGAGCAGCTTTTTTTCCTGTGTCGAAGCTCCGGTTACTCGGAAGACCGCAGCTATCAGGAGGGTAAATCTGTCTTGCTACACAGCTTTCTGACTGGTAACGTAAATCCGCAATTGAGGCGGGATCGACTCCTGCAGTATTGGGACGAGATTGTCGTGGATTTCACCAGACGCCAGCTATCGAACCCTCATGATATCTTCGCTGCCCTTGCATCCATCGCTGAACCTATCTCCAAGGCTCTGCACTCACGCTACCTTGCTGGTCTTTGGGAATGTGATCTCGTTCGTTGTTTGTTGTGGAGACCTGGGTATAAAGTAAGCAGCTTCTTTGGACCAGCGACGAGACCTTTGCCAACAAGTTTCGCACCCGCCCCCGTGATCAGAGCGCCTTCATGGTCTTGGGCCTCCATCCAAGGTGGCGTCAAGCCTCTTGCCCTCCAACAATTTCGGAGGATGAAGACAGAGAGTCAAAGCGGAACACCATTTATAAGGCCGAAGGAACACCGTTGGACGGTAGATCCTCACTGCGGAGCTGACGCACTGCACATGCCGTCTTGCGAACTACAGCTTCTGGGGTGTGTTCAAGAAGCAATTATCCTCACGAGAACACCGTCGAGCGGATTCATTGCTTCGCTCCGGAAGCAAAAGAGGCCAGCAGGTACTATGCGTCGACCAGTTGTGCTTGGGCGTAAGGAGATGAAGGAGGGGAGCGTGGATAGAGACATGTCACTTTTTGTAGCGCTAGGAATTTTTGACTTTGATGAAGAGAGTGTTGAAGAGGTTTGGTGCTTGCAGCTTACACTTGAGGAAGGACTTATGCTCTGCAAGAAAGATGATGGAACGTTCCAGCGTATAGGAGTCTTTCAGGTATGTAAATTGGACTGGTTTGACCGCCTAAGAGAGTCGGAGGTTAGGCTGGTGTAATTGAACACAGATCCAATACAAAGTGACTTCATTTGCTTCAGAGAGATTTAAGCATCATTTAGTTAAACAATAGCCATTGCTTTCATTAAGATCTATTACTTATCGTGTTCTATTATATCAAGCCCTTTTTCCTCCATATCTCTTCACATTGTATGTTAACACCAGAATATCTAGGAATATCTCCCATCTGACAATTCCTCCAGTACGTCCCCAATATCTTACATTGCGCTGAAGTAGTTGCTCTCATTGCCGCTAGGTAGGCAGGCGTAGCCATATGTGGATAGTATCGGGATCTTGAGCAAGCGGATTCAATGATGTGACAGATCCGGTCGACCGCAAACTCAAGTGTTGTTTCAGAGGCCTCTTCACCACTATTTGAAGGGCTTTGTGTTGTTGTGAGGATGGCTATGACGGCGGCGCAGCGGTAGATATCGCTGCACTTCCCTTTCTCTGTCTTGTCCATCCCGAGCTGTAGAAGCTGCGCCATTGCTCGAGTGAGGCTGTCTGATAAATTGGTGGACTCTTTGCTTTGGACCAGAGAAACGAATAGCCAGAATGTCTCTGCTGGACATCCAACTCTGTCGAAAAAGTCTTGGCCCAGCGAACTTCGATGCCAGTCGTCAAAGATGAGGCCGCTCTTGGTGTTGCTGGTGGATTGTCTGACCAGAGCTCCAATGGTATCCCACCATGCGAAGTAGGCGACGATCTCTTCTAGACCTGTGAAGCGCCTTGAGAATTGCTGGAACTCTTCGCTGTTGCTGCAATGGCAGTCTAGTAAGGAGCGGGCTCCACGTAGATGACAGTCCCATTCGCCAAAAACTCCATCTGAGACGACTTCGAAGAACGCAAAGACGGCTATACCCAGAAAGGCCGCTGGATCAGCAGTGTTCAAAGCCTCACTAAGACTCTTGAGAGCTGCAAGTCGATGCCACATAAGAGTATCCTCATCCTGCGCTCCCTCCCCAGATGACAACGACGACGGTGAAGTCGGCAGAGCAGTATCAGTCGTCGATCCCCTCCTCTTACTAATCCTCGCCCTCAAAAAGTAATCAACCTGATCAATAAGCCCCAGACCCTGATCCACACAAACATCGTCATTCGTCGCCAACCTCGCAGTCTTCAAACTACTCCCAAACGCCAACAGATGCTCCACAACCTCGTGCTGATCCGTCGCAAGCGACTTCTCAATAACAGCGGCACTTCTATTCTCAGCCCTGCTAGGTTTCGGCGTCGGATTCGCCGCCCATACAACGCGCTGTGGATAATCTCCGCATGCGTATCCTGATTCGGCGCAGGGTCGGCAGCGCGGTCTGTTGAGATCGCATTTGACACCCCGGGCTTTGCAGGTCTGACAGTCCCGATCTCGGCGGATTCCACGTGGTTTGCCTCTTGGGAAATTGGTGGTCTTTGACCGAGGCATTATTGAAAATCAAGTAGAAAGAGGTAATGGAACTTGGGATGGATGATAGATTACTTTCCGAATGAGGTGGATTATGGGGCAGAAATGGAGATGGAGGATTAACGCAGATGCAGGATTAAAAGTTGGATCTGCTTATCATGCGGTTTTGGGTCGTTGACTCGTGTAGATAGCGCGGCCTTGGCTAAAGATTTGGTTGCTTTCCTTGTTTGGTCTGGTGCAGAACCGGAGACGCTTGCGGGGGTGGCACGCTCCGATGAACTCGAGTTGTCTTATCAGCATCACAGGAATCAAAGCGTTATCGCAGCGACGGGTATAGCCACGGGAATATCATTTTTATTCATCTCGCGCTAATCCGCTTTTGACGATTCCGGTCTCGACATCATCCATCTCCGATTTACCCTGAATGACACAATTCACGTCCTATGCCTCTGCAATAACCATGTACAAGAATAGGTTTCACAAAGTTTTTAGCTTACATACTTCAATCTCCTTCCGGAGCATTTAATCTGTTTTGGCAAGGGCGTCTATTATTTTTTAATAACCTCTTGTACATCGTCATATCTCTACAAACAGTACCTCACGTATGTGTATCAGTAGCCTGGAATCATTATTTTCCATCAACACTGAGAGGCCAAAACATGTCACGGCCCAAGTTGATTGGAAACTTGACCTAAATAAAAGTCTCAGAATGACCTGGTATTATGAACGCTCCAATAGGTGCACCTGGAACCTGGTATTCTCCAGACTTCCTGGATATCTCAGTCCTGCAGGTAACTTGTACTCCTTTTCATGACCACTATTAATAAGTTTCCTCCATGCTGGTTCTCCCTGCCCCTCCGAATTTGCGCTCTTAGGCGGTAGTAGAGCTTGGTAAAGTAGCCACTCGAGCGGATATTTCTTTTCCTCCCCTTTGTCGCTACTACCAGGCAGCACAACCTCAGCTCCGGGGCTATCAACAACGAGCAATAGACTTCTTTTGGGCGCTGTCTCGGTCAGTCTTGACAAGAAGGCTGTAGTTTTGGATATAGAGATGGAATAGAATTCGTGGAGTGTGAAGAAGAGAGTGATGAGCGCGGGGTTGGGCCCAATCATGGTATGTAGGGTTGGATTATCGCTTTTGAGGATGTCGAGGTTGTTGACTGCTAGATTTATGGCTTGGGATGGGAGGGCGGAGATATTTGAAGCGCGGGCCTTTTCTGTCGCATATTTGGAGAGAGGAGGGGGATGTGTGAGCATATGTTGTAGTTTTGTGACGATGCCTGACCAATCGTGTCTATCAATGAGGTTGAGATCAACCATAGCACGGTCGTTGTGATCAGGAGAAGTTGACTCTATCCGAGGGAGTTCGTCGGGTTCACTTTCATGAGAATGCTTTAGCAATGCCACGCACGCTAATAAGTCAGATGCTCCTCGTCCAAAGCACACAATCTTGGAAGGCTTTTCATTGTGAAGGAACTGCTGGACCCACGCAGCCTCGCTCATCTCACTGCACATCCACGCCAACACATTCCCAATCGTCAAAGCTCTACTCGGACTCCATCGAATCGTATACGCCTCCATGAACTCTTCGCTCCCGAACGCTTTGCTAAAGTCCTTTTGCTCCAGCGCTTCTCTGATCTCGCGCAACACTGGTTTCAAGGTGTCGAACTCGTCCACAGCAGGGAATGTAGTCCTGATTGTATCAAGAACGAGCTGTTGATGCTTAATAGATAGACTCTGGATCTGTTCTATCGGGTTGGTATCTTTCGCTGGTGTAGGTGTCTTTTTGGCAGGTTTGTGTAAATAGCTTGGTCCGGTCCATCCTGGGCGGCGGATTGGAGGCGCAACTGGTGCTTTGGATGCACCGCTGGACGCCGGTTTGCCATGCTTTGGCTGCGATTGCGCACTGCGCTTGAACTTCTTCATGGTGAGTCCTTATAGTATGGATATTTTGACGAATTAAGGGTAATTGGGCGCGAGCTGGGGTGAATGGCACAGGGTTGCTGCTAAGCGAGATATTGGCGAGAAAGGAAAAAATTACAACTCTCGATCGGCAAAAGTATTTTCCGATCAATCGCTCAAGATTAGTGGCTAATGCGACAGCGGAGACGTTCACTGGAGCCCCACGCGGATCTGGCTTAAATATGAGCATACAAGAAGCAAGTAAGCAGAGTCTCAATAGAAATGCGCGAAAGATTTGCAGAGCTTGTAGAATATATTTAGGACTTCCAGATTAAATAATATAGCTCAATATTGCCCCTCGACAGTCATGGTACCCGTCTTAGTGATCAAGAACTCATCAATCGCAACATCCTTACCACTCTCTTTTCCATGTCCACTCTCTTTAATTCCTCCAAACGGCGCCTCAGCTGAAGAGCTGTTGCCTGTGTTCTACACCAAAAGTTAGCTTTTCCGTACCAACAAATCTTGAAGATCGACTTACCAAACCAATCATTCCAGCATCGAGGTTCTCAAACATCCTCCACAATCTATCCATATTCTTGGTAAACACGTAACTCGCTAGGCCATAGGGAGTGTCGTTTGCTCTTTGGACGACCTCCTCTTCAGACTCGAAGCGGTAGACGCCGAGGAGAGGAGCAAAGATCTCCTCGTGTGTCATGAGCATTTCGTCCTTCATTTCGGTCAAGATAGTCGGTTCCATGAAGTAACCCTCCCCGTCGTAGCGTTTCCCTGTGCCAAGGACAGCTTTTGCGCCCTTGCTGACGGCATCGTCATACAACTCCTCTGCCTTATCGAGGCCTCGAGTAGTCGTCAATGCGCCTAACGTAGCGCCTTCCATCATGCCATGGCCTAGCTTTAACTTCCGAGTTTCAGATACAAGTCTCTCGACAAAAGAATCGTAAATATTGCTCTGAACGAATACTCTGTTAGACGTGACGCAAGCCTGACCTGCATGTCGCCATTTAAGAGCCATAAGCTGGTTCATAGCCTGATCAACATTGGCGTCATCGAACACGATGAAAGGGCAATTCCCGCCAAGTTCAAACGTTGTCTTCTTGAGATTCTGGGAACATAGACTCGCAATAATCTTGCCAACCCTCGTGCTACCAGTGAAGCTCACCTTCTTCACAAGCGGGTTCAGACAAAGAGCTTCAGCGACTGCCGGGGTATTCTCAAGTGACGTTGTAACCACGTTGAGGGCACCGGGCGGAAAGCCTGCTTTCAACGCTAGATAAGCGACTGAGACTGCTGTGAGGGGTGTCTCGGGCGAGGGCTTGATGACCATTGTGCAGCCTGCAGCGAGGGCAGCAGCTGCTTTGCGTAATGCTAGAGCGATAGGGAAGTTCCAGGGCACAAGAGCAGCTGCAACACCAATGGGTTGTTTGATAGTCATAGCGCGTCGACCAGGAATAGCACAGGTAAGAGAGGACCCTTGCACCCTGTCTGCTTCACCGGAGAACCACCAGACGAACGTAAGCGCATAGTCAATCTCGCCACGGGCCTCTTCTAAAGGCTTGCCAGTCTCATGAACAAGAATATGCGCTAGATCCTCTCGTGCGGCAACCATCAGATTATACCATTTCATGATGGTCTGAGCGCGGAAGCGTGGTGTTGTCTTGGAGTAGCTCTTGAAGGCCTCATAGGACGACTTCACTGCGGCGTCGACGTCGGATGCTGTACAGTCTGGGCATGAAGCCCATGTCATACCGGTTCCTGGGTCGATGACATTGAAAGTCTTGCCTTCTTTTGAAGAGACAAATTCTCCATTGATGAGGGACTTGGGACGAAAGAGGGAATCGTCTTTGAGGCTGAAGGGGAGATGATGTGAGCTTCCCATGATGACGAATGTCCACGTTATGGGGGGAGTTGAAGGAGAGGCTGGGGAGCGATTATCTCAAGGAAACACGTTGGGTATTCAGAGCTATGATGGTACGTCCCTGATATAATAAGTCGTCAGAGCTAGGTAGTCTCTTGGTCCGTCAGTCGGCTTCAGGATATTCTTCCGGAAGAAAGCCCTGGTATCTCGGAAACCCATAAACTCAATTTCGAGTCTTCCGCCTTCCGGTTCAGGTACCGACCGACCCGTCACAGGAACCATCCATGGCAAGGTCCGCTTTTACCCCGCGCTGGAGCATCACAGGAACATCTGACACTAGTGCCCAATTGGGAAGGGAATCTAATCCAAGATGTGCTTCGAGCTAACGATCGGAAGCGATTCTCAAAATTGCTGAGTTCCATTGAGGACGGAGAGAGAGCCAGTAGATCTCTGCGTATGGCTATAGGAGGGCAACTTGGAATGATGTTGTTCACAAACTCGAGAAACAGTTGAGAGGCGACGAGACAATTGATAACATTTTTATTTTATTACTACCGGTAAATTGACCCTGTTACTAAATTTATACGCAGCGACCTCCATCAACCTGTAATATTCATGTTAGCATCAGTTTACAGTAGCCCATGAATATTGGCCATACCTCCAGATCGACACCAGTAATGAAGGAGGCTTCATCACTAGCCAAGTAGCAGCAAGCATTAGCAATGTCGCTAGGTGTCGAAGGTCTACCCATTGGGATTGTGGAAACAAAGCCCTTTCGGTTCTCTTCAGTATCCGGCTTGCCGATAAACAGATGTGTCCTATCGCTCCATTAGAAAGTTCCCATCGCAAGCGTGATGCAACACTCACATGCCAGTGCTTCCAACAACAGGAGAAACAGAGTTGAACCGAATCTGCTTGGGTCCATACTCAACAGCCATCGTCTTGGTAGCATTAATAACAGCCGCCTTTGAGGCATTATACCACGTCAACTCAGGTCTCGGTCTAATCCCCGCCGTACTCGCAACCTGAATAAAACACCCCGGTCTGCCCTCCTTCAAAAAGTACGGCACCAGCACATTAGTAGAGTAATAAACGCTCTTGACATTGACATTCATCACAAGATCAAAGTCCTTGGGGGTGACATCCTCGGTTGGCTTTTTGGAGTAAGCAGCGCCAGCATTGTTGACGACGATGTCGAGCTGCTTGTACTTCTCAATAGCAAACTCGAGAACGCGACGCCAGTCATCGGGGTTGGTGACGTCTGCGCGGGTGAAGGAGCAGCATAGTTCTTGGGCGACGGCTTGGCCTTGTTGCTCGTTGAGGTCGGTGATTATGACGTTGGCGCCTTCGGAGATGAATTTTGTGGCGATGCCTTTGCCGAAGCCTGATGCGCCGCCTGTGACAATTGCGGTCTTTCCTTGGAGACGGCCTGACATGATGATGAGTTATGAGAATTCGATAAGAATTGAAGGTATAGAGTGAGTGAGAGGAAGAGTGTTATCTTGGTTGGTCTGTATTTTTATGTGGTGATTGACTTCCCCACGTTTTAGCGACTTGGGTGGGAGACTCCGTTTCAATCCCTTCCAGAAGAGGAAACCAATGAATACGGGGGCCAGAATTAGTGAGTGCGGGGTAATTTAGCAGTCACAGGAATAAAAAAGTCTTGGCTGCATCCATCATCACATTCAGCATCGGCATTAACCACCAACGGGCTTAATCATCAGTCCGAGATCGGCAGACAAAGTACTAGACTGATTTCTATTATCTTGTAGACTCCAGTCCTCTCCTGATCCTCTCACTATCCTACCACTCACTCCACTACATTCGGTTCCATCATGTCAGAGAACAAAGTATTTCGCGTCCTCATTCTCCCCGGTGACCATGTCGGTCCTGAAATCATGGCCGAGGCCCTCAAAGTCCTCGACATAATCGAGGCAAGTCGTCCAGACATCCGCTTCGAACGAGACACAGGCATCGTCGGCGGATGCAGTATCGACAAACACGGCACGCCCGTCACAGACGCAGTCCTCGAAAAAGCACTAGCCAGCGACGCCGTTCTCTTCGGCAGCATCGGCGGTCCAGAATGGGCAGGCGTCGAACCAACTCCCGAGTCAGGACTCTTGAAGCTGCGTCAAAGTCTCGACGCTTTTGCCAATTTGCGTCCCTGCGAGATTCTCGTCCCGTCGCTAGTTAGTGCATCGCCTATCAAAGCTGAGCTTGTAGCTGGGACAAAGTTCATCGTTGTCAGAGAGAATTGCGGTGGTGCTTACTTTGGCAAGAAGGAGGAGAGTGAAGATGAAGCTTCTGATCTTTGGATCTACTCGCGTCCTGAGGTTGAGAGATTGGCTCGTGTGAGTGCAGCTGTTGCGAGGATCTTGCACGCGAGCAGTGAGAAGAAGAACGACGGTAGTAAGCCTGTTGTTTGGAGTGCCGACAAGGCCAACGTCCTTGCGAGCGGTCGTCTCTGGCGGCGTGCAACTACAAATATCTTCAACAAGGAACTCGCCGACATTGATCTCCGCCACCAACTCGCTGACAGTCTCGCCATGTTGATGGTTCTCGATCCCAAGCGCTTCAACAACAGCGTCATACACACAGACAACACATTCGGCGATGTCCTCTCCGACATTTCCGGCGGCATCACAGGCACTCTCGGTGTCCTTCCCAGCGCGAGTCTAGCTGGCGTTCCGGGTGAAGGATCCTGCAAGGGCATCTATGAGCCTGTTCATGGCAGTGCGCCTGATATCTCGGGCAAGAACCTCGCCAATCCCGTGGCGCAAATATTGAGTTTGGCGATGATGTTGCGCTACTCATTTTTGCTGGAGAAGGAGGCTGATGCGATTGAGCAGTCGGTTGCCAAGGTTCTGGATACCAAGGAAAGTGGTGGATTGGAGATTAGGACGAAGGATCTTGGGGGTAGTGCAAAGTGTAGTGAGGTTGGAGATGCGGTTTGTCAGGTGCTGAAAGATTTATTGAAGAATTAGCATAAGTTTCGACAGACGACCATGGAGCGATTGGAGACTTTAGAATAACTGCATTGTCATATTGAAAAGCGTAAATTTGAACCTGAATGATTGTGACTCGTGCGTGCTCGGCAGAACAGATCAAATGCCGAGGCACAGACCACGGCCCACGATACATAACAGACAATTTTGGGACCAAGATCCGTACACTTGACTCAACTCTGGGCCCTCAAATCGAAAGATTACAATTAAGACCAATATCTGTTGACAGACATACTCAAGTCACAGATAACTTGGATGGCTTCATCAAAGCTACCCCAACAGGAGACAGGACTTGCCAGACCTAAGAGACGCCGGATTGACCGGCAAAGACCTGACGTAACATATTCTCGCAAGCGTGCCATCGCAGCCTGTCGAATATGTCGCGTCAAGAAAATTAAGTGCAACAACGTCCGCCCAGTCTGTGGATCCTGTGTATCATCTCAGTCTACTTGTGTCTATGAAAGCTCCGGAGAGGATCACTCATCGTGCGTGGCCCTCTAACAACTTGACCTCGCTGACCAACGACTTTTAGTTTTGACCCTGCCAGTATTGCCATCCTCCAACGTCTGAACCAGGTCCTCGAGAGCGTTGGCGATATTCCAGGTATAATCAAGGCGAATGTTGAGACGGCCTTGAAAAATGCCGCAAGCCCAGCATCGCGCGTTGACGCGTTCTCGGATAGTCAGGGATTGAACGCTGATGATCTGACCGCTCCGACTGGGATATCAAGCGTCGAGTCTGTTCTTAATTGGCCTATCCTGGCGGGGATTGTTGATCCAGGCTATATTCTCCAAGCTCTATCGGATACACGAGCTGGTCTTGACCATGCTTCTTTATCCTGTGAAGCAGACACTGTTTCGGGAATCAACGCGGAAGTGAGGCCTTTCGTAGTGGACGAGAAAGAAATACCAAGGTTAGTGTGCCAATTCTTACAGCACGTTCACCCTGTGAACCCGATTCTTGACGTCAATGAGATCTACTCTCACAGCTTGCGCATTTCAGAAACCGGCATCAAATGGGATGGAGAGTCATGCATCGTGGTACGTGGAGTAAAGAGCACCCAAAATAGCTGGAATTCACTGACACACATATCGCAGCTCATCGCATGTGCTTTGGGATGCATGGCTAAACCTTACGATACCATGGTGACTTCACCGTCGGAAACATCAACCGCATCCTCCATCGAATCACAAGTTGAAGAGTTAGAAATGGCGAGTGCTTACTTTGAATTAGCTAGGCAAAGACTTGGCATGTTGGATCAAAGTCTCCTAGCTGCTCAGTGTCACTTCTTTGCCGGGGTATACTACATGTTCACTCTCGCTCCTCTACGCGCCTGGTCTCAGTTCGAGCATGCTGCCAACACTTTCTATATCTACTGGAAGTATCTGCCGCGACAAGACTCGCGACTGTGTCGAAGCTTTTACTGGAGTTGTCTCAAATCCCAAGTCGAGCTTGGTCTCGATCTGCAACTTCCTCAAAGTATTCTGAAGGATCTACATGATGCTGGGTCCGAGCTACCTACTCCACCTGAGATAAACGCGTGTCATTCTCGACAGACAAGGACCATATTTCCACCGCCGGGGGAAACCTCTGCCGAAGATCTTGATAGTGTGCAGGAGGAGAGTTGGTACTATTACCTTACTGAGATAGCGCTCAGGAGGTTTAATAATCGTGCATTTAGCTTATTGTATCGGGATGGGAAAGGATGGGGGACCTCGGAATCTCTCAGTATAGAATCACTTATCTCAGCTGTGTCACAGATCGAGGATCAGTTAAATAACTGGTAAACCTTGGCCATCTCTCGTGTCCCAGCACTATGCGTTGATGCTAATATGGAGCAGGGCTCAGACGATGCCTCTTATGGCTCAAATCACCATGGGTGCACTACCTACTAACAAACTAGCACTGCTGCTCTACGCTAGAGTCCTGGAACTCAAGTGTCTCATTTATCGGCCATTCCTATACCATGCAGCTCATTCCACCATGAGTGACAGAGAACAGGCTCACATTAGTCCCTTTGTTGACAAAGGCCTCTCCTGTCATTTTCTCGCCATTACCATTGGATACCTACACTATCGAAACCATATAACGTACTATCACTTCAGGTCGTCAACAGCGTCTGCTCTCTGCATCATGGCAGTCGTCATGTCTGGGAAAGTGCATACTGTTCATCAGATGGACTGGCGCGGCGATATTAAGACATTGATCAAAAAGATTCGGTATTGGGAGGACGAGGCTCCTACGGCTGGGCGATGTGCAGACGTCTTGGAAGCTGTTATGTCGTCTGTTGAACAGTCACTTCTATAAGAGCTGCAATTGAAAGGCCGTCGATGCAATATGGGAACCTATTGTTCAGTAATCAAAGAGGAAAGCGTTCAACTTTGTTACCCAGAGCCGCCTTGCTCTTCCCCATCCAAGAACCAACATACGAATCAACCTCCAGATTAGCCCATGGAGTCGATGCAAATCCTTTGTTAAACTTGAGACTTCCTTCTCCACTCCATTTCTCACTAAACTCAAACTGCATATCAACAACCACAAACTCTCTCAACGCAGGCTCAGCTGGGTCTGTACTGGGGATGACGCGCAAATTCAGCACCTTAGGCGGAGTCGCGTCTCCCACCGAATTACCTAGAATCACCTTTGGTGCAAACTCAAACTCAATCAGAGACCTTCCTGCAGGACGTTCCACGTTTCCCATCATGACTCTCGACCCAGCGGAAGGGTGAAAATTGACTTTTCTAAAGATCTTGGGATACCTAAAGATTTCCCTTCTAGCAAAGATGGCGCTATCGTTATCGAGAACGAGAACTATTGAGTAGTCGTATGTTTCGTTGTTATACTTGACACGCAGGAGATTGGCCATTTTAAGTCAACTGCCTGATATGATATATGTCCAGTCCCATCTACAGTGATATGGTGTAGTGCTCGGGCCAGTACATGACTCCGAGCCCGGGCCCGTGCGAATGCCGTTTCCAACATGTCCGGTAGTCCCCGGGACTTGATGCTCCACAGTAGTCTATCTTCTAGTACAAAACATGTCCGGTACTCCGCGGATCGACATTCCCCCCATTTAGACCAATAATGTTGATCAAAACCAGCCTCGGAAACAATGTGAAGGATCTTTCAATGGCTTGTTTCCTGAAAAGGCTTTGCCAAATTCATTACTTAAGGCCAGTAACTTACCGGTGTAACTCGGTCAGAACATACTTAGATTTCTAAGCTGTTTCTTTCACTACTCACGATATGATGAAAGCCTTTTCCTATGAAACTCCCACCGACGGTCTTCAGTTGAAAGACCTGTCTTTCCCGGAGCCCGATGATGAGAGCGTTCTCATCGAGGTCAAGGCCGCAGGAATATGCCACTCAGATTGTCACATCGTCAGTGGCCATGGAGACGACTACATCGCCAAAAAGCCAATCGTGCTCGGCCACGAAGTTGCGGGGCTGATTAAAAAGCTCGGTCGAAACGTTTCTGGCTTCAAGATCGGAGACGCTGTCACACTCGCGCTCCTGATGCATCCTGTCTCAGAGCGCATCAACGGCGCATACGTCGGGTTGAGCTTCGATGGCGGTTATGGTCAATATGTCGTCGCGCCACAAAAGATCCTCGTTAAGATACCTGATGGTATATCTTTCGCACAAGCTGCTGTTGCGACAGACGCTTTGGCGACTTCTTATCACGCTGTCGTCGGTGAAGCTGGCGCTAGGCCTGGATTGACGATGGGCATTGTTGGTCTGGGCGGACTGGGTATGCATGGTCTGCAATTTGCCGCCCTGAAAGAATCTACCGTGTATTGCTTCGATGTCAATGAGTACAAGTTTGTTCAAGCAAAAGCGTATGGGGCCAAGGACTGCTTTGCATCACTTGATGATGCAACTGATGCTGGCGTAGCATTTGACGTTATTGTTGACTTTGTCGGCCACTCTACAACCACTTCAGCTGCGATCAGGACTGTGAACCCAGGCGGTAGAGTCATAACTGTTGGCCTTGCGTCATCGGATGTCACGATTCCATCAAACACGGGTTCGGGGTACATCCTCAAAGGCCTCACTATCGTTGGATCCATTGGTGCGTCAATGCAGGACCTCAAGGATGTTCTTGCGCTTTTGGCTGAGGGTAAAATTAAGCCCGAGCTTACAGAGGTTGCTTTTGAGGAAATACCAGAGACTATTAAGCAGCTGGCAGAGGGAACTGTGGCTGGTCGAGTTTGGACGGACCCAAGCAAGACACTGTTTCAATAGTCTAGCTTAGCGCAGTTAACTAGCTTCGACAGCATGAGATAAGAGCTCGGCGAGACTTACCGGCTTATTGCAATGACAGCGCACTTTTTGGGTTCAGCTGCGCCACAATTCAATAGCCCTACAAGTTCAATGGAACTGTCCCACAAATTGAGTCTAGTGACCGCGCTACACTTAGTAACCATTCACGAGGGCGGAGAATTCAGGAGTCACAAAGGGAGAATCAAGATAAGGCATGCAAAATGAAGGTCTATTAATAGCTCGACTAGAAGGTCATTATTCTAAAAGGCTCCCGGAAGAAGAAGAGGTTGAAGGAGATGCTAACATCTAGAGAAGGGCCGCAAAGAGAGCAGCGAAGAGGGTAGCAGCTCCAACGACCTGCTTGCCGGCACCGTTGACGATGGCGGGGACAGTGCCAGTGGGCTTGGGGCTGCTGCCAGTGGCAGTGGCAACGTGGCAGTCAGCACCGTTGCAGGGAACACCGGTCTCCTCAGAACCAGTGGGCTTGGCGGGGCAGCTGGGACCGCTGCACTGAGGAACAAGGGTGACGACCTTGGTGCTGGGGCAGCTGGGGCCAGAGCACTGAGGAGCAGGAGGAGCAGGCTTGGGGCAGTGAGGGCCAGAGCAGTGAGCGGTACCGTTGGTCCAGGTGCCGTTGGTAACGGGGTGAGTGTAACCGCCGTGGGTAGGGACCTTGACAACGGGGCAGTGAGGGCCAGAGCAGACAGGGACGAGCTCAGCCTTGCAGTTGTTGGGGGTACCCCAGCTGTTCTCCCAAGGCTTGTAGATGACGGTCTCCTCCTTGCAGCCGCAGTCAGCAGCGACAAAGAAGGTCTCGTAGTTCCACCAGTCGTGGCACTCCTGGGTCTTGTAGACGATCTCGCCGGCACAGCTTCCACCGGAGCAGAACTTGGGGACGTACTGCTTGCCGCCCTGGCAAGAGCACTCCTCGGTGATGTAGACCCACTCGTTGTCGCAGTCGCTGCCGTTGACCTCGATGAAGATGAAGACGGTGCGGTCAGAGCCCTGGCTGTAGCACTTTCCGTCGACGCAGATCTGGACGGCGGTGACGGTAGCGGTGGTGGTGGTCTCAGCACCAGTGATGGCGGTGGTGAAGGTGGTGGTGATGGTGGTCTCGTCGGTGACGGTCTGGGTGACGGAGTCAGTGACGGTGGCACCGGCGCCGATGGCAGAGGCGTAGACGGTCAGAAGACGGCCGGCGGGAACAGCTTGACGGGCGCGGAGACGGTTGAGGCGGCCATCACCACCACAGAAGTTGTCCTTGTCACCGGGGCACTCGATGTCACACTGGTCGATATCAACGCGGCTGGTGTTGTCGGCGTCGATCTCATCACCACAGTAGCAAGCACTAGAAAGGTCAGTAAGATGTATGGTAGTAGATTGGATGGAGGAAACTCACGTATCGTAAACACCGAAGTAGGCACGGCCAGTGCAGAGAGAAGCACAACGCTCAAGATCCATCTGAGCGTTGGTCTCAGCAAGCTCGAAGGTGGGGAAACCAGCGGATGAACCGACACAGCCGAAGAGGGTGAAGACACCGATAGAACCGGGGAAGCCAGCGGGGGAGGTAGCAGAGGCAGAAGCAGAAGCCTCGGTGCCAGTGGCAGTACCAGTCTCAGTACCAGTAGGGAAGACGGTCTCGCCCTCAGAGTTGGTAGTGGCACCCTCGGAGTTGGTACCGGTAGCAATAGCAGAGCCAGTCTCAGTACCAGTAGGGAAGACGGTCTCACCCTCAGAGTTGGTGGTGGCGCCAGCGCTGTTGGTCTCGATGGCAGTCTCGGATCCGGTAGGGATGACGGTCTCGCCCTCGGAGTTGGTAGTAGCACCCTCAGAGTTTGTACCAGTAGCGATAGCAGAGCCAGTCTCGGTGCCAGTGGGGATCACAGTCTCACCCTCAGAGTTGGTGGTAGCACCCTCGGAGTTGGTGCCAGTAGCGACCTCGGTGCCGGTCTCAGTTCCAGTCTCGGCAGCAGTCTCAGTAGCAGAGCCAGTGGGAAGACCAGTAGAGCCACCGTCAGTGGCAGCAGCGACAGCGAGGTTGGAAACATCGAGCTGGACGGGCTCAGAACCGCAGGACTGGAGGAACTGGATATCGGGCTTGTCGGAGTTGAGGGTAGTGGGGTTGCTGGCCTGACCAACGGAAGCGCCGTTGGTGTCGGCGAGGGGCTCAGAGTAGATGGTCTCGCCGTCGAGCTTGACGTCGAGAGTGCAGCCCTCGAAAGCACGCTTGCGGGACTCAACTACAGCGCTGACGGCGATCTCGAAGCGGATCTGGATCTGGCTGCCAGTCTCGAGTTCAGTGATCTCGGGAGAGGAAGTGAACTCAGCAATACCGTTGGCAGCAGCGGCCATGCGACTAAGCTCTTATCAGATAACTGTACCGTAGTAAAGTCTTGGGGTATAACTTACACAGCAGGCTGGCCATTGGCACCAGTGACGAGGCTGGTTCCCTGACCAAGCTGGGCGTCGCTAAGATCGACAGACTGAGAAGCAGCAGGGCTGGTGGTGGAGCTAGGAGAAGCACCGCTGGTGGTGTCGATGTTGGAGGGGAGGGTAGTGCTAGACTCAAGAGCAGAAGTGCTACTGTTGGTGAAACGCTGGGCGAAAGCACCCGAGGCAACAGCCACGAGAAGACCTGAAGAGAGACGCATAGTGAAACGAGTGACTATGGTTAAAGAATGACTAAAGAACGAATGAATGAATGAGTGAGTGATGATGAGAAAACAAAAACAGAAAACGTCAAGATTGATGAGTATATATAGATAATGACCATTGGGGGGGATCCATTGTATACGACAATGGCATTTGGTGTTTTGTTTGGGTTAGTGGTGACAGTCTAGTCTAGAACTGCGTACCTTGCATTAGAGCATTCCTCTTCGGTTGGTTCACCGAGCATCCAATAGTAGCGACTAGTAGGTTAAGACATCTTCAGTGCCGATGTTCCGCCTATCACTGATCTCCCGCAGAGCAAAACATCCATAAAAAGCGTTCCTGGATCCAGGCTATTGGAATTCCGAAGTATGCAAGGGAATGTCATTGAATAACGGGCACGGGTGGCGCTAACGTTTGTAGCGTTGCCGTTCGACCACGAGCCCCTGGTCTACTCCCGATTGAGTGGCTAGAGTGGATGGATGATTGTCACGTTTAATCTGGTAAAATTCAACTGTGGAATGCAACTATTGAGGGTTAGTCTGCATCTGTCACAAATGTTTCGCCCCAAAGCTTGACTAAAAGCTTGATCTGATCCATAAAGTGGATCGATGGTTGCAAAGGGAGGCTCAGCTACGCCATGTTCGGGGCTTTTGCTTGGCATGTCATTTCATTATCCGCAAGAGATTGAGGCATTTAGTGTGAGTAAACAATTTTATTGTTGTGTGGGTTCAATGAATGACTCAAAATACGTTCCCGGCGATTTGTTGTTTTTCTGCCATGGAGCTTCTGCTGCGGTTTGCTCCTTGAGTAACATCGATCGATTGTGGACCAGCCTGCCCAGAAAATGTTGATGAATCATGACTGAGACTTCCAAATGCTTCGTGTAACTGCGGCTATCTGACCGCGGCCGTTCCAGATCGGGTAGAAACCGACCATGATGAGAGTCCACCAGAGCCAGATCAGAGACACGACGATCCATGCAGTGAATAGCTGTAGATAAAAATTAGAAACATAGTAAATGAGAGACAGTAAAGGGGAAATGAAAGACTGCAGGGTAGGAGATGAGAATAAATTACCTGTTTACTGAAGATGAATTTCGCTGCGTAGATTGGCAGTGGCCACAATACCCAGTGCCCAAGAAACGTAGCAACAGCCCAATAAAGAGCATATTTAGTCCATCGGCGTTGATTATTTTCGTCAAACATTTCATTTGATGCCGTCTCAGTTGTCGTTACCTGTCCAGTGTTTTTACCTCGAGAATTATCCGATTCACTAGAGCTTCCATCTGGCTCAACAGCCAACCTCTGTTCCTTGAACTGACTCCAGTCATAATTATCAGGCCGTACATACGTAATTACAACGCTGTACAGCAACGGACTGAATAAAGATGCAACGGTGCCATACATACAGGGTAGGGTCCCACCCGTAGAAGCGACCGTTACTTCTCCGGAAAAGGCATATGCGGAGCCGAGCCAGACTCCAAGGCCCGTTGCCATTCCCAGGAATGCGGAGCTAATAGCGGCGACCTTAGTCTGTTTGCGCCAAATTATGGTGAAGATGAGCGGAATTACGCCGGGACACGTTAGAATTCCTGATAAACGGTTAGTAAACAATTTCAATTGAGTTTACGCGACGGGAGGTCTTGCCGAGCATGTAGAGCGTCCAGCCCATGTCGACTCCGATGTAATGGAACATTGCTGTAAAGGCAGCTGCTGCGACGCCAAAGAATACAACGCCGATGTGGCCCCATCGAATTACTTGTTTGTTGGAAGCTTCTTGGTTGAAGTAGACGCGGTATATGTCAAAGGTGAGGATGGAAGAGACGGCGAGGATTTGTGCTGACAGAGTTGAAGTGACGGCCATGAACGTCATTAGTAGAACTGCGACGGCACCTCCTTTGCCTGCGACAGCGACAGCGACATAAGGTAGAGCAAGACCGTTGGTAACCTCAGCGCCTGTCATAAGCTATCGTCGCGTCAACTCAACGTCTCCAATCACGGTAGAGGGATCATTGCTATGCTTACTCTTGGATACGTTGGAAAGATTGGGAGCGCTTCAAGCCCCAGCGAAGCCATCCCCACAATGGTACCGAGCGACCACGGGATGCTGAAGTAAGAGATACCTCCCAAGACATAACCTGGTACGACGGCGCTCGGCGAAGCAGCGAATGCTTTGAGGAAATATCCTGTGTCCATCTGATCACGTTAGACACTGCTACGGCCACGGCAGAAGGGATCACATACGACGACGGCCCCGAAATTCGAGGTTAGGAGGATGATGGCAAAGTATATGCCCTGTTGAGAAGTCATGGTGAGCAGCGAACCCTCATAGTTACCTTCAACTACGTGGTTCGACTGAGCGGCGACGACGAGATCATACAGGCGTCCGATTGAGCCGACCGATTCCGATGTTATGACTTTGGCCGTCAACCAACAGCTCAAAATGAGAATAGCAAAGGTATGGATGTAGTCGGTGAGGAAACTAAACAAGAGTTAGCAGCTCCATTTACCGCGATACGCAGGGTTGTTACGTTGCTTTGATGCCACCGACAAGCGTGTAGAGGACGACACCAAGAGGAAGCAAGAAAGTTGGTGCCATGATGTGCATTCCTGTCCTGCGAAATGTCAGTGGTGAACCTAGCACAAGAAGTAAAGGGTCCTACAAGAAGGATATGGCCGCCGATGCGCCCAGGATCATGTTGATCGTATTGAGAAGATTGTTCACGATGGCCAAGAACGTGAAGCTTAGATGCGCGACAGTCCCTACACAGTTCAGTATGACAGTCACGTGTCCTAGAAGAGCTAAGATAGCGACTCACCGTATCTTATGCGAATGACTTCGAGAATAGTATGTGCTTCAGGAACACGACCCTTGCAAACAGTTCCCAAGTAGCCAAAGAAGACGATAACAGTCGAGCAACCAGCGCCGTACCAGAATGCACCGCTGATACCGTAGCTGTAGGTTACCAGGACGCAACTCAATAGGGCGGTACTCCATAGCCATGACTATAGTACTGTCAGTATATTTACCGTTCGACAGAGAGCAAGGTTGGTGTACCGAGACTACGGCCGATGCGACCAGGCCGGTTCGTACTGTCCTATTGGCAACCATGAAACTGCAATATTAGCGTTAGTATGTGTGAGCTCAACAGGGTACCCAAGGTGCCTACGTTTCCACTTTGGAGTTGTCTTCATTCAAGGTCTTTTTCAAAATCGCGGTCAAGCCCATCATGCCTAGGTAGTCATAGTTAGCCCTCTTTACTTCTGGTTCCGACATAAGCGCAAATCTCACCAAAGGCAAATGCCAATCCAGCAGCGACCACGACGCCATATCCGACCGATTGGGGTAAGGGTGAGGGGACTACAGAAGGTTCGTCAGAGCGATAGGTGAGATCCATTCTGGCGGTTAGGGTCGAGACATGTAGTTCGGCTTCTTGGGAATCTTCAGTCTGGATGTGAAGGACCTTTTATGCAAATTCAACTCTGGCTCAACATGGTCAATTGCTCAAGATCAGCGGCGATGGCGAAATCGCACGCTTGTGCAACTAATATGTGAAGCTGGAGGGGGGTGACGTTACACTATCTCCAGGTGTTGTCCCTACGAGTAATCCGCAGCATAAGAGATATCGAACTTATCGATCAAGGATATAAGGCTAGTCAGCCGTTGTATGCTTCAAGGGATTTGACTGGTCGATATCTTGCCCCGGAATTGAATCGGAACCCGCATTGACAGGGTTCGCGTCCGGACTTCCACATTCGGTTTAACGTCGATCACCTCATCTACATTGATTATGTTAAACAGATTGAATTCTGTCAGGTCCGCATGTCTGAAGCCTCGATCTTAGATGAGACATCAATTAACGAAGCTGAAGCCACGTATTGAACTCCACTTGCGATGCGATGCGAGACGAACATGCTTCTAATTCGTGTAAGACCTGTCGACAGAGGCGGGTCAAGTGCGACAGACTGCTTCCCAGATGTCAACGCTGTGCTTCCTCACTACTACCATGCTCAGGATATGAAAGGAAGAAAAAGGTTATTTGGACCAACAGTATGGCTTCTAGAGGAAAGATGAAGGGAAAAGCTACTTTTGAGACGGTCGAAGATCATGCTCGTGCAAATATAGCTGTCACTGAGCTCTTCGCAAGTTCCCTAAGCGAATCGTATTTAATAGAGCCAGGTCTACAAGACATATCCAGAAGCTGTCGAGGTTACATACGATACTGTAAGTCACCTGAGAGCATTTTCGCTCAGCACTCACTTACAATATTGCCAGTTCATCAAGAGCTGTCCAAAGAGTGTGTCGTGTATAACGACTCATCCTTCAATCCCTTTCTTTCCCTTATGCCGTTGATGCCATTCAGTCAGGCATTAACCCATCTAATGATCTCCATCTCGGCCTTCCACATAGCGCATCGACTTGATATCAGTCAAGCCCAGCTACAGCCAGATCATAGTGAGGTAGTGCGTATAGCACTCCTCAACAAACAAAAGGCGTTAAGGTTTCTCAAGAATGAGATAAAAGTCCAGCCCGAGATGAATAGCGATGCACTAATTGCTGCGGTTCTACTGTTCGTCAATCTGGACGTTGTTGAGTTTGGTGGGCGAGGCTGGAAGTATCACCTGCAGGGAGCTGAAGAGCTCATCAGAATTCGGAAAGGGCTTGTGATAGATGATTCAGAAAAGTGGCTGCAGTATTTTGACACAGCATGTATAACGTAAGGACCCTGCCGCCAATGATGGGGATTGCCTGACTGAAAGTTCCAGGTTCGGTATACTCGGCAGTACCCTCATTCCATCAGGTTCACTACGTGTCGAACCAATGCCTTTGGGCTCAGCCTTGCTAGACACCCTTCGGCGATCCGAGCAACAGACGTGGATTGGTTGTCCGGCAGATCTTCTATCTCTGCTACATATTATGAACACACTACGTGCTGTATCAGATCATTCGAGCCACGCGGACCAAACCGTAACTAGAATTCTCGATGGCTTGGGCAATTTCTCGCCGGGTTCCTAGGCGCAAGACTTTCCAGATTCTCAGCATCATGTATCAAGATATCATCTCGCCCGGGCATACAAAGCGGCGGCCAGCATCTACGCCTATCATATCATCGAGGAGACACTTGGCCAGCCACCGTTTCTTGAACTGGATGTTTCTAAAATCACAGATCTTGGGATATCTCACATGTCTCAGATACCAGCAAACGACTTCCATATCAAAAGTCTGGTATGGCCTGCTTTTATTCTGGGCGCTGAAGCTCAAGACTTGCGTACAAGGGAAGAAGTCAAGAACATTATGCACGATATTTGGGTATCCTCATGCTGCTATAATGTTCGGACTGCTCTAGGGATGCTTGAAAGAATTTGGGAGCGGGGCCAAGATAACGACGATGGGCAGAGTTGGTTGAAATTTATCTGGGGGCAAGACGAAAGCTGGTTGTTTCTCTGAGATGACTATGGATGACGGCGGCCTATAAGGTTAAGCTTTAGGCTGTGAACACAGATAAAATGGCACTAATATGTTAGCCAAGGTCAAGTTTCGACAATCACAGTGCGTTTCGAGGTATCATTTTGGCCAAAAATAATTCTTTTATAATAGGTCCATTTCAGATCCCATAACTCCTTCATGCATTGGTCCTCAACGCCAGGCTACCCCTCTAACTCTAGTTCCTCCATCTCGAGCTATCCCCTAGTTGACCGAAGCCTGGCTAAGGTTCTGGATGATGTTGCCACCATCAAAGAGACCGTTAGCGGCCTTGGCGCGGCAAAGATCCTTTCCACGCTCAATGACGTTGGCGTCACACTCCAAGTTTGCCTGAGCGACGCAGCTAAGTCGGCCACCACCTGTGACTATTGTTAGCGACATACTATACAGTGTCGTTGAACTCTGTTACTTACAGTTGTTACCGCCGGGAACACAGCGACCGGCTTGGCCATTGGAAGCAGTGCAAGCGTCCTGCTTCAAGCTGGTGTTGGCGACACAGCATTCGCCGCTGGGAACAGGTCGGCCGCCGTTCTGACCATTCTGGCGGGTAATCAGAACAGCACTGCGAGGAGCGTTACGAACACCCTCAGTGTCGACGATGCCGGCGGAAGCAACGGCAGCGAGGCCGAGAACAATAGCGGTGATGGAGAACTGCATTTTGGATGATTGAAGAGAGGGGGGTTTTGTTGGTTTCTGGGCGATTGATTGTGATGAAGAAGAAATAGAATGTGAAATGGATTAACCGACCAGCGGAAAAGAATTGAAAAGTAGTGATTAGATGAGATTGTTGAGTGAGTACTGAAGATCCAAAGACCGACGACCCGAAGCTTGGGATTTATACTTTTCTCATGAAGCAAAACACCTCCTGCGATGCCTCGTTTGTGCCTCGTTTAGCGCTGTCATCCAAAACATGTGCGGCGCAGTATCCCCTTGCCAAGATGTCGTCTCAAGACTCTGACTACGGCAGACCGCATATTGTCGTGAGGCTGGGGAGCGTCTGCTGAGATTGGATGAGACGAACAACGCCTGGTGTTCAGGTCAAGACCAATGAAACGGTCGCAAACAGTGAAACAGGTTACATCCATCTCTCGCTACCCCTGGTCTGAGCCCGGTGGTAGCCGCTTTGGGGTTAATCCCGACACTTTGCTTCCTCCGACGTCAGAGAAGTCATAGCTGGCTATATCCACTAACCCGTTTTGAGCATGACGACAGGGGCCAGCGTTTGTCAAAACGGGTAAGGAGCTAGATCTCCAGACAGATCTGAAGTATCTCCCTGTAAGACCAAGAATTCTGGCTATTCTCTTGTTTTTAACCGCTTTGCATAATGTTTCCAACCCAGCTATTATTAAACAATTCCTTACTCGATTACAGGAAGTCGTTCAGGTCCAGACCTGACACAAGCTTGCTCAGGTCTTGCGTATATAGGCGTAGGTTATAGGGAGGCCTGAGTTCGCAACCACATCCCCAGAAAGGATATTTATAGCCAAGATAGTCGATAATGCGGACAATTGAAGTAACATTATCATAATACCAAAACGTCCTTTCCGGCTTTGCCATTGGCAGATTCAGCGTACCCATTTTACTCATGAAGACTTCCCGGAGTCTCCAAGAGCATAAGGGACAACAACCAACGCGTCCTGCTTCCAGATCGTCTTTCAAGTCATAGATCTCGGAAATCAAGTTTTCAATGATTTGGCAACGCTGGTTGTTGATCGCTTCTGATTCGGATTAGTCATGGTATCTTTCTCGCACATTGAAACGACGTACCGAAGATTTTAGCTGGTATGGGCAGAGTAGTCTCCACGAGTGCATTTGTGCTGAGTACTGCGGACACAGTCAAGTCCCTGAACCGTGCATGGTCTTGGACTATCCAGGCCATGAATAGACCAATCATTGCCTCGTCGTCAAACGGCTTCACCCTGCGAGGCAGGGGAGGTAAGCCACACCTCTGGGGTCTAGCAAATCTAGCACACCGGCGGAACCAGAAGGTCGAATCGAATAGTTCTCCCAGATCTTCATAGACGAGTGCCAGTTCTGGAAGAATGTTCGAACAACCTCGAGGCAGTCATAATAGTCGGCTATCATTCCGATCTGCGCTATGACTTCCAGACTTGGTCGTTTGGGAACGCTGGAGTGATGACCATGTATGATATCAAGAATAATAAGGAGAGCTTCGGCATCCCACTCTGATGTTTTGATCTCAAAGAGTCCTTGTTCATTTGGTTCTGACTCTTTGAATTGGCCCTGGATCATTCTTCGGAAGACTGGTGACGCAAGGCAGAGATGTTTAGCAGAGACGCGGAATACAACCTGATTTGGATCCCCGTTCTCCAAGCATGTCTGGAGAGACCTCATCTCGTCGTTCACGTCTGATCGCCTCGCCGATTCATCGTCGTCTAGTTCAAGGTATATGGGATACCCGACCCAGTCTATGCTTCCCGCTGATGCACGCTTATCAATTGACAATTGATACGAATGCGAGTTTGGCTTTTGAAGGATTAGTAGGGCGTCTGCCTGAGGATCAAGTTCGAGAAGTGACGCCTTCATGATGACTGCCTGCTTGAAAATAGTACCGTGTGGATGAGAGCTGTGGATGAGAGCTGTGCAAATAAAATGCTGGATGCTGAGACAAACAGCCTTTTAATCACTATAGGATTGTAAACAAAGCATCGAGGGAGGCTTTGAGCCACAAAAAACATATGAGAAATATAAACACATTTTACTTCTGGCCTTGCTGGCATAGAACGCCTCCCTACATCGATAATTAATTAAATACAGCTCTTTTCAAGATACTACCGGGTAAGGACCTTCGTTGGCTAATAGTGGCGCTATGCTCATTCTGTAATGACGTGCAGGGGTAAAAATCTCCATCTTGTTAGTGGCAGAGTAGAGTAGGAAAAGATGCCTGAGGCAGTCATAACAGCAGAGCAGCATCTTCCAAGACTTGTCCACTCGCAAGCTAGTATCAATCTAGAATTAGCATACTCTGTCCAACGATTATCAATGCTATTTTATGGATCTAGCGGCTCACAAGATGGGACAGCCTCGGCTGTGAAATTGTTTAAATAGCCCATGTTCCTTCATCAGAAGGGGAATTGATAACGGTCACCCTTGAACAATCACAAGTCATCTTCATCACTGCCAGAACGCGTCGCGTGTCATATTTAGCCGTCAATTAGCCGAATTCCTTCACCATGTCTACGCGTACCTCGCCAGTGAAAATCACCGAATACGCGCGACCGCGCGGCATCACCGCCCTCGTCTTTGGCGGCGCCGTATTCTCTTATTTATGCTTAGCTGGCGTCACCTTGATATCCGAAGACAACGCGATCTGGCAAACTCTCGACAATATCTCGCCGGATGGCGCAGACACGTTTCGCTGGATTGTCAAGACAGGTGTTCCGCCACTTATCGTGATACACTCCATTGAGGCTGTCGCATTTGACCGCACAATATTAATGCATAATGGCGTTCCGAGATGGGGATTGTTATGGTGGAAATGGGTTCTGAGCTGCTGGATTGAGGGGATTGGATGTTGGCAGCGCTTTGCTTCTGTTGTCAACGCCAAGAAGGCGGCGGCAAAGTAACGTATAAGAAGAGGGGATTATGGGTCTCAGACATTGAACGCGTCGCTGGTGCGAGAACTACGTAATGGATGCGTTGCGAATGTTATTGAATGATGGTTGGGACGCGCTGGAGGTCAAAGTTTCTTATCGCCACTCAAACCGTATAGTGGCATGATCTTATAAATTCTGCAAGGTCAATGACAGCTTGACAGGCATCTAGAAGCTGGTCGAGGACCAAGATGTACTTTCACGACGTCAAGCTCGATTAAATAATCACGTGCAATTGTTCATGTTCATTTCTTGATAACATGTAAATTAAGACGCTATGGAACTGGTAGTGTTGTGAACACGAAACCTAAACTTCAACACAATAGTCCGCTAAATCAAGATCGAAACAGCAGTAACCTCTGGCTGGAGAACAGGATACTCAATAGACCCAGGAGTCTGTATCGCAGAAATGTACTCAAATGCCAGACCCGCATTCTTAAGCCGACTGTAGAAAATTTCAGCTGCATCCTTGATAGCCTCCGAGTTCAGCTCCTTGTTTTCAGTAATGGTGCGGTCCTTGTTAACGTTGTACAGAGACTTGGCATAAGTGATAAGGTTATATCGGTCCTCGACCTTGAAACTCAACAGCTCGGGAAGTTGCGCAGCGAGAAGCCAGTCCTTCCACTTGGCGTCCTTGAGGCCAATGGGGAGAGCATCGGTGAGGTGCTGCTCGGTGTAGCCTTGGAGATCGCCGAGGGTCTTGGGCAGAGGGGTACAGAGAGCGGGGGGCTTGGAGGGGACGAAGCTGTAGTAGTAGTCTTGGAGATAGTTGACAGCCGTGTGCTGAGGTGATGCAGTGTGAATGCACATGGTTACAGCGTCGATGAGCTGATCGACGGTCTTGATGGTAGGGAAAGATGGAATCTGGCCACTGGTCTGAATCTCCTTACACCAGTCCGCGATACAAGCCTCCTTAGCAACGACATCATCCGAAGTATACTTCGTCTCAAGAACAGACTTGACAAACTCCCTGATAATACCCCAGAGAAGATACATATCAGTAGCGTAGGGATAATTGCGGTACTTATCACCCGTCTCGCCCTCAATGTCCAAGCCTCGCTTCTTGAGATCGTTGGGAATGTACTTATCCTGGAAGTTGAAGTTCTTGTACGACCAGTTCACCAGTCCGAAAGCGCCGACCTTGGGATCAGGCTTAGGTCCAGAGGCGAAACCGGAGATACGAGCGATGACGAGGGGGACGAGAAGTTTGCGCGCAGCGTCGTTGAGAGCAAGGGTTCGGAACCAATGTGGGCTGAGGATCTCGTAGATTATGTGACGCTCTGGAATGGTTCGGTTTGTGGCGACGATGATGGCCTCTTCGACCATGTGCGTGTCGACGAGATGGGTGGCGACCTCGTGTCGTGCCCAGTCAGCGGTTTGGGCAACGGTCTTGGCGTATCTCCAAGGCCAGTCGTCCTTCTCGGCGATCTTGCCCTTATCATCGGGGTTCAATCTCTGGTTGAAGATGGTGATAGAGTTATCGAGAGTGCCCTTGTAGTCAAGAGTGATGGCCAAGGGGTGAAGGCGGCCGTCCTCGTGGAGCTGGAAGACAACGACTGAGGCGGCAGCATATCGATAGCTGGGCTGACCGTTGGGATCAGGGTTCGGGATGGTGTTTTTGAACTCCTCATCGTTCCTGACACCAGTGGCCTCGCGGAAGTAAGAATAATCCTGTATCAAGATATCCTTGCCCTCCTCGAGCAGCTTCTTCACCGCGTCGAGACCTTGCTTCTCTGCCTCGGCAATGTAAGCCTTGATCTTCTCAGCAGGAGCAGTCTCGATGGTCGATGGGTTTACGCCACTGAAGTGCTGTTGCGCAAACTTGGCATCGGAGTACCAATCATCGTGCTCGCCCATGTTTCGACCCTTCATAATGTCTGCGTTCTGACTTTGCTTGACGCCATTGACAACAGCACCATTGGGCTTCGCGGTCTGGTCAGCATCAGAGTCGGCCTTTGGCTGGTTATCCTTGCTGTACTTCTCAACGTCGGCAAGAGTTGGTCCGATATAGGGACCATCTGTCGATGAGAGTTCCTCGGGAATAATGAATGAGACCATGCGAGCAAGCTTTTGGACGAAGCCAACCTCTGTCATGTTAAAGATCAGTCCGACGCCGTCTTTTCTGGGTCCTCCATCTGCACTTTGTTGCTCATCCTTAGGAAGGGTGTCGGTTTTCAGATGAGGGGGATAGGCATCACTGGGATCACTCCATTGGTAGGTTTCCTGCTTGACAGCGAGATCACGCTTGACGGGGAAGATGGGCTCAAAGCCTTGAGTGTCGAAATGAGAGGCGGCACTAGTCAACATCAGTCAGCGACTATCAAGACAGGAACGTGTTGCTTACGCTTCTTCGAGAATCTTGTATAGCTCCGTCAAAGCTAAGCGAGTGCCAAAATAGGTACCAGTCTGAAGACCCTTGCGGGCAACAAGCTTGCCATCGAGAGCGCCAGTCTTGTCAGTGTTGAGGACGATACCCTGTCTGAGAAGCTCATTCAGGAAGACGCCCTTGTCCCAGACCTCGAGAGGATCGTCCTCAACAGCATAGTTGACCTTGGAGTTGAGAATCTCATCCAAGGTCAACTGAGGAGGACGAGGTGCAAGAGGAGGTGCTGCTGCCATGGTGGAAGATGTGCTTGCTTAGTAAAGAGGAAAATGGAATGATGAGAGGATTGAACGATAGATGGATGTGGAAAGTGAATAGAGATTTCTGTTGATGCCCCGCCAACGACTCTATATATATATTTTACCTTTCCATCTCGCTCAGTTCACGAAGATGGTAACTCTTCTCATCAGCGTGGCTCATAGCCCACGATTACCCCTCAACCAACATCGTCTTGGCGGTTAAAACGAATAGTCTAGATCAGTAAGCAGCATGCTGGTCAACACGAGTCTAGAATGTGCCATGTTTCGGATAAGGACCTCAGCTCGCCACAAGAACAGAGCTATGCCTTTCAGCCAGCCACGGACTCATAGCTACATCTCAACAAAACATCAGGGTTCGTGAAGGAACACAGCCGGGGGTTAGTTAGCTTCGGCAAACGAACAGATGGCCCCAGACCACGCGGCCCGAGCCCGTCTCGAACTAGCAACATAAGCGCCCAGGGCCATTCGCCTTACCAGGCACCAATGCCGAGACGACAATACCTGCTCAAACTATTAACTGCAGTAAAACAGGTTCTAGCTCTGAGCGGGTAAGCCGATGCATTGAAAGTGCCAATCTGAGTAAGCGTTGAATTATGGACCCAGCTGAACGCTCTCACAGGGGAACGATGGCAACTGCGCAAATGAGCGGTGAGCATTTGGTCATCACTGAACATACGCTTGGAACCAGATCTAGGCTCTGCTATGGCGCAAGCGATCTCAATTGTTTCAGTTGATCCTACTAGTTCTGATGTTATCGTCTGTAAAACGCTAGACCATTCTATTGTGGCTGGCTAGTAGCACCAGAATTGGCGTTAACTAGTGCGGCTCCAAGTCTCTGAGATGGCTAGAATAGGCTACGTGGCCTGTGTGCTAGGAACAAAACGGCGGGACCCGCAACTGCATGGACTATTTGGTCTAAACGTACGTTCTATGCGTCGTTTTACGCAAGGTTGGTCGTGCAACCCAATCACGGCTCAGGAAAAGGTGCTGACGTTCAAGCTAGGTATGTGTGTCTTGAATTTCGTCACCAAGCCACGTTATTATCGCAATGGCGATAAAACCATCCCTGCGCGCATCAATCCAATATTCTGGATTTGTTTCTTCCGCTTCGCCAAGTTGGCTTCTTGGAGTCAGGTGCTCTAAAGACCCCTGCATGCAGCAAATCGGGTTGCATGTCAGCCTCACCACCATACAGTAATTCCAATGGAGTCCCTGGACTTGTTAGGCAGCCAAATTCTTGATCAAGACTCCGCATAGAGCTGAAAATCGAACCAGTCCTGTATACGAATATTACGTGTATGTGCCATTGGAGTGGTAAGATTCTTGTTGACTAGCGTGAATAATCCCTGATGATATCAGTAGCGCAATATGAGACAATTCGAGGATGTGCTGCACGAGGACTCAGCCTCTCCTGTCAGCATGAGTAATCTTGACATCGCTATGGCTAGCTGAAATGCAAGCTGATAGAAGTTTGGTGATAGAAATAAGTCTGGAACATCATTCTTACTCCCTGTCTCGACTACGGGATTACTAGTGGTGGATCATAGACACCGGAACGCCTCGCTCGACTTGGCGGCGGCCGCTCTAGAACAACGTCCCGACTTTTGCGATTATTCTGTTGAATTGCGAGCTGAAAGTTGGCAGATACGAGTGAGAGTCAGTAGTCAAGTCTCTCGCACTCAGTACCTCGGCGCCATCTTCATCTTATCCTCAAATATCTGCTCTTCTCGCATTGATCTCACTCCCAGTCAGTTTCCCTATCATCTCAACCTGCTTACAAACTACCTTCACAATGTCCTCTCAAGTCATTTATCCAGCCACTGGTGTGACCAGCACGCCAGACCAGACATCTAAGCCTGCCCCAAATGTTTCATCAACTGAGACTCAACAGCCAAAGGACCAGCTCCCTCAGGACTTGGTAAATGCTATGCAAGCAATCTTTGGCAAGCACCCTGGCTACCGAACAAGTAAGTCTCTCGAGATAGTAGACGATGATTTAAAGCTGACGATATGAACTCGCAGCCCATGCCAAAGGCCTTCTCGTCGAGGGCACCTTTACACCAACAGAAGAGGCCAAGACGCTCTCCACAGCTGCCCACTTCAACAACCCTTCCACCAAGGTGATCGCACGGTTCTCTGTTGGCGGCGGTCTTCCTCATGTTGCAGACGTTGCAGATGGTGCTACACCCAAGGGCGTTGCCATCCGCTTCCAGATTGACGAGAACACTCACACTGATCTCATCAGCCACTCATTCAATGGATTCGCAACCCGCAACGGCGAAGACTTCTTGACCTTCCTCAAGCTGTTCGGCGCTGATGGGTTCACCGATGCGCAGCTCAAGAAGGCCAAGGCTGGCGGCGGAGACTACTCCAAGGAGCAGAAGGCTTATGACCAAGCTCACGCTGCTTTTTTGTCTTTCCTTGGAAACCCCGAGCACAAGTCTGCTGCTGTCTTTGTGACCTCTGAGAAGCCTAACCCTCATAACTACGGCACTATCACATATTACGAGCCCAACACTCATGTTTTCACCAACAGAGACGGCAAAGTCACAAACGTCCGCTATCGTCTTGACCCCGCTGATGGAGAGCACCTCTACCCCAACAAGACTCCTGAGGATAAGGAAGTGCTTGCGAAGCTAGGCAACGACTACTTGGAGGATGATCTCCAACAGCGCTTCCCAGACAAGCCAATGGTGCTTACTATCCAAGCGCATATTGCCGGCCCTGATGATGTTCTGGACGATGCTACCATCCCATACAAGAGCAAGACGTTCATCCCTGTTGGCAAATTGGAGATCAACAAGGTATCGGATGATAATGCTGCTAAGCAGCAACAGATCGCATTCAAGCCTAACCCTGAGAAGGGCGGTATTGAGGGGATCAAGTCGTCTAACGACCCATTGATTCAAGCACGAAAGGGTGTTTACTGGATCAGTGCAGATCAACGTAGGCATGAGAAGCAGGTTGAGTAGAACACTGTTTACGGACAGTGTTATGTCGAAAGCTAGATATATTATTCACAGTCGAGATTTAATGGCTGAGTGTTTAATTCAGCACAGAACCGGGCCATCAGAAGTGTATAAATGCTTTTAAGTGACTTCAATGGCCCTGATCGGCTTAGCCCAATGGCGGCCCGCAACCTTAAGCTTAGTGGCAGATGAGCGCAGTTCATGGTACAAGGCATCCAGCCATTCTAAACACGAAAATTGTTTCCATAACTCACGTCTTTGGGGCATTTTAATAGTGGCGTTTCCGGCGAGAGAGACGGTAAAGAATATACAAGATAGGAATGAGAAAACATATTGAATAGTAGTTAGTAAATCATCATCCTTGCTTCTACAGCGATGATTCCGCGTTGGCTGCAGCCGCTTTGACATGCCTTGCATTAACAGAGGACAACGGAACAATACAGCTAAAACTTCGGAAAACCTTCGGCCGATGAGGTATTTATGATCGATGAGAAGATTTCCCCCGCAATCGAGGCTTTCCATGACAATGAGGATCCGCTCTTGCTTATCTGCTCGTAACATTTTCGGCCCTTCAGCACCTGAATTAGCATGGCGACACTAGCGTATCCTATGGAGTGCCCTTGCTGCGAATCCACTCTTCATTCACTAGATGACCTGAAAACACACCTACGAACTCGCCAGGTCAGTGTGTTCTCTATTCCATGTCGAGGTTTCTGACTCTGTATAGTCCCAGGTTCAAGCGCTCGAGGACCTGCTTTTTCGTATTATTGAACGAACAGAGCTTAGTGCCTCTGAGGCTATAGAGGGTACACAGACGACAGACACCACGGACACAGGATCCGATGAGACGGATTCTCTGTCAGAGACACCTCAGCTAAAACGAGAACCGGTGACACCGGAGGATAACCTCCAGGTCGAGTCTGACTCCAGCCACATCAGCGATTGTGTCATCGATCAGTCTGAGAAGGACTTCATGCAATTGCTTAAGGATGGAGACCCGCAGTATATCGATTCGTACAGAGTATCTACCGAGAAACGCTGTTTCGAATTGCGTGTAGCTTTTAAAGAGAGAACTGGACAACTTGTCTATCATTGGATTCCAGAGGCCACGGTTCAGAAGTTTGACAATGCTGCTGTTTGCACATACTGGCACGCCCGTGTGGGCGCTGACGGAACGCCTGCAGGGCGCCCCTACGACGAAGTCGATCTTCAAGTTCTCAAGATCGTTGGATACAAGGACAGAACCCAAGCAGACTTTTGGGTTCAGACTGTAGGAGATCCCGTCCTCCACCCTGATCTCATACCCAGAATCGAAAAATGGTCAGAGGATCCAGAGGAACCAGAAGGGAAAGCCTTGTTCCGATACAGGCCTACATACATGGCTGTTGCCGAAGTGCGGAACAAATGGCCCCGCCAATACGAGCACTGGCTGCACAGGCCAAAACGTCGAGAGGATCGCAAGGCTCTCCAAGTCCTCTATGGTCACCGAGAAAACCCAAACTACCAGCGATTTGAAATCTCCAGGCTCGCTTTCAACTGGGCTCCGACATGGTGTGACGAGAGAGTTGTTCATAAATCGCACCCTTTTGCTCTTATTACCTATTACAAGAGCGATCCAACTGTGCGAACGGGAGGGGATAGCACCTTGCTGATTCCACCCAGACTTTTTAAAATTGTGCGATGGCGGAGGGATGAAGACGGAGAGCTCCTTTTTACCTACCAGAAAATCGGAGAGTCTGAGCTTGAGGATGACTTAGAGGAGAGAGATCTAAGACGTATGCAAGAGCTTGATAAGAAGATGCTTAATGTATACAGAAAGAAAAATAAGATATAAGGGTATAATTCTTACACATATTAATATAGGTTTTAAATTATAATCTATTATTAATAGCTAGTTCTTTTATAGCTAGTTCTTTTATAGCTTAAGGATACTTTAGTTATAGGTTCCAGTAGGTAGAAGGTCAACTACAAAACTCAGTAAACCATCAGTAACAGAAGGGACTGTCCCTTTTACTATTTTATTTAATCGAATAAAATGACTCAGTGCCATGTCAGCATGCATGATATGCAATTAAAAGTTTTAAACCAACAGTTGTCGATTATGCCTTGCTCAGCCTGATTCTGCCGCCTCATTTTCAACCCCCGCATCGGTTCTTCGCCTAACTTGTTTCCAAAGAGTTGCTTATCTGACAACTTCAAGTTGTTCATTCTTATGCAATTGTTAAAACGGAAAAATAATGACTACTACGCAGCGTGCCTTCGAAGCGGCGATGCTTAATTTCAAGGACAAGCTCAAAGGCCATAGTTTCTATGACCAAATTATTCAAACGACTAGCATCGAGCAAGTCTACCAGGACATCGAAAAGCTTCAAGAAAAGCAGGCAAAGTCCGGCCGGCTTCGCCATCTGTCTAAGATTGAACCGTTCCTAGCTCGACTTCGCGAATACAGTAGTGTCGTTGAGACGTTTGTGCAAGCCAAGCCCGACATCCTAGCACTGATATGGGGCCCGATAAAGCTTCTCTTGCTATGGGCCGACGTTCTCAAACAGTCATTCGATGCTCTTGTGAACGCATTGAAAGAGATCGGAAATGCCCTGCCTGACTTTTGCGAACTGGCCGAAATGTTTGCCGGTAACAATCGTCTGCAAGCCTTACTGGTGCTGTATTTCCGCGATATTCTTCACTTTTACTTGATTTCTACCAAATTCTTTAGTATGCGCCGTAAGTTTCCCAAGCTCCTAATCCTATCATCCAGGTTAACAACAAAAAAGGTCTCAAAGTTATGTTTGAGATGCTCTGGCCAGGCCATAAAGACAGGATACAGGTCGTAGTAAAACACATGACAAGCCATCGCGACCTATTCAGAAGAGAAGTTCGCATGGAGGAGATACGAAGAGCAGACGAAATGCGAAACCGTGAAATGCAGCATTTTGTGCAAACAGAGGAGAATAACATCGCACAAGAATATGCGAGTCACCGGACCCATATCTCACCTAAGAGCTACGATGGTGATTTATATCGTTTTAGCGAATCTGTTTGCGATGGAACCGGGAAGTGGCTCTTCCGGGACGAATCATTCCAAAACTGGCTCGCTGGTAAAGAGAAGTCAAAGCCTATTCTGTGGCTACGTGGTATCCCAGGAGCTGGTGAGCATATAGTTCTAATCGAAGCCAAGAGATATTTACTAATTGACTACTCTTATAGGAAAGACGCTGCTCGCAAGTAGCGTCATTAAGCACACTCAGTCATTGAATGGCACCCATACCGTGTTTGCATTTCTCACATACATGGACTGTCACATTTCCGCGCTCTCTATCCTCCATTCATTAATCTTCCAGTTAGCCTCTACATCCCTATCTCTAAAGACAATGTTATGCCAATCAGACCTCCAACACCTTGGAAGCGATATGAAAATTGCCAAAACCCTTTTTCAAACACTCATACAAAGTGCAGGCGTCGTTCGAGTCATCATTGATGGCTTAGATGAGATCGAATCTAAACAACGCTCAACGCTGATCAACGAGCTCGTGAGACTAAGCGGTCAATGTGAAGAGTGTCACATCATGTTAAGTAGCCGTGCCGAAAGCGACATCTCTCGCGATTTGGACGGCAAGACTACGGATCTACAGGTCGACAAGAATAACGCTGGTAGTATCCAGGTTTTCGTCAACCGAACTATGGGAGAATGGTTCAAAGAGAGAGGCTTCATTCCAGAAGTGCAAGACCAGCTCCAGGGCTGGGCTGCACCACTAGCATTCCATGCAAAAGGTTTGTTCTTACTAACCTGTCCGACAAGCAGCCCCAAAAACTTATCATAAACATCTCTGACCTGATGATAGGAATGTTTCTTTACGTTAAGATTATTTTCAGGATAATATACTACATCAACGATATTGAGGACATCCAAAATGAACTCGAACATCTCCCGACATCGCTAGAGGAGGCGTATGTGCTTGCCTCCTATGGCTGTTGTTAAACTAATAATCCATAGTTATGGCAGAGTTCTGCAATACATCAACTCTCCCAAGGACCCACAAAGAGGGAAAATCGCTCGCTCGATACTTGGTTGGGTTGGATGTGCCCCGACACCAGTAACACTGAAAGAAATCGAGCAGGCATTGCTAATTGACCCCAAACTCCCTTTCAAGCTACCAAAGGTTAAAGCGGGAGTCAATGTGGTACAGATCTGCGGCCCGATTATCGATGTAGTGGATGGTTATGTCCAATTCGTCCATTTCACTGTTCGAGAGTAGGTCAAAGGAAAACACACTCTGTCAGGGACTAACACCAATCAGATACATCTTCAACTGCAATGTTCCGAACTCCATCTCTCTCTCTGAGACAACACTTGATTTGGCTATTCGCTGTCTGGTGTATATGTGCCAGAACCACCACGACCCAGATCTCACAGAGGATGAAATTGACGCCAACATACTTTGGGGGGCATATCGCTTGCATCACTTCTCCTCAAGCTGCTGGCTTGGCTTGATCTACGGGTATTTAACTTTGTCTGGCTCACAAGCCATACCCGATACGCTTATCGATCAGCTGAGAACACTGGTCGAGACACGATCGTCAGATAAGTACATTAAGAGTAACCAAAGCAAAAGTTCTTTACACCCAGCAATTCTGGGCCTGGAGAATCAGGAGCCTGCTCTGGTAGAGATGCTGAAGGGTAGTGACGACTTTCAGACATCATCGTCTAAGTCGGAATTTCGGATCAACAATAGTGAGTTCGTTAACCATGAGATCCGGTCATAATAATTAACCCGATAAACAGCGGAGCAGTGGTTTCATAGCAGCCCGCTTTCTCTTCCGGAAATTTCAGTTGCTCTCCATGAGCGACTGGATTTCCTCAATGATAACAATCTTTTCGTTACGAAATCACTTTCTTACCATTATGGACCCAAGTACTTCAGATGTGGGTTTTTGGGCTGTCATTATCGTCATTACGGCTTTGAAACGAGGTCAGCTCGCCGAGCTCACGAAAAGAATCACCAGAAGCCATGGAACTGCAACTTCCCAGGCTGCCGATTCGCAACCCAAGGCTTCATCTCACAAAAGATGAGAGATGAGCATTTAGAAAATGGCCACTCACATGTTGTGGATCCTGGCATGTCAACAAATACCCGCCTTCAAAAGATTGGAGACCAAGAACTCCAACCTCTGATCTTTGATCTGATTGAAACCGACAGGGTGGAGATTATTACGGTACTGATGCCTCGGTTGCGCAACTTAAATCGATTGGTGCAGACAGAGATCGCCATCCATGCTGCCAAAATGGGTTCCCATGCAATCCTACAACTGTTCAAGGACTCTGGTTTACTCACCGGAGCATTCTATACACCCAATAATCTAAATTGGTTAAATTTTGGTGATTTGGCCCAGATGGCAATACGATGTGACAGTGTCGGCTTGTCCAAAATTATCCTATGCTGGGTCACGACACTGCACTTGTCAACATTGTCAAGACATGAAATCATCGACTTTCGAAAAGCAGTAAAGAAAATCATCAGAGCCATAATAGAATTGGAGTCCGAGGATATATTTGAGCTATGGAACCCAATACTAGCCTCAGGACTTGGTGTTAAGTACAACACCGTGCATGTTGAGAAAATGTTCAAGTCTCGAGGTACTATAGCTACCACTGACAATATCCCGGGCCGTGAACGTATTCTGCTGAGGATTTGGGAAAGGCTCAAGGTATTCGATACACTAAAAGCGGAAGAACGTGACACAATTCTTCGCAACATCGCCGATTCTAGCTGTTCCATCAATCTGGCGCGTTATGCCATCCAACATGGCTGCGAAGTTAACGGCAAGGCCCAGGAGTACACTCCAACAGCCTTGCAATTTGCAGCAAGAAAGACCACACAACAAGCAGCAGATCTCATGAAGTTCCTACTTCTTCAAGGAGCAGATCCCAACATGGGGGTGGCGAGAAGAAGGGAATTGGCAAAAACCATGATAAGGGACGAAAAGGGGGCAGGAGAAATCTCAAAGTGGCTCGGGCTGACTTGGGACGAGTTAGTTGAGAAAACTACAGAGGAACGCCGAAGAAATAAAGAAAAGGAAACCGAAGGCTCCCACAGTGATTGAGGAATGGGTCGAATATGAAATATCTTGTGTTATATGAAAACCGGAGTTCTGATTTGGAACTCCATTTAGCATTTACATCTTACTTCCCCGAGCAATCATATATGCAGCTAGTATGCTGACTAAGAGTTTTGTATTGAGATGGTAGGCCTTACAGTTGGTGCTCAGATCACACGCCACGCACGCAGCGTCTCTGAGTGAGCCATTGCTCAAGCTTCTAAAGATAGTTAGTTCAGGGTCTCTTTGCCTTCCTACAAGCCTACATACTTTTGAAATCTCATCGTCAATACTATTGCCAGTAGAGTTATCATTGATACCCCACGTATCCCGAATAAGCCTTATTTTTTTAACTTGAATGCTTTGAACATACTAGCCTACGGCGTCAGACTATGCTTGGCACTAAATGGGCTCACCGAGAGAGGTAGAGGGATGTTACTAACCTCCTCGATTGAATCGGTAGTAATATACTTGGTAGCAGTGACGTGCCGCTGCTGACCTATTCGATGAACACGTGCAATCGCTTGCTCTTCGGCCATGGGGTTCCAATGAGGCTCAAGAAGATGCACATGATTCGCCGAGGTAAGGTCAATGCTAGAAAGTGGTTATAATGTTAGTATTCGCTCAAAGTAGGTGTCTAAACACTTACCCTTCCCCGCCACTCCCGAGGGTGGCTAGCATTACAGTACAGCAAGGGTCATTTGCAAATCTAGACAGCGTCTTCTCTCGTTGTTTGATGGAGGACTGGCCATCAATCCTCTCGCATAGGAAACCAGCCTGTAAAAGCGCATTCTGAACGAGATCGAGCATCCTCGTCCAGGAACTGAAAACCACGCTGATCAATATTAGCGACATTTGTATGCTTTTCTTCTGTTTAAATACCTCTTCACTGGTGGTGTCACCGCCTCTTCCAAGTTGTTCGCTTGTTCCAACCGAATGTTGTGTATCAATTTCTTCACCTTCGCAGACGGCGGTGTCTGAAGGTATGAGCCAATACTATCATTCGGTCCAGGTATCGTCTGCAAATTTGCCCCTTGGGATCTCTGCAACCTCCACGTTTCAATGTCCGAAGTAGGTAAGAGGTCCTCTCCATGATCGCAAATTCGGCGGAGATTGTGAATCAGAGACAGGATATTCTTCTTTTCCCTACCCGTCTTTGAATTGCTGGCAGGGTCAGCAGCGCTTTTGGCGGCTTCGGATTCAAAGAAATCGTAAAGGTCGCGGTCATATGGATGCAGGTCACCCTTTTCTTCGCGAATTGTCGGAGGCGGTAGTGCCTGCGAAATGCTAGATTTCGTCCGGCGGAGACACGTTGCTTCAACCAAGATTCTTAGCTTTCGAAGGCCTTCCTGTAGATTATCTCGAATCGGATGGGATATCCAACGATCGAAAATGTCCTTGGCATGGAGAGGCTTCATCTGTATGAAGGCCAGCAATGCCCCGTAGTTATCGATGGAATTGACGATAGGAGTTCCCGTGAGACACCAGCGCCTCGATGACTGGAGCTCACATGCGGCCTGAAATACTTGAGTTGACCTGTTACCGATACGATGGGCTATGTTCATTAAACAAATGAAAGGCTATGAGGAGACAATACTGACCTTCATCTAGAACGACGCGGAACCATTTCTCTGTGAACAATGGACCTTTGTTAGACCAGTCAGACCTTAGGGTCTGATACGTTGTCAAGACGATATCATTGTTTCGGAACTCCTTGGCAAGAGTCTGCCTACCAGTACCATGATAGACAGCAACACGGATCTGACCCGGTATGATATGGTGTTTAATCTGGGCTTGCCAGCCAGGAATCACTGCTCACTATTAGTGGAAGCCTGGTACCACGTCTCCACGGATCGTACTGCTCTTGGGTATGACAACCAACGTTGTCGACGGCTCAGAACAAATCCCTTGGGCTTCCGTGTCCCTTAGCGAGTCCAGCGACCAGCAAATGAGGGAGAGTATGCAGAGCGTTTTCCCAAGCCCCATCTCCTATAAGCCAAACCTAGTCAGCTGCGTGTTAAGCAAAGCCAGGGAGCGAGGGTCATCTCACATCAGCAAGAATACCTCCAGCACAAATAGGCACAGCATCGGCCCTATGTCCAGTTATTCTGTGACAATATTCTCTGGTTCTTATTAGACGCCAATCTCAAGCATCTCGTTTTGATGCCATACCTGTGTCCGTGAGTGGATGCATCCCGTGCAGCAGCCCATAGCGAAGGACATTGAGGATTTTCAAGGTTGACGCACTCCTTCTCACTCATCACAGTGAGAGCTTTGAGCTGATAGCTAGATTCTATTAGTTACTGATGGAACAAGAAGGAGACGATTGTGCGCACTCTTTCAGATGAGTCTGTAGACGCAGACTTGGTTCAGTTGTGGGTCGGATGGAAAGGTCAGCCGCTGTATCAAAAATACCAATGAGCTGACCTTTCTTCTTCTCGTCCAAGGCCAGAGAAGAATTAGATGTACTCTCGTTGTATTCGATGGCAAGATCTTCCAATTGCGGCATACGAGATCCCGGGGTAATGAGGTAATGTGGATTGAAGTATTCCATCTCCAGCTCAAAGTATTCGATGTCGTGGGGTGACGGATGTTGGAGGAAAAGGTCGTTGTTAGATAGTAGGTCTCCAATTTGGGATGCTTCTTCCATGTAGCTGGATATTACAACTCGAAGCGATGCTGGGGCTGTCAACAGAGCGCTGAGTTTTACCGAAGGGCGGTGTAGTAAGTCCGATGGAAACGAGGCGTTAAGGATGCCCGCGTATTCCCCCGTCTCTGCCGTATTTAGCTTGATGATACTTCCACACTCTCGCAGATCGATTGGGGTTTCTGACTCTTGCCGGTCCTTGAAGAATGACGATGTGGCCTCCAAGATTATCTGTTCCAACTCAGCGCCCGCTTGAGGTAATCATCTTGAAGCTCACCGTTCCGAGGCAGACATGGCGAGCTGTCTCTTGAGTCAGTGCCTCGCCTTCGATATCAAGTCTCGCTTCGTCTTTGTTTTCTTCGGTAAGTTCTAAGATGCTGGCCGAGAACCCGTTGTCGCACGGGAGCTGAGGGAGAGATTCAGAATCTGACAACAGAAAATCATCGACATTATCACAAATAATGTCGGGCTCCGGTGATTGCAGACGAATCCTTTTATAGGCACGTTCCACGTCTTGGTTGTCCACATCCATTTTCAGGACCACAAAGTCAACTTTCTGTCAATACAATTTGATGAGATTAAATGAGAGCACGATTATTGGGATGCAGCCTGAATTTTGAGAACGCCTTGAAAAAACGGCAGCCCTGTTTAGCGCCTCGTTGGTGCACAGCCACAACCAAGTACGCCTCGGCGTCAAGTGCCTTGAAACGATTGGGCACCTACTAGATAAAGCGTCGACCAATAAGAAAGACAAATTGAGATAAAGAGTACCTACTTATAAATAGTCATCTAAGGGAGATTAAGATATATAGTAAGTGCATTTATAAGTATAATATAATATACTTTACTTAAAGAATATAAT